GTTTTCACTTACAATCAAGATTGTATTGAGGCACGCGACGAATATGAGTAACGAATTAAAATTAGTTATGAAAAGGAACTTCTTAATCTCATAATTGAATACCAAATAGTATAAACTATTATCGTTATCAAAAATTAAAGATATAAACTATTAATAAATTTATTGCGGATAATTAGAAAATTTTATCAAATTTTTATCATCGAATTTTCAAATTTTTTAGACCTTTCATTCAAAAATAAATTAGATCAGATAAACTAGATATGAAGAATATTCAAAACAGAAAAAATGATAAGCGAAAATAGTTTCATTTTTTGCTTATCAACTTCCTGGTACATTTTTATAAACTGATTTTTTAAAGTTACTTAATATCTTAGTTCATTAGAAGTATTTTTAGAAATTTATCGACATTTTAAAAGAAATAAAAGAAATAATTTCAGTGATAAACAAAATTATACCTCAATAATGTTTTACTAAGTACATTAGAAAAATATCATTTAATATTAAAAATATTCATTAACGGATTTGAGTAGAGTAAAGTTATCTTTTGTATAATTATTTAGAATTTCGTGTTATTTGAAAAAATAATTAAGTGTTTATGGTTATATTAGTAGAGAAAAAAATATTGAATAACTCTTTACATAAATATATAATATTTTTATTTAACATTGATCGCGTGGATTGAATATAAACTTAAAATATCCTTATCAAGCACATGAGTAAGTCGAGATAAGCATTGATGTTTTTCGTTAGACGCTTCAGTATAATTAGCTATACGCTTTGTTCCATGAGCAATAACTACCGATAATAGTAGGTACAGCCAGACACCAATGTTTAAATATCTCAGAATAAAGATTAGATGATCTTTTACACTACTCTCTTTGTTATTTAAACAGAAATCGTAATCTGAGACATGTTATAATTTTCATTGATACACAAACAATGATATAGTACGAAATTATTCTATAAATGAGGTCTTGTTTAATTTTTCAATAAAAACTTATTACAAGTAAAACAATTATATAAAATTGACATTTTGTCTTTGATTATCCTTTAAAAAAATACTCATCGAATAAAAATGTGTAAGATTAATTTAATTTAATTCATTGCTCCGTACGTTTATTGTCATGAATATTATATATTTGATGTATTGCTGCTTATGAAAAATAATAATAACAATAACAATCTCTATGCACGCAGGAACTATAATATTAATTTGTAAATATATTTTAGTAAATATTTTTTTTGTAAATATATCTTATTTCAGTTCGAAAGTAATAAAAATTCTTTTGACTATATTTACAGTTGAACTTTCTGTAATTTTAGATGTTTTATAAAAATATATCATTACGTTTATGTAGTTTTCAATTATTGAAAACTTATTGAAAATAATGATTATTCGACTACTAAATCAAAGTGATCAATCTCTTCAAAAGTTTCATTCATATTCTTAGCCCACATGTCTAATTTTTTCTTCTGTTCTCGCTCAGCTTTTCCTATCTTCTTCTTTTTTTGCGGACGCTTTTGATGTTTTTCGTCTTCATCACTTTCAGCTTCATCTTCGGTTTCCTCATATGATTGATGATGACGTTTTCTTTTGTACGAATATCTTGGTGGCTAAAAATTATTTGAAATATTAATTATAAATATCTGAATAGATTGAATTTTATATTTTTTTTTTTATTTGAACAATATTTTTAAATAGCTATAAATACCTGAGTAAAATGAACTGGTTCTAAATCGACAAACAGCGGAATTTCTTTGATCGTCTCTACGATATCCTGGGTATTTTTGTCTTCATTTTCTACATCAAAGGTATCCGTGAAGCTAATTGCCTGCACGACATTTTTTTTAGTTAGATGATCGAACTTCTGATTAACTGTAGAAATTGCTTCTTCAACTTCATCTTTCTCTTTATTTTTTTGTAAGGTTTTCTTGATTTCACCCATAGAGAATCTCACAGGATGAGCTTCAGAATCTTTATTAATTTTAGGCAAGTTTTTTCTTGCATCTTCCAGTAGTTTCTTGTTTGAGATTGCTTGAAGCGGGACAGGCTCCCTGTTGATAGGTGATATTTTTTCTAATTCTGAAGAGCTATCATCAGGTTCATCGAATCCGAAAGCATCAACAACATCTAATTGAGCTGCCAATTTCTTTACTTTTTTACCATTGATCGGGGTGGAATGCACATCATCAAAAATTCCTCCAGCACTTATTCGTGTTGATTCAGGCATGTCAGGTAAATTTAAGAATTTATTCAAATTTGTTTGTTTGAGTTTCCAAGCATCATCTGGAGATTTAGTTTTTTGTAACCCTGAAGGACCTGGTTGAGGCTCAAACTTTTCAGTGATCGGAGATATTACTGATTCTTCTGCAGGACGAATAGGAGTTTGAGCCTGAATTGTTTCTGTTGATGTTCTAAGTGGACTTTGATTATTCGGAGCTGAATTTTCTTTGTCTTCAATAATTTCATTGAATTCTGGAACGGGTTCTGATACTGCAGGTATTGGAGATATTCTTGGTGGTATTTCAATAATTGACGGTGAATTTTGAGTTTCCACCACTGGTCGTTTAAGAGATTTAATTTTTGTCGGACTTGATTTTGGCGTACTTACTTGATTAATATTAGAAATTTCAAACCCAAATTTACGTGGTGATTTTGAAGGACTCCTTTGACATTGATTTTCATCGGATAAATTTATATTAGAAATTTCAGTGCCAAATTTTCGAGGAGATTTCGAATGATTTACTGTTTTTATTGGAGATTTAGACATATTATTTAAGCTTTTCATTGGAGATTTCGATGTATTATTTGAACTTTGTACTGGAATCTTTGAGATAACAGATTTTTTGACTGGAGATAACTTATTCTTTGAAATACTATCATTTTCATTTTTCTGTTCCTCAATTTTCGTCATCTTTTTACCAAAAAGTTGTTTGTTAAATCCCATAGCAGTCTTAGCTGTGTTTGACGTAAATCTATCGCCCTGAGGAGTACTTTGGAAGACGTTTTTAACTCTAGAAAACGTGTTTGGAACAAACGGTCGCCAAGGACTACCAGTGTCTTCAATAAAAGCTGGAGTTTCAGCCTTGGAAATCGGAGAAAGCGACCTTCTGATTAACGAATGATCCATCATAGTTTTCATTTGCATTGATGGTTTCATGTTAAATGCATTTGTCTCTCGGAATGGTCTACTAAATGCTTCTTCTTTTAATTTTGGTTGAAGAGGAGTTCCAGTTATGTTAATGCGATGTTCACCTCGCAAATCTTGATCAGAAATAATTCTGGGTTTATTCTGTTCAGGCAATTTTAATATTTCTTGCATATCTGTAGCTTCATGACCAATGTCTGGACTTGGTGGAGCATAAATTTCTGCTGTTACTTCTATTGTATGTGGATTATTGTAGGTTGTTACTGCAGCATTGGTTTCGTTAGGTGGATTTGTTAATATTTTAGGAACAACAACTGACTTTTGAACGATTTTTTGTTCATTATCTAGTTTTTTATTAGAAGCAGACTTAGCTTGTTCAGCTTTCAGATTTTTCAATGTTTTAACAGGTACAGCATCCATGTGACTTTTAACAGTAGCAGTTTTAGGCATGACAGTTTTTGCTTTTTTAACTGGCGCCTTCCTTACAACTTTTTTCTTTCTCTTCTTTTGAACATCATTTTTATCAGGGATAAAGTCATAAACCTTCTCTTTATCTTTTTCTTGGCTTTCTTCTAATTGTATTTTTTTGTAAATTGGACCTTTCTTTTCATCACTAACTCCTGGTTGTGGTGAATTACGTTTGTTAACTATTTGAGAATCCTCACAATAATTTTTATCCGTATTTCTAGGCCTTAAAGTTTTTTTAGCATGATTAGAAAATGATTCTGACAATGTCGTTTGCCTTAAATGAAAAGATGAGCTCTCTCGGGGCACTGGAATCACACGTGCTTTCTTTATCTTGATATTCTTCTGTCTCATACCTATGACTGCTCTTTTCAAGGGAGATATTTTAGAATGACCAACAGGTTTTGATCTATTTGAGAAAAATTTTTTGCCGCTAACAGTATTTTTTATCCTTATTGAAGATCTTCGTTTACTACTTGTTGTTGGTACATTTTTCGTGGATTTTCTTGTTGGAATCTTAGACGTGACTGATTTTTTCTGATGTTGGGGTGATTTTGGTTCATTTTCATTATCATCAGCAATATCTATAACATCCTCAGCTCGAGTTATTTTTTTTGTAGATTCTTTCGTGTCTTCAGAAGTTTTAACTGATGGAATATCAAGTCCACTTTTAACATCCCTGGTTTTTGATCGTGTTATAGAACTTACAGTAGGTTTTTTTTGTTCTTCAACTTCTTTAGATGGTTTATCTTCTTCTGTAGACTTCGTTGAAGTTTTTCTTAGTCTCATTGCTGATAATTTCGTCTGTTTTAAACTAGTTTTCTTTGATGAAGGTTCTGTTGTTTCTCCAAGAACTGCCGCTTTGGTACTTCTAGTATTAATTTTAACTACCTCTGGTAGTTCAGAAATTTTTTTTATATTTTTATTTTTTTCAAGTGATGTAACATTACTAGAAGCTTTATCATTACTAGCTTTTTCTATTAGTCTGGTAGGACGAATATTTTTTTCAGCTCTAACACTAGTTTTTTCTTTTGAATTTGATGAAGTTGGACCCTGCATCTTCTCATCATTTTGCTTTTTCCTTTGTGAAGTTTCATCTTTAGCTAATGAAGTTTTTTTCTCTTCAATATTACTCCCAATCTCTTTAGATTGTTCATCATCTTTGGACTTTCTGGACCTTGTGAATTTAATCCCACTGGATCTCGTAACACCAGTAGCGGCTTTCTCGTCTTTACCTTTTTTTAAAATAACTTTTGTGGGTTCTAAAGTCAAATTGGTTCTGTCTTGCAGAACAGGTGATCGAAGTGCAGAAATAACATTGATGTTGAATGATTTATCGTTACCTTTGATATTTTGTGTTGTAGAAGTTGCCGGTCTAGCTCTTGTAGATCTCTTAGTGCCCATGGAATCAATAACATTCTCTTTTGTACTTGATTTTGTTGACAGCTGCTTTGATTTCACTGCTCGAGACATTATTTTCGAAGTTTATGATCTAAAACCAAAAAATGATTACAATCTACTCATCTAAAAATTAAAAATAAATTATTTAAATAACACAAAATATTTTAATTTAAAAAATGATAATGTCAAAAGATATTCTAACCTCAATGTATTCTTAAAATACTTATATACCTTTTTACATTTAACTTTACTTTACTTAACAACTATCTTGTATTCATTTAATTTAACAATAGCTTTATTTATTAGAACGTACGATTATTTATTAACATCACTCGATAAAATATTCATTAGTAAATTATTTTCGCGCGTAAATACGTTTATAAACATTGTTACCGCGTAAAATACGTTAAAAAATGGACGTTACAACATATGACGCAGTATTGAAACAGCCAATGGTCGTTGAGGAAATAACAAAGGAACGGCACAATGGCATGAATTAAAATGGCGGCAAAAAGTGGAGGAAACGTCGATAATACAGGTACCAATTGGACAATTACCATTAGCATAAAGTATTAAGGGCGCTTCAAGCGTTTGGTCTTCGCAAAAAACATGACGCGTGGTTTATCTTTGTTGCTCCATCTCAGCGGAAACCACAAATGACAAGTAACCAAAAGTGTCATTGTGAAATTGTCGCGATGCGGGAACAGACTGCCGTAGTTTGTTTATCTCTTTTATTCTTCCGAGAACAAAATAAGATATTAATTTAAACCTTTTTATACATTTTAGTCTAACGTATTTATTTATTTTTAATTGTTCTCCACGTCCAGATGGAAAGCATGAAAATTGAGTCAGAAAATTATTTCATGTTCATCTGACGCCTTGTTGCGTTTAAATAGTACTTTCACCAGTGTGTTAGTTAAGTTCATCGAAATATAACACTGTGATAACAATTTAGTCGATCATCAAGTCAATATTTTGTTACTCTTACTTCATATTTGCTTATTTTTATTGAGCTAATGTTGATTTTTTATGAGATGTTATGGCGACTAGTCTAATCATTCAATAATTCAGTAAGTCAATAAGGAAAAATTTTCCTATTTGAAATTTCAATTATTTAAACAGTTGATGGTAAATTCGAACAACAAAAGATTCAAATAGAAATTTAATTAAATAATATATTAAGTAATTATTTAAAATTACAATTAAGTTAATGTGAGCCTTGACCAACTTGTCAGAATATTATTTTTCCAGTCTCTTCTCTAGAGTGGGGATCAGGATGCTTTGGTATTTTTCTATGATTCATACCAGGAACAAGTTTAATTTCTATCATTCTTGCTTTTCTAGTATTCTATGAATAATAGAAAACATCATAAAGCATTTACGACGTTTTAAATTCTTAGAACTTGATCTTTAAAATGTTAGAATTGAATTTAAAAACATAATAATGGATTATTTAAACTTGTTATAGCAATGGTAGCAGCTGGTGCAACTGCTTTAATGACTGCAAGTGAGGGCAGTTCATCTAAAGTATCAGAAAATATTACCTCACAATATGAAGTTCAACATTCACAGCGTTCTGATAGCCTTGCCAGAAGATCATCAAGATCCGGGTCTACAGACAGTATCAGTAAGAATATTTACTTATAAATTTAATTTTTTTACACTTTTATTATCTTACATTTTTATTTTTATTACCTTAGAAAGGAAAGAAAGTGTTAAAAATTCAATGCAGAACAGAACTACTTCCATTAGAGAGACTAAGACTTCTAGACTGCGTGCTGCCTCAATTGTATCTCCTGTCGGTGAGTTTGTAGTCAATTTTAAAATTATTTCACTATATTTTTACGTTTGATCTTTCGACACGTTCAACATTTCATTGTTCCTCGATTTTATTTTTAGATGGCTCAAGTTTGCCAAGAAAAGCAGGATTCTCAGAGACTGTATCACCCTGGAGCCCACAAACAAGTGGGAGTTTATTAAATAAACAAGTAAGAAAGAGAATTGATAGAAATATATCTTGAGGTGGAAATAATTTTTCATTTTCTACTTCAAGCTTCTTTTATTGGAAATGCAAGCCTTATAATTGCTAACTCTTAACGCTTGAATAGTTAAAGGCAAAAGCAAGGTAGCGAGGTCACCTTGCATGTTAGTGTTATCAACCACTTAAATATATTATAAAACAGCTTTTTGTTAAAAATAAAAACATGAGGATAATAATTGTTTAAATTTTTTAACATAGAGAGCTGTTTTTTTTATTTAGTCTCAAGAGTTTATGCTAATTGTACACATGTGTATGATGAATATTGGAAGAGCTCTTACATAATTTCAAATATTATTCTTTAATAGAAAAGTCCAATGTCTTCAAGTAGCAGCCTTTCTCAAACATCTACTAGAGACAAAGATAGATATCATCGGCGATATGCTACAAAGTCGAATGATTCTGAAGAAAAAATTGATTCAAACCGTAAGTAATTAGAAGCATTATTGATTTATTAACTGATAAGAAACTAAACGTTTTCATTTCGTTGAAAAATACATATTAATTTATACAATAATCTTAATCATGTTTTCTTTTTAATTATCTTAATTGTCATTTTATAACTTTCTTCTAATTCAATTAATATATTAAAATAGATTATCATCATTAATTAACATTAATTATAATTTGATTTGATATTTTAGAAGACAAGAATGAGAGAAGATCTAAACGTTTGTCGCGGCCAAGTGTTTCAGTAAGCAAATCGTCTACTGTCAGTGATTTCAGTCCGTTGAACCAAAGTCCGTTGAGTCTCCGTCGGCAAAATTACGATTCTAAAGACAGCACACGACGGGTCAGTAATCAACAAAGCACATCCGATTCTGCAGCTCGTGCATCGTCCACGCTCGCTTCCTCATCCGGCGTAAAGCGCACAAATCTCCAACGGTCTAGGTATGTGTTCTGTATTGTGATGTGTACTCATAGCTACTAATTAATAAGTGCGCCAACATGCCAATATAACTCACGCGCACATTCAATAAACAATCTAATTGATCTAACATCCCTGCGGGTATAAATTGTACTTATTCTATTCATACTCAATTTGAGAGCTTCTTTTCTTTTGCATTATCAGTATACTAAAGACTAAATACACTTCATCTAAATATATACATATATATGTACATATATTTTTTTAGTTCTTTCTCTCTCAATTTTCATCATAAAGTATTTTTCGATTAATGTTGATGAGTCAGTAAACCCATATGACCTCGATTTGTATGCCTTTATGTATGATTATACTTTAGATTGTCACATGTGGGCGCTATTTGCATATTCAATACCTTATCTGTTACACAGTTAAATTAGTGTTCATTCAATAGTATCTTACGTTAAAAACAGTCCATGTGATGCTTACGTTTACCTCAAATGGTATAAAATATTCAAATATTACATAAAGCTGGTATTTAAATAAAGGCATATTATTTTAATCTTTTTTCGATTAAGAAAAAATTGATTATAAACCATTTCAATAAATTGTACTAAATATACATTTGTTAAATTTTTTGATTAATTGAAAAACAATTTATTTCAACATAACAAAATATTTTTTCATTGATATACTGTATGAAAAATGAGAGAGTAAGAATAAGAAAGAGAGAGAAGCCTGTTCCAAAACGAGACTTGACTGAACTCAGTGCAAAAATACACACAAGAGAAAGAGCACTGACTCGTCGACGATAGTAACGAAATGAATTTTTTTTTTATTCCAATGTTCATAGCGGACTTGACAACGAGGTACTGCAGCGGGTCGACGCGCTGACGGCACTTACAAGAGCTACCATGGAACGTGTAGAAAGGCTCGCATCATCATCATCCCACGCGATTACACCTATTAATAGTAGATCTAATCTACAAAGTGATGTCCATTCTTCCGGTACACCTATAATCTCTCCAAAATTACGTACCACCAAATTATCAAAAGCCATTTGTGTTTCAAAATCAACATCTTCAACAGCCAATTCATCTATTTTGAAGACAATCAAAGATGAAATTCAAATAACTCCAAAACCACAAGTACCTATTTCAATACTTAAACATAAGTCATTTGATATCGAAACAGTGGAAGAGCCCAAACTTTGTCCTACAGTCATAGTTAAAGAAAGAGTTAATAAAAAACATGGTATTCTAAAAAAACGAAGTAGTTTAGATGAAAATGAAATTTTACGTCGTCAGAGTAATTCTCCAGATGTTTACACTGAAATAAGTAGTTATGAATCTCGACCAATTTTAAAAAATGAACGACGATCATCATTAGACGAATTAGTGAAGCGTTCAAGAAGCCCTGAACCACAGCCAATATCAATTTTAAAAAGAAAAAGTTTAGGGGAAGATGATCGTGAAGATCTTAGCTCAACAGAACCCCAGAGTATCTTAAAAAGACCATCGTCGGGATCTAATAAGTCTGGATCTACAGGTCATCATGTTAGCATTGCAGCAGCAGTTGCAAAAACTCTCGGCGGTGTGGAGTTTCTTAATGGAGGAATTTGTACGGAAGTTCGACCAATTTTGAAGAAAAAAATGAGTCGAGAAGAATCATCCTCCAGTGATCCTCCTTCTTTAGAACCTCGACCAATCTTGAAAAAAAAGTCTAGTACAGAGTCCGACGAGCATGAAGATAGACCTAAGAAGACTATTCTTAAGTTGTCGAAAAAGAGTTCTGAAGAATCCAGCAATGAATCTGAGACAGCTTCTCCAAAAAAACTTTCGGTTTTAAGGAATCGTTCACTTCAAAGAAGAACCAATAGCTTACCCGAGTGTGATGCAGTGAGGTCAATTTTGAAAAATTCATCTTCAGGAAGATCGCGATCTAGTGACCTTACTCCTAAGGATGCTAGCTTGAGGAAACGTGCTCGATCTGTTGGCCATGAGAATACATTCCAAGACGACTGGAATGAAACGTATGATACCAGAGATAACCTAGACGTTGACAGTAGACCCTGTTCAAATAATTCATCATCACGTTGTAATAATTTTGTATCATCCATTCCACCTATTGTCTCATTCAAGCTACCCAGTAGGTACGTCATTGCTTGCTTTTCGTTTCATCATCCAAAATAGGATTGATTCGATAAAACTAGATCGATTCGATCCGGTTTATTTTCCTCAACTACTGTAATTAGTATCTATTCCTTAAGTATCTATTTGAAATGGTCATTTATACTTTTTTCTTTTTACAGAGAAGATGAAGTCATCTATTGTGACTCAAGTACAGAAACCAATGATGAAGACTCTGTGAGAAGAAAATTAGATGAAAACATTGTTAAATTACGCCGAGCCAGGCATGTATTTCGTCGATGTCGAGACCGTAAAGAGTTAGGAAATATTGAACCGTGTCAGAGTTTACCTCAAACCGTTGTTATTGACAACCCAAGTGTATCTGAGTCAAGAAATATAAAGGTAGATGAAATGGCAGAAAAGAAAAGTGGGACTAAAAAAGATGATGATATAGATACAGCAACCTTGGAAGGGCGGAAACAAATTAATAAAAACGACCGAAAGAACAATGTATCACAAATGGCTCTACGTTTCAAGGTGATGGAGGAGCAAAGAAAACCTAACGGCGTGAAGGAAAACAGCTTGCCTCGACAAAATCAACAACGAAACGATGAATATAGTTCAAAACATAGAGATATATATGAAAGATTTAACACGCAGCCAGTTACTTATCAAGAGGTACACGAAGCGGTCTTGCACAATCGAGGAGTGAATACAGCTAGTATAGAGATTGAATTGCTTCAGGCTACTACTGACAGACAAGATTCCAAAAACGATAATTCTGAACCGTTCAAGTTGAGTTTAGCTGAGCGAGTTCGATTGTTTAATCAACGAATTGCCTCAGAAAGCATTGCCAAGGTTGGAAACTCACTTGATCGAGCTCAAAGAAGACCACTCAGTCGTTTTAGGACTCAACCAATTACGTCAGAAGAGGTCGAGGTCGCATCAAGAAATATTCCGTCCAGAATCAAAAATTTAAACACTACACCTTCTGAATCTCCTGGTACTGTAATTTTTTGATTTAAAACAATAACCTCATAATTTCCTTACGATAACTTTACTATTTATTATACCTATGTTATTTATTGAGGGTCAGTTTAAAGTGTTACATCAATTCATTTACAACTCATTCATTAAAAAAAAACCTTCAAAGTATTCTATTGAAAGGCAAACAATTTACTGAATGTTTGAAAATTAATTGAACAAAAGAGAATTATTAATAAACTCATTTTCAATTTGAAGAAACCGAAATACTTACGCGAAATGGATATTAGTGAATGAATTTTCTTTGAATTAATAAAAAATAAAAATATTGTTGAAGATAGAACAATCAGAGATTGTTTGGAATTGAAAAATTATAAACTATGAAGATATTGACTTTTAATTTTTATTAAATAGAAAAATTATTGACAGATAAAAACTTCAATACTAATTCTCTCTTCGATATCATTTATTAAATTATTTGTTAGTTATTAATTTTCTCTCTAACGATAAAGTTTACTTCAATCATATCTCAATTTCTTTGTTATTAGAGTTTGAGTTAAACTAAACTTTATTTCTCTATTATTTCAATAGGAATCTCTGTCACTGCTGAATCTGCAATGCATTCAAACAACGATTCAATAAAAAGTATTTTGAAATCTTCAAGTTCTCACGTTCTTAGTCTTCAAGAGAAGTCTACTGAATTCATTCAAGTGTCACATTCAAGTTCGAATTCATCTTTAGAGTTAGAAATTGATCAAGTAGGCCAGAAGTTTGGGTATCGAAGGAAACAAGAGCAAGTTATTACTAGGCAAAATGATAATGCATCAGATGATGAATGTGTAGACGTCAATGATGGAGTTATTATGAGAAATAAAAATAGTCGTATTCATGAACCGAGTCAAGTGATAAGCAAAGCAGACAAACCAGTGCCTTCTTCTGAGTGTATTGATAGAAATAGTACTTCAACAGAATCAATCATTGCACGAAAACGTATTACTTCACGTATGTCTATTCTTACTGATATTTCCCAATCAAATTTTGAGAGTGAATGTAGAGAAGAAAAAAGTTTGAGCGAAATTTCAAAAAATACTCGACCCCTGTCAACATCGATAAGTTTAGATTTTCCAAGTATGAGTATTGCTGATCGTTTAGCTGCTTTACAACGCAGCGGATCAACAGATTGGAAACGCCGAGTGATTACTGAATCTGTGCCTTCAATATTAATCGAAAAATATTCGGAGGAGGTATAATTTTATTATTATTTTATTACCTTATAATCTTACAAGATAATAATGATAATCATTTGTAGAGTTCCGAGAAGGGTAATCTTTGTCAAAAAGAGAAAGACGAACTTGCGATAAAACAACGAAGACTTGCTGATCGTCTTGAAAAATTAGAGTCTGCCGCAGAAGGATGGCGTAAAAGAGTCGCTGTTACGGACGCACTTAAATTTTCAGTGGCTGGTAAAATGCGAGGAGAGCAATTGGATACGTTGAACTTGCAATCGAAGCCATTTATTGAATCTATGGGGAATTGTGTTTCTGATAGAAAGAAAAAAGTCCCACGTCCGGAATACTTTAAAAAAGGTAATAAAGCTATAAAATTTTATTACTTTAGTCATTCTTAAAGCTTTGAAAAGTTAGAGACGATCTTTTAATAAAATTTATGACTTTTGTTACTATTCTTATTAAACAATGATAAATTTAAGTATAAAATTTTAAAAAATTAATCGAAAAAGTTTTTGAAAAATTAATGAAAGTTTAAAAATATCTTTCTATTCCAGGCGACACGAAAGATATGCTGTCTACTTCTACTGAAGATTTAACGAAAATGTCTCGAGAGAATTCTTTAAAAGATACTAGTGATGATAGCGGTGAGGAAGAAAAATTAGTAGATTATATAAATTTATATTTCTGTTAACTCATTTAAAAGTTTCTAAAATTATTTTCAGGTGAAGAATCAAAAACGACTACATCGCTAAAATCAATCCATTATATCCCTCGCACAGATGATGAGACCTTTACCTCATTTTTTGATAGTATTTCTGTGGAACGATGTATAGAGGAATCTCTTGATGTAGCTGAAAGTGATTTTGATGTAGTTACATCATACTCTGAATTGTAAGTTATTAATATAGTATCAGTTTTTTCAAGAAGTTAATACACTAGCTTTGATAAGCTATCTGATATAAATCTTATCCGTTTATTCTATTCTTATTATTGATAGATTGGGCACAAGAAGAACAACTAAAGTACAACGTCGAAACGTTCCTTCAAGAAATCCTCTTAAAGCCCTTGCTGCCCGAACGGATCTCAAAGATGCGTACACCGAAGTAACAACCGGTGTTGCAGAAAAAGTTTTAAAAATGAATAATATTGAAAAACGTAAGTGAAATATAAAGCGATCTAAAATCTATATTAAATATTTTCTATTCAATAAAATTAATATTTTATATTTTTAGTTGCTCAAAATTCATCTCTCGCTGTAGAAGCACTAGCTGGTCTAGCTTCAACAGAAGATTTCAATTCAGTAACATTAAAAAACGTTACTGATGATGTTGGAATTGGTACCAAGTTACGTCCTTATAAAGATTTAATGTTAATTCTAGTTAAAGGTCGTCGGCATGTTCAAGTACGTCTAGTCGAACCTGTTGCATCAAGTGTAAATTCAGGTGACAATTACATTTTAGTAACAAAGACAGAGTTATATCATTATATAGGAAAATACAGTAATATAATTGAAAAGTCAAGAGCTGCAGAAATAGCATTAAGAATCCAACAAAATAAAGATCTTGGTTGTCGAGCTACTAAATTAATAACAATAAATGAAGATAAATTAACACATAAATTGTCAGAAATGCAAGACTTTTGGAAGCTTCTTGGTGAACAAACAACTAATCCTCAAGTTATTGAAGCTGGACATCCAGATGAAGATGAGATCTATGAATCAGCGTTGATTGACACAAATGTAGTTTATGAAGTCGCTGGCGATAAATTGATACCCTTAGAAAAATGTTGGGGTGCAATACCAAAGATAAAGATACTTGATCCTAGTAAAATTTTAATTTTTGACTTTGGAAGTGAAATGTATATATGGAATGGTAAAATAGCACCAACAGAAAAACGAAAAATTGCAATTAAATTAGCACAACAATTATGGAATGAAGGATATGACTATTCTGAGTGTTCTATTTGCCCATTAGACGCAGCATCCCTCATAGGAAATCGTTCTAAAATTGCTACAAATCCAAAAAATGGAACTAAAAGACCCGAATGGTGTTTATTAGCTAAACTTACTCAGCATATGGAAACTGTACTCTTCCGAGAAAAATTTTTAGACTGGCCCAATGCTTCCGGAGTGATAAAAGTAAAAAAGCCAGAAGAAAAAGAACAAGTTGAAGCTAAAATTGTAATTGAACCACCAGATGTAAATTTAATGTTTGAACCGAAATCATCTTCCGTTGATTTAATTCTTGAAGGTTGCCATTTAGGTAGAGGAAATGGATGGTTTGATGAAGAATTTAAAAGGCAATATATTGTTGCAACCACCGATGTCACAGTATGGCACATAAATGAGTATTCGTACACAAAACTTGATAAAAATTCTATTGGGCAATTTTTCACTGGAGATAGTTATATCGTACGTTGGATGTATACAATAACTGTCACGGGAAGAGAACTCAGTGGATTACCATCGAAACATGCGGTGGAAGGTCGAGATCGTTGTGCTTATTTTATTTGGCAAGGAAGAAATGCTTCTTTGAATAAACAAGGAACAGCTGCTCTGCTTACAGTTGAACTTGATAAAGAAGAAGGCCCACAGATTCGTGTAGTGGAGGGTTCTGAACCAGCAGCATTTCTCAATTTATTCAAAGGCGGCATGGTAATACATCTTGGAAAGAAATCAGAAGAACGAGATTTGAAAACAACGAGGACATTTATAAGCCGTGGTGTAGAGGAAATGGAAACTGAATTGATTGAAGTTCCTTATAGTCCTCGACAGTTAAGGAGTCGTGGTTCTTTAGTCTTCCTAGATGGTGAGTCTGAGAAAATAAATATTTGGCATGGTCGACATTCTCTGACTCATGTGAAAAAAAATACGGTTTATGCTGCGAATAAACTTAAAGAAAATCGTCCAGTTGAGGCCGGGCTAAGTGCCAATAGTGAAGTGATAATTCAGGAAATTTTTGAGGGAGAAGAGCCAACAGAATTCTTGGAAGGTGGTATGAATAGGAAGCTACACATGACATTAAATAGAAAGAGCATTCCGCATCACACTCCGAGACTATTCCACTTCTCAAGTGTCTCTGGGGAATTTACAGCCACAGAAATACTTTGTCCTCATCGATCTGATGTGCCAAACCCTTTTCCTTTCGTTCAAGACGAGTTATACCAAGCAAGTCAACCAACTTTATTTTTATTAGACAACAAAAATGAACTTTGGTTGTGGCAAGGTTGGTGGCCTGATTCGGGATCTGAAGACCAAACAGGAAGTGGTGCAGTCAGATGGCAAGCGGAACGAAGAGCAGCAATGACAGTAGCTATAGAATATTGGAAAAAACTTCATCCCAACTCGAAAAAATGTTCTGTGTACCTGGTGTGGGCTGGCTTGGAACCATTAGAGTTTATTGACCTCTTTCCTTCATGGACTGACCGTGATGAAATCGCAGAAGTAAATATAAAGGTAAAAATGATCATTTCACGGCATCAATTATTTTTTCATTCACTTTGGAACAATTCAAAGTAATACTAATTTATATCATAAACTTTTTTACAGGATGGTCGTGCTCCTGGCGAAATACTTTCTGTTGAAAGCGAGCTGGCTCGTTTGATGCAACGTACTTATCCTCCTGCTCAATTATTACAACGACCTTTACCCGAAGGAGTTGATCCTACTACTTTAGAACTATATTTATCTCCACAACATTTCCAGGTATGTCTTTAGAGTACTAAAGGATATTATGTACCAAAGTATTTTCGATTGCTTTGTGTAATAAAGTATAAAAGATTATAGAATGCGAGACAAGTAAAGTAAATAATTCAGTCCAGACTTAATAATTGTGATATTTAAATTAATGTGACATAATAAATTCAATGTGCTTAGAAGTTACGTCGTGGTTTTACTTTAAGTATTATAAATGAACTATTTATAATTTGAAATTAAAGCTGCCCTATAGTAAATTAACTAACAAATATTCTTTTTCTAGGAATTATTGGGAATGACGATAGAAGAATTTCAAGAGCTTCCATTGTGGAAACAAATTGATATAAAAAAGAAAATAGGCCTTTTTTGATGAATGGAGTTGATAACAACAACTGTGACGAATGTTTATTAATTTGTCAAATTTTTTTTATTGATTAAAAAAAGTTGCCAACGCAATTAATTTAACTACAAACTCAAGACTCATGTACACAAGACATAAAAATGTCTTCTGAAACGAAAATGAAAAAGACTTAGGCTAAAGTATTATTCCGAAACTGCAAAGATGAAATTATATTTTTAATACACGCAACAAATCATAAATTGGCTTGTGAATATTTCATTTATATTTGTACGGGTTTTATATTTATCAATAATACATGTGTTTTAAACCGTTATCTGAAATAACACATTTTTGTGTCCTTTTTCATTCCATCATTTATCCACAAACATCTCATACATATGAGAATATTATTAATTTCATCAAAAAATTATAAACTCTTTTTTTATCACTACATCTTTGTAATCAGTATTAACATTTAACATTTCTGTTTTTAGTGTCTGATTCTCGAAATATCGTTGACACACCAATTAAAACACAACTTATTACATTAATTAATAACGAAATCTATTTATCTTACTGCAATAGAATACACAAAGTGCTTTACCACACAACTAAATTAATCATTAACGAAGAATAATTAAAATATTCATTACAGATAACCGGCTTTATATTTTTGTGTTTATATCAATAATCAAAATTTATTAATTTTCAAATATGTTATATAATCATTTATTCAAAAAAAAAAATTTAATTACAGAAAATTATAACTCGAATTTATTACGGTAAAACTAAATTATTAAAGAACATGTAGGTATTTAATAATGATTTTATTCTTTACGTTTATCTTTTATCAAAGATAATCATTACTCATTGATAATAATTATAATAATCATAATATAATAAAGAAACGTGAACGCATACATGTAAAAGCATACGTGTAAAATAACTGATTGATATAATAATTTTATCCATTTTGTATCTAATTTTATTTTAGTAATATAAATATGCTTATTCACATTTTTAGTCTGGCTATCAAAACGAAAAAATTGGTGATTAATAGTTTTAATAAAGTTAGCAGATAATTTTTTAACTCAATACAATGAAAATAAATAATATACGCAATATTTTTATTTTTCACTGGTTAGTCTTTAATACAACGGTTTACTCCGAGATCGACACGGGTAAAAGGCAATTATTTATTTTTTGTTAGCCAGTAACTTTGTGACATTACTTATTGCATTTCCAATCATTTAAAAAATTTAATACATAGGTCTAGTATTTATCTTTTCACAGCTCACGGATTCTATACCATTGAATTTCGAATGCAATGTACAATAGCGCAACATCACTTCACATTTTTCTTTCATCCATTCTCACGATTTTATTCATTGACATTGAAATAGATTTAATATCTATTCATTTTTAATTTCAAAAATTTCTCATATCATACCAGACAAATTTAATTAACTTTTTCATCCAAATACGTTCTTATTGCTTCTTGACATTCTTGTGAACACCAGTGTTGGATCAAAACGTAACTCTCAGACTCCAAAGCAGCATCAAGTTTTTTACGCAAACTGTGACGGAGAAGTGCCTTTGTAGCAACCATCGACTAAAAAATAAAATTGACAGTTAAATTTTTTATAATTTTTTTTAATTTAAAAAGTTTTTAATTAAAAATTATTTATTAATTCAAATTTAAATCTAGCTTTCTAGATGATAAAGCAAGTCTTTATAAATAATGTATTACTGCCATTCTTCATGTCTGCTTTGTTATTTAAAAACCTAGATTTGAATTTCAATGAATATAGTCTTCTTCATTTAATTAATTAAATGCTATAAATTTAATATTAAGATAATATTTACTACACGCCATTAACAATAATAAATAAACACTTGTTTAAACATATAATATTCAAATAAGTCAATATAAATTAATATAATTTTTCAATTATATTAATTAATGTTAATAAGAAAATAATAGCTCTCACGATTCTTAGCCAAATCCAGTAAGTTATACATATTTAAAATGATGATATTTCAACATTTCCTACCAGAGCACACTTAATGTAGGCGTATGTGTAGGAAGACCAGGTATAAATCGAAGTGAACAAAAATCGTTATTATTTACCTAACTCAGTTGGATCGTTTACTTAATCGCAAAAATGCAGTTATTGATTTTGTTAAGTCTCTTGATAACTTATGTTTCATGGACATCATCAAATTTTACTAGAATACTGAGTAAACCAAATAATATCGTTTTCAAGTATGGACGGGGTGTATGTATTCATAATTTTTATTAATAATAAATCAAAAAAGTGGAATTGCATGTTGGAAGATAAGGAGAACAAACAATGAATCATTGAATTTTTTCCAGGCGACCGGAGAAAGAACCTTGTATGAGTGTGGTAAACATGAAGCTTGTAATGTAATCCATCGACGATTTTGGATGCCTAATTTAGCAGAAAGACTTTGTAGATGCCCTAATGGGGACGAGTGTCCTTGGACTGATAAAATTGATGATTTTTCAATACCACTCAATAACAGAGCTATTTTAAAAGTATTAAGTTATTTTTAGCTATTTTTTAATTAAGCAAGAAAAATGATTAATACAATAAACATATTTTCTATACAGTTTTGTGAACCGGTAGAAAATAAAGGGCTGTGCAAACCTCGACAAACAGCTGCAACAGTATATGGAGAAATAAACGATGATCAAACATACATGGTCCCCTACATTATTGATGTAGATTGTATCTGCCCATCAACACATTATTGGAAATTGAAGAAGTATGATTTTATCAACAACCGAGCTTTTCAAATTTATCGCTGTGCTAAGGTACTTAAAAGTCATTTAATTTACACTTTACAGGAAATTAGTGACCGTAAACCCATAAATAACGATCATTACCTGGAAATAATAATAATAACTTTACTCCGTATTTGATTTACTAATTAAAATACCATTTTTAGCAACGAATGTGTTATAGCTACGAATTTTGTGGCTTTGTAAGAGAAGATTTTTTTTCAATTTACTATCGATGTTCATGCCCTGAAGGAAATTTGTGTGTAAATACTAATAAAAATACGGAAATAGTTCAAGAATTGATGTATTTGGGGCCAGCTTTTCGAGCCTACTGTGATCCATGGAATAAATCTAGTAGAGTTTATTAAATTATATTCAATGTGAATAAAACAGTTACATAATTCATTTATCATGAGTGAAATTTTTAAAAAATTCTATGAATGTAGATATATTTTAAAACTATATACCTGTGCAGACTGCTCACTCATGGCTCGTAGAAAAGGCAGTAATTCCACTTGGAACCGATCAGGCCAAAGAACTCTTGTTACAAGTCCTGCTCTAAGTGCTTCACTTGCTGTTAAAGTTCTGCCACCCAATAAAAGTTCATTTGTCTGCAAAAAATAAATTCATATCATGAATAACGGCTTATTGAAATATTTATCCTAATTAATCGATAAATAATGTTTAAATAAATTATCAGCTATGTAAAGTTTTATAAAATAAATTAATTTTATTTATTTTATATTTTCCTGGATAAAACAGGTTTTTTCTTACATATATAGATGACGTATAAGTAGATAAGCAAAAGAAAAAACTCACCACAACACTACCAAGAACGTGAGAGAGTGTAAAAACAGCAGCTCCTTCAGCAATTTGTCCTAATTTTCCATACGGAGTGCTGAAAGAAGCCTTATCACTGGCTATTACAAGATCAAATAGAGGAAGCATCGTAACTCCCAATCCTACAGCTGATCCTTGAACTCCAGCAACAATTGGTTTATTGAATGTTGCAAGGCTTTTGATGAAATCTTTGACCCCATTAGCAAGTTCCTGAGCATGTGCGCGTCGTGCATCTTTATTATCATGCAATAACGTAGATAACTCGAGACCTTCGCAGAAACTTGAGCCTGTAGAAGTCAACAATACAACCCTGCAGTCGTCGTCTTTTTTTAGAATCGTTAGAGCGTCACGAAACTCCTGCATAATCTGCAGCGTGAGTCCATTTTTAATTTTAGATGACGTCGACGGCGTCAGTATCAATTGAACGAAATTCCCATGCCGTTGTACAATTATCTCTTTATTACTGAATTGAACCTTATCTTTTGCTTTAACACTTTCCACATCGGACCCTCGCGTTTTTATTTTTCTATTGACGATTCCAGCTCGCGTGCGTACTGAGTTATCGTTTGCTAATGCTGTTACAGCTTCTGCTAGACATGCAGACAAAGCATCATCTTTCTCTGTGGGTTCATCAATATCTTCGTCATCATTTTCTTTAGCAAAAGATACTTTACTTCTGGCAACTTTTTTATTTTTTGCATTTTTACTAGGCGTGACTTCACTCTCTTCAACTTCCTGTTTCGAATTCTTCGCCTTTTTTGTCTCGACTTTTTTTCCTGCTTTTCCAGCAGCAATAGTTTTATTTTTTATTGTTGGGGATGCTTCATTGACTTTACTGTCATCTTTTTTCATTCTTTTAGCATCATTACTTGCTTTTTTCTTGTCATCTTGTGATAGTCTTCTTTTGTTGGATCTTAATGCATGGTTTTCATCCATTTTTGGATCTAAACTTTGTCTGTCTGCTGTGTCTACACTAACTCGAGGGCTTCCTGAAGCACTTGAAAAAGAACTTGATGAATGTCTTCGAACTATTATCGATTCATGGGCACTTCTGATCTTAGCAGGAAAAATAAACTCAGACGAAGAACTGATCGACGATCTGGGTGATTTTGATGTCTCCTGAGTTTTTTTCTCGATTGGAGATGATTGTGCTGATTGTTGTTGATCATTCCCATGGATTGATCGTTTAGATCTCGACGTAACAGCACTTGGAGTCGTACTAGAAGTCCGTAATCTTAAAACTGCATTCCTTACAAGCTTTGTTCTGATCTTTAACTCACGTTGAATCTTTTGCATGTCCATGACCTTTGCGTGTGATTTGGTAACTGGTACCAAACGCTTTTTGCCAGGTTGTTCAACATCATAAAGTAAATTGACAACTCCTTCATCTTGAAGAAGACGATCTATTTCAGCATTTTTTTTCTTAGGTTTAGGTTCAGTAGTAGAATTTTCAGGTGTCTTTTTAGTAGCTTTTGTAACTTTTGTCACTGGTTTTTTATTTACATTTTTCGACGATGATTTTTTCGTTGCTTGTACTTTCGGACGGACAACTTTTTTCTTTGCATTTGATTGAGTAGTTTTCTTTACTGGAGTTTCTTTTGATTTCTTCGTTGAATCATCAGGAACTTCAGATGAATCTATTTTTTCATCAGTTTCTTTTTCTTTTACATCACTTGATTTTTCAGAAGTTTTCATATTTTGGTTTTTATCCGTTTCTACACTGGCTGTAGAAACTTCTTCGGTACTAGAAATATGATCATCAATATCTTGTGACTCAGAAGAAGAATTTTCAATTCTTGTTTTTTTTGTTGTAGGTTTTCCTTTCATAATCTTCTGTCGTTTTGCACTAATTTCATGTTCTCTTGCTTTTTCTGTTGGCTTTCTCTTTCTTCCAGATCTTGTTTCATCTATTTTGTCTGCTTTTGTTTGATCAGATTGTTCGGAAATAGTTAAATCTATCGATATTAATTCATCTTCCTTTTGTTCTGTTGCGTCATCAGCTTCTTTTTCCACTAAATCGATATTGACAACTGTTTTTGACGTTTCTTCCGATTCTTTTGTGACTTCTTTCAGCCTATTTTTTACCGGCGATTTTACCGGAGACAACTTTTTTTTTGGAGATGCTTTTTTAGGCGTCGAAGGGAGCTCCAACAACTGTTTTAAAGCAAGCTCTCGTTCAATCAATGGATCTAATTTCGGTGGCGAAGTATGTTCAATAATTATGTCATTATTTTTAGCTTCATCCTGAAGCATTGGAGGTTTTAAGTCGGACCAATCAGGATCTACATCTCCTTCGAGAATAGCTATAAGTTCTTTATCTCCACTAGTTTTAGTTTCAATTTCCGTAGTCTTTTCAGCGCCATCTGATCCTATTACAGGAGTTACTGGAGACGAAATTGGAGACAGTTTACATTCCGGTTTCGGTTTCCCTTTTTTTAAAATAATTATCTCCTTAGATGAAATTTTAAAGTCTTTACTTTTTATGTCCTTGAAGACCTTTGATGCATCATCCGACGTCGATAAAGGATTTAAGACTAGATCGGATTTTACTCCAGATTTTGATGTAAGCAATAATTTTTTTACTGAATTTTTGGATTCCGAAGAATCTGAGAATGATCCTATCATTTTAGGTGACGTATGAATGGGTGATTTTTTAATTAAAATTTCTTTTTTCATTTTTAAAGGAGTGCTTGTTTTAGATGATTCTTCTGACTTCGTAATTGCCATTGTTGGTGTACCTGAAGAATATTTTTTGGGAGAATTTGATGAATTTTGAATTTTAACTTCTGTTTTTATACTTTTGTTGTCATCCAATAAATTTTTTAATTCTTCTTCAACATCATCGTCAGATTTAAAATTATAACCGCTAAAGTCTTCTTCAGGATTTTCATCCATCCAGTCATCATAGATACTCTCTATGACACTACGCTTTTTTTCTGGACTTGATATCGTTTCACTTTCTTCCTTTTTAGGACCTTTCTTCGAATGTTCTTCAGAATTACACTCACCGTTTCCCATTTTTGCACTATCATCAATAACTACGTTTTCACTCTTTGTTACTTTTTGTAATAGTTCATCAATTTTATTTTCACTAGATCTCCCTGACATTCGAACTACTTCTCGGACTTCTGGAGCCGATTCAACACGTTTACTTGACTCTACCTTTTCAAATTTAAGCTCTTGATTACCGTCCCCATCTGTATACTCAATTACGTTAAACTCTACTGTTTCGGTCGTATGCTCATTAATACTACCGTCCATTATTTTTTCTTCCGATACAATCGCTATGTTGTCATTATGTATACTAATTACTGCAGTACTGTCAAACTCGGTAGGAATCATGATTGTTTTTTCAATCATTTCTATAGTGTCTTCAACTATTTCTTCAGTACTATTATCTGACAATGACGTCACTTCTGCTTTCTCTGAATTTTCATTCTTGTTAGGTGATTGCGTATCTTTGGTCTTGTTATCATCGTTTGGGCTTTCAATAACAGCACTCACTTCATCTTCTGAAGAATCCTTTAACAATAATAACTCACTATCATCTTCACTATCTTCATCTCTTGATATATTTGCAACTTCACTACCATCCTTTTTAAGATTTACCTGATATGCGTCTATTTTTTGTTGGATAATATTCAGTTTTTCACCATTTTTTTCAGCGTTATTTTTTCCTCCATTTTCGCCTGCACTAACTTTGTCTGTTTCTATATTTTCAGGGACATTATTACTGTTAGATATATCATTTTTTTCTAAATCTTCCATTTCTATGGTATTTTCTAATGGCGAGAAAACCCCTGAATCAACCCTTAAATCTTTGTTTAAGGATTTTTCATTTTCGGAGTCAGCTATCGCTGATTCAATTAGAACAGCTTCTGATGATGAATTATTCGGATTCATATCCATATTCTGTTGGTCCATGGTTATTTACATAAAGAGGTAAACAATAAATTATGACAAAATCTGTGAAAAAATATTATTTATGTAGAAATGTATATATTATTATTTTTTTAAATCTAAAGTTAAAAAGCCGAATGAGAACTTACCATAAATTCTGATTATGTTTATTGCGATGGTAAAAAATCATAATTTATAGATCATATAGGTTTTCATGAGACCATGAACATTCGTAAATGTTGTAAAAATTCGTTGGCAATTAATAGTGTATTTTGAACTTTAATCAGTAATTTCTATAACTAGATAAAGTTTGTAAGAACGCAAAGCCCAAATATAATGTTTACATGAACCGTGTGACTAATGGAACACACTATTCACTACGATAACAAGAACCTTTTTTTCTCAATGTTTTTTTGTACTTGGTTACTGTTTATCCAGTGATAAATAACTCGTTTGATCGAGTAATGTTCGCTTTCACTATCAGTCACATCTGCTGTCTATTTATTTCTATACTAACGTTGATTTTTATTCCAAAATATTCACTTCATTAGTACAACACACTAATATTCACCGAAACGACAGCAATGCACAGAGCAATCAACCATTGGAACATTGCTGCCACCATTATTTGTTCAGCAATGGTACCAACATCCATTTTTTTTTTGATTTTCTCCATAGAAAAAGATAAATACAGAGGTAATTCCAAAATGCACTTGTCGCTACTGTTCTGGATATTTTTGCAAACTACTAAACGGCAATATATCGATTTTTCGCAATCTGCATTATCACATAAGCTTTGTTTGATGAATGCAGGAATGGAGGGAGATTGCAAAATGTGAAACTCGCTTCGTTTACTCCAAAATCTTACTATTGGATAAAAAAAATTCTAAAAATATAAATATGCCATGAAATATTCATATATAAAAAAGTATTTGAAAAATATTCGTTTTTAATATATGTATATATACACTATATAATAAACTATCTTTCTACTTTTGAAGTAGAGATGCATGCTTAAAAATTCTGTATTAATTAAATATACAAATTATAATATCAACTTGAAATAACTTTCATATAAAAATAGAGACAATGTGCGAATATTTCTCCTGAATTTATCGTGATCTACTTTCAAAGTAAGAAAATAAATATGAAGATTGTAGATTGTAAAAAGTTTTTCTAAAATTTTTGCTTTGGATTCTTATCATTCAATGGTTTCTTATTGTTATCTAAAAACATTTTTTTTCGTGCTTTCATAATTTCGTTTTCTTTTCGACTTCTCTTCTTTCCAATATCTTTATTCTTAGTTTGATCTATAGATTTCTTTAATGATGGTACATAACTATCATCAAACTGCATAGCTTTCGTGGGAAAATTTGGCTGATACTCTTCTACCACTGAATTAGAACTCTTCGAACTTGGTATATAAGCTTCGCTAAGTTCACGAGGTAGACTATTTACTCCACATGGATCATACACATCATGTTTGACTTTTTCAAGACTTGAAATTGGATTTGGCACATATCCCACTTCATCTTTTATCGATAAACTCTGTTTGATCGTCAAAGGCGGAGAATATTCGTTGGAATTTGATTCATTAGATTGTTTTAATTGTCTTAGTAAGCTTTTTCTACTAGGAACATATTTTAAATCTTCCTGTATTTTTTGTTTATTTACTAAGTCTGTTGGAACATATTCTTCAGGATGATAAGGATCTTCTTCTCCCATCAATCGTTGTATTTTAGCTTCTGGAGTATTGAATAATGCATCTAATGCTTCATTTACAGTCTGATTGGTTTTTTCAATAGTTTCTGTTTTGTTCCTAGAAATTGGTGTACTTGCTATTCGTGATAATCTTTTTGCTGGTGATACTCTCACTTTAACAGTAGGCAATGAGTTTTTACTTTTAATGTCTTCAGGTGGCTCGATAGTGTAACTGTTCAAAATTATCATTAATATATTTAATGTATGATAGTAAAGTCAATAAACTATAGAACTAAACAATAAAAAATAGGAGTAACTCGATGGATTAGATTTATCTTATAATTTTCAGTTGGTTAATGTAAGCAATTCATGATAACAAATGTGTTGTCTGTTAATTAATGTTGAATTAACAGTTAATAATGTTATATAAAACTGAATCGAATAAAAATATTAACTCACACAATATCTAAGCGTTTAGTAGATTTCTTTTTTTCCAAAATATTACACTTGTCTTTTTCCTTGCTTGCCTTGCTATTTCTTAAAATTGCTTTTTGAATGATTTTATAAAGTTCATACCAATCTTCTAAACTTAACCATTTGTTTGTAGATATTTTTTCCTTATCAATTTTAACTACTTTTTCTTTTACTGTTACAATTACTGTAGCCAGACAATTATCAGAAGCCTGTTGTAAGATAAAAATAAATAAAAATTACTTCATGAATTAAATCAATTTTTTATAGTTAATAATTTTTATATAATAAATGAAAAGAAGTCATGTTAATGTTTGATGAATTATTTATTAAGCAATTATTTGTTAAAATACTTGTCAATGACATATTTTTTGAAACAGCTGTCGTAGATTGAACATACCTTAATGACTTCCAAATACTGGCCATCATGGAACATTATGAAATGACAAACAGACGAAAAATTTCCTGATTTAAGTAATATGAAGACATTAAATATTATCCTTGATGTTATCAGTGACTGTCGGAAATACGGTTTTGTACAATCTAATCCATGATGAAAAATAAAGGGAATGAATAAATGTATTCAGGGAAGGGGAAAAGTGCCACCTACAGTGAGTTTAATACCTGTTGGTGACTAAAATCAGCTGTTCCAATGTTTGTTATACTTTCCCTTTAATTTTTTCGATTATTCGATCAAGTGTGTTCGAATTAACTTATGTAATGGAAATAAATATACTCTTTTTTGTAAAATAAATAAAAATGTTCGATAAATGAATTTTTGATTAACATGTGTGGCATAAATGTTTTTGTAAAATTAACTAAATTTACACAAAAATGATTGGTGAATTAAAATACTTAAAAGAATCTTATTGCAAATTAAATATTTATTTATGATCAATTTATGAAGTAAATAGTTTATTATAACTAAACCATATTATTTTCATTATGTAGATGATTCATTATGAATTTATCTAGCAAACTACATCCGGTGATTCGGAGTTTAGACAAAATAATGATGACAGAGAGTTGAAAGAAAAATTATTAGTGGTAGATTTTATTTTTATTTTAATCGAAATGCCTAGAATCAAAATTCGAAAATTTCTTTTGATTATCATTATTTTTGTTTGTTGCATGATAGTATTTGAGGTAATTATTAAATTATATCTACTAGCATATTTCGTGTATACAAGCATAATTTATTCACTGAATGTGTCATTAATACTCCATTTCTAAAAAGTCATATTTTTTTACAGATTATAAAGCATTTATACGACGATTTCAATGATGAAAGTTTTTATATTACAGGTATTATTAAACAATATTAATTTTTTTGTTATAAATAAGTTCTATCATTGATTTATTGAATATTTTTTTAAAGATTCAAGTGTGCCAATTATTCTTTGGTGGACTCCTTTTGGAGGTGAAGAAAAATATACAAAATGTGGAAATGTTAAATGTTATTTCACACAAAATCGATCATTTATGAAAAATCTCAATCTGAAAGTAAGTATTGAAATATTTCAAACATATTTATTTGTTGATTTTATGAGTACGAAATTCAAATATAATTTATTTTCAGGCAATGATATTTTATGGTAGTAATTTTGATTTGAATGATCTACCAATACCACGAAAACCTAATGTGAAATGGGCTCTGTTTCATGAAGAATCACCGAGAAACAATTTAATGTTTGTTCACGAAGAAGCCTTAAAATTATTCAATTATTCTGCAACGTTTAGTAGATTTAGTGATGTACCTTTAACTCTTTTGGAGTTACCTGGAGAAGATGAATTACAAGGTATGATAAATTTTTCAATCAGTTGATAATAATTTTAGGATTTTTAATAATTTTTTCTGCTAAATATACAAATAACCATGTTTTTTGAATTTAGATAAATCATATTTTTATTCAACTCCACAAAAAAATCTACTAATGAAACAGAATAATTTAGCACCAGTATTATTTATTCAATCAAATTGCGATACAATGAATGATCGAGACTTATATGTTACTGAATTAATGAAATACATTGCCGTAGATTCATACGGTTCGTGCATGAACAATAAAAAATTACCAGATGGACTGGAACAAAATTATTTGGATAAATTAAAAAGTCGAGAATTTTTACAATTCGTTGCACAGTACAAATTTACGTTAGCTTTTGAAAATGCTAATTGCGATGATTATATCACAGAAAAATTGTGGAGACCTTTGATTGTTGGATCAGTACCTATTTATTATGGTTCAGCTTCATTTAAGGTGTGTTTTGATATCCAATTATTTATAAAATCTTTGAAGTGTCTGTAAAAATTGATCATAGTTTTCATTATAATATAGGACTGGCTTCCAAATGATAAATCAGCCATTGCTGTCACAGATTTTAAGCATCCTAGAGATCTTGCTGATTATATAAAACAGTTGCTACACGATGATAGAAAATACGAGCTTTACTTAAGGCACAAGCTGTCAGAAAATGGCATTACAAATGAACATCTTCTAGAAAATTTAAGGTCTAGACCACAATATCTTTTCAGTATTTTTGAATATTATGTCAGACGATTTGAATGTGTGATTTGTCAAAAAATACATAAAAACTCCGTTCAAACGATGACAAGAAAACAATACAATTGTTCTAAACCAAAGAGTATTTTTAATAATAAAGAAAAAAAAGAGAGTTCTTGGACGTTAATGTGGGAACTTGAAGCTTGCACAGCTAAATTATTAAATTATTGGCTTTCGCACAATAAAACATTTAACTCGAATCAATTTAATAAAGAAAAATTACAAATGTATGAAAACAAAAAATGTTACAAGTAAAAAAAATAGAAAAAAATTTCTATCATTTGTACATATTAATATAAACCATAGATATTTTTTATAATAAAATAAACTTTATATCAAAGGAGTATAAAAACACATTTGATCAAGATCTTAGTTTTTCATCGAATAAGGGCAATCATTTTAAAACTGGTATCACAAGCTTAAAAATAAGATTTTTTTAGCTTTGAGCTGCTAAATTCGCTTCAGTCCTTAGGTTTTTTCATAGTAACTGGTGAAGGTACACCCATTATTTCACACAAACGATTTCTAATTGGTCTTAATTCATTAGGAGATTTCCCCCAATCTGTAGAATTTAATATGGATAACATATCTGCGACATGTTCTTCTGATATCTCCAAGTCTCCTTCATACAGAGTCAATGCTTCATATAAACGAAGAGCTGTTGTTCTCCTGATTGCTTGGAATTTATTACACAATAAGATACTTAATTGAGTAAACGCTTGTTTACTCACAGATCCTTTAGCCTGTAAAAATTAATTTCATGAGTATAAAGTTTACTTTTTTTTCGTTTAATAATAATTTCGTAAATTAATCACTAAACAAACCTGTAAAAGTTGGCAAAACACTGTAATAATGTTTAGTATGAGTTTTGAATTTGTAGTCGATTGCTTTTCTCGTTTTACTAAAAGAAACATTCTTTCAGGAATTAAATTATATGGATCATCTAAAACCTTTTGAAGACATCCAGAACTCAAAAGCCTGTCTAAAAATACGAGAATAGAAGGAATCATTCTTTCATCTCCGTGACTCTCATCAAAAATATCCAACATTTTATCACAAAGTGTCTTGAAATGATCTTCATCGACTTCATTCAAATATGAAAATAATGACATACTTGAATGCTTGACTAAAGATTCACTGAGTCCTCCAACACTGAAAATTATACCTCTTAAAACATTATCAATATAAGGTGGAAAGTCTAGCATTTTAATAAATCTCGGGAATGTCTCCAGTTCCATCATCCAATTGATTTCATCCCTACATACTTCATAGGGAAATATTCTCTTTAACTCATCATGATACGGAATATTTGGGAGTTCTGGATCACAATAAAGTAAACCACAAAATACTTTGCCTGCTTGAACTCTAGTTCTATCAATTCTTTCAACCGCTTGTTGTGCAACGCCACCAATTATTCGACTTACTATCGATTCATCAAGCAAAGTAAATAATTGTGCTTGAGAAACTAAATTTGTCACAAAATGAAGACCAGCCATTGCAGCTTCACGAACCCATGCACCAATATCTCCTCTACTATCTATTGTATATTCTTTTAAAGCAAGTAAATAGCAATCATAAACTTCATGAATGAACGGTTGCCAAGCATCAATATCTCGCATGCCAAGATTTTGTATAGACATTGTTAAAGATTGTAATGCCTTTCTTCTACTCTCTGCCCAACAATCAGTTGCATCTGTAATACGGCAACACGAAATAAGTCCCTTAACTATATCTTCTATTCTTTCTCGTAGCATAAACGTAGGAAAGTATCCAATTGCTTGAGCAAATCCTATACGAGTTATTTCACAAGATGCTTTTAGATTTTCAAGATATCGATCAGTAATCGCGTATCTTTTTTCTTTACTAATATTAGCATAATATTCTGTAAAGAAAGCCGTATGAGCTTCAGCTGCTTTTAATCTTATAATTGCCACTTCATATTTTAAACAATCTTCTAAAAGATTCTGCCAATCATGTAAAACGGCACTAGTATGGACCGGAAAATGAACCAAAGCACATTTTTCAATTAAAACTGAACATGCTTGTTTCATCAGTTCACCACCAAGACCTTTCATTTGGCCTCTAGCTTTAAATAAACTAATTATTTTTTTAATGTTTTCTACTTCGAGAGCACCGAGAATATTTTCAATTTTGTCATTAAAATGCAAATGTAAAGCTTCCAGAATTTCTGCAATTGCTAGAACTGTTCCATGTCTGGTATTTAAATCAATAGAACTCGTATATTCAATCAAAATAGGTATTACAACTTGAATAATGTAATCAGGATCAAAAGGTGTTAAATTACGAAGAGCTTTAGCCGCAAGTTCTCTAATTGCAGTATCCCAATGGCTTATTTTTCTTTGAACCAAGTGATCAATCATTGGAATAATGTATTCTTTATACTGTGCTATGTGAACGCTAATTTTAAGATACGCGTGACTTCTTACTCCAACTTCAAAATAATCAGCAATAGTAACGATGTCTATTCCATGAGGAAAATTCCCTTGACGTCCAACATTTTCTTGAAATGCTGCTGAGGCTGCTCTTCGACAGTTAATTTCTCTGTCAAAACAAGCAACAATTAACAAAGTTGCTGCGATTTGTTGAACATGAGGTTGAAGTATTTCAGGTTCAAATGCTCGAGCAAATGACCAACAAACGTAACATGCCGCATCACGAATTGTCGATCCAACTGAACCATAAGCTCTTGGTTCATCAAATACTAGAGCTTTGGAGACTAAAGGAATTACTTCATCGAGCCGATGAGGTAATAGCAATCCTCTTCTTCCTAACTCAGCTAAGGCTAAACATCCACCATGCCAAGCTGACTCTAGTTCTCTCCCAGAGAATAAGTTGAGAACAAAACCTACGACTTCATCAGCTAAATCAACGGGTAGCCTCGCTGTTATTCGTCCTATTCCTTTTGCTGCAGACCATCTAATGTCAATAGTTTTATCTCTTAAACCTTGAATTAACTGTTCTATAATTTCTTCAATAAGTGGAGGTACATCTTGATCCTCATTATCAATAATAGCTGTGGTTTTCGTGTCTTCAACATTTTCAATCACCAAATCATTTATATTTAATAATAGACTGTTCTTTGTACCAGATTTTTGATACCTCCAAGTCGCTAATTTTGGCCTTAATAACACGAATCCGATTCGTTGTACAACTTTAGTGGCAAATTTTCGAATCAAAGCGTTGGGACTTTCGAATAAATTTAATGTTGATATTTTATCGAATAGTGTTTGGCAGTAAGGCTTCAAATCTTCTCGGGAACTGTGTTTTAATATTGAAGCTAAAACAGCCAGTGGTCCGTGACTTAGAGGATCATCTTCTAGACATTTCAGACACCACATTATCATCTCTTCTAGATAAAGCTTTTTAACGTCTGACCTTGTAAGGAAATTTGCTACAAGAAAAACTGCAGCAACAGGACATGAGTCTTTAGCTAAACAATATTTTTTACAAATTTCTAAAATTCTTCCTACAATTGTTTGTGATGGTTCAATATTATCTGATATCTCAAGTCTTGACAAAGGAAATGGAATTTTTGAGATAATTGATAGCCATATTAGAAGAACATACCTTGTTTCCCATGTATTTAAATCTGTTGGATCTTGTTTTTCTAACATTCTTAAAACCGGTAGAAAGTCCATTACCTATAAATAATTAAGTAAAAAATAAAGTTGATCAGAAAATATGAAACTTAAGTTAAAAGAATTGATTAAAAATTTTAGGAACGAATTACATTACCTCATGTGGAAGGTAAGTTACAAGCTTTTTATACGTTTTTACATTCATTAAAATAAATAAATATTTAAATGCATTGTGCTTCATACTATCATTTACATTTTCATCTTTAATTAAAGATATTATTGGCCCAAGAATACCTTCTAAAAAAGGATCAAGCAAATGAGGTTGATCTTGATACTGTGAAAGGATGGATTTAAATTTTTCAGTATTTTTTTCGACAAGACTCAGAGATAAACTAGGATCTTTTAATTGTTCTATTAATGCAGTTATTTCTTCTGATTCTTTGAATGCATTAAAACCACATCCAACACTGTCGGAGTCAAGAGTATCATTTATCATCATTTTTGAGGTTGAATTGACAGGTTATGACACAATAAAAATACTCAAAAATGTTTATTGCTCAAATTAATGTCATTCCTCTTTTCATTAATATTATTTGACTTTATAATAAACGAAAAATAATTAATATTTCTCACAATTCATCGATAGTTCAGTAATCAAAATTAATTTACTGATGTAAAATACAAAAAACAATTTAAAGTATACAATTACACATTATCATATGTTTATGGTCATTCATAAAACTTTCTGCCCAAAATTAAAGGCTTCTTTACATGAATTATAACTCTTTGTCATTGGCCAAAGTAAATTAATCGACTATCATGATAATAACATTAATTAATTAGCCGATTGATTAATTATACAATAAAAAAATATTCTTAATTACTGTATAAACAAAATTGAAACATCAAATTTCATAATAAAACTATAAATTCGCAAAATCGAAAATTTCACATTTTGAAGCGACATCTTTGCGTCTCATCGACGTTTTGATTCCCGCCAGTTGAAATCAAGATTCCAATTCCCGCCAAATAGACTCTATTCGAGTGAAAAGAAATGCGCACTTACCGAATTTTCTAACCGCCCATGGTCATAAGCGTTGTCGAGGCCATTCTAGAAATTGTTTCACGTGTCTTGGAGGATTTTATCAAACATGAGTAAACGATCTCAAAAAAATACATTATTGAATTATTTCACTTCACCACCTGGAGTAAAACGAGATGCCAAGCCTGAGGCTAAAGCAACTGCAAGTCCAAAAGCATCAACTCCTACAAGAAGAAAAGCCAAGGAAACAAAAGGTTGGTGGACGCTTGTTTATTTGATTTTATCAAGTACATTTATATCTGGAATCAATGACAATGGTCCAGTAATTTTTTTAATAGTTTAATTCAAAAATTTTGATTTATTTCCAATTGACTGAGTGAATATTTTTTATAATTTTATACATTTTTAAAACAAAAGAATTGTTTTTTTTTTAAATCTTTTGTCAAAAAATAGTTAGATATTTCATTATTTTCAATTGTGGCATGATGTCAATTGACGATTACATTGATATTTGAATATTTGTGACATGTAATCTGAGTGTGTTTTGAGCAACCATCTTGTTTATGTTAGGTAAGGCAAATGATAAAGAAAACAAGAAAGACAATAAAAAACAAATGGGTACTCCTAAAAGAAAGAGACCGGTAAAAGGTGCAGCTCAAAACGCTGAAGCAGACAATGACGATGAAGATGAAGATAAAGAGGAAGAGGACGAAACTGAAGTAAAAGCAAAGAAAAGGAAGGTAGCACAGGAAAAATCTGAAAAGAAGCAAAATGAAAAACTCGATAAGAAGAAAGCAGAAAAAGCAGAAGATTCTGATGATGAAAAAAATGAAGAGGATAATACTAATGTTATTACAACAAAAAGAGGTAGAGTTGTAAAACAGAAAAAACTCTTTGATGACTCTAAATTAGATGAAGATGACACTGATGATGAAATGTGGACGAAAAAAAAACCTGAAGTACCTGCAGGGAAGAAAAGAAGGATCATTATTCCTGATGATGATAGTGAAGGGGGAACAGAAGATGAATATAAACCAGGTAAAAAATACATTGGAATCGGTTATTATGATCAATTTCTTATTATATTTGGAATATTCTAATATTAAATATTCATCATAGATGCAGACGAAACCATATCAGAAGAATCTGATGTTAGTGATGAAAACGTTTCAGCTGAACTCGCAGAAACTCCATCCGAAGACTCTGCTTCTGATGTTGAACCCACTCCTCCGGTATTTTAAGAAATATTTTCAATCTATATTTTTAATCTTCTTAATTATACATTATATTTAATTATGATTATTTATTTTCTAGAAAAAGAAGTCCAATGGGTTTTTCCCAGGAAAAGCTAAAAATTCAAATAAATCTAAAGATGTAAGAATATTTTTTTATTAAAATAATTTTAACTAATTAGTAAAAATTTATTCTTAAATACAATAATTGATTTTAGAAGGATGATCTCCAATCGTTCACCTTAGAAAAACAAATGTCATCAGGCCCTGATAATGGAGAAACTTGGGAACACTTGAAATTTGATTTTCTGAAGCCCGAAAATATTCGAGATGCCAATAAAAGAAGGCCTGACGATCCTGAATACAATCCCAGAACTCTTTATGTTCCTCCAGATTTTCTGAATACTCAAACTCCTGCTATAAGACAATGGTGGGTCCTCAAAAGTAAATACTTTGATTGTATATTTTTCTTCAAAGTCGGGAAATTTTACGAGCTTTACCACATGGATGCAGTAACTGGAGTAAATGTTCTCGGGCTGACATTTATGAGAGGACAGCGAGCTCATTCAGGATTTCCAGAGATTAGTTACGGCCGTTACTCTTCGGCTTTGGTAGAAAAAGGTTATAAAGTAGCTCGAATAGAGCAAACAGAAAATCCTGAAATGATGGCTAAGAGATGTGAGAAACAGGCGAAAGTCAGTAAATTTGATAAAGTTGTAAGACGTGAAATTTGCCAAGTTAGCACTCGTGGTACACGAATTCCAACAGTTCGAGATACAGAATCTTTTGCACCTCAATGCAATTACATTATGTCAATTGTAGAAAAACAAAATGCAAAACAGTTATCAACTTACGGAATTTGTTATGTAGATACGAGTATTGGATTATTTCATATGGGTCAATTCGATGATGATCATCATAATTCACGATTACTTACTTTATTTTCTCATTCTACTCCAGCTCATTTGATCTATGAAAAAGGAAACCTTTCTTCCGCGACCATGAAAATACTTAACACCCAATTACCAGTTTCTACCATTAAAGAAGGTCTATTAAAAGATACAGAATTTTTGTCTGCCACTAATGTATTAGAGAAATTACACGAAGGCGAATACTTCAAAAGTAATTCAGAATTCTCTTGGCCTGATGGATTGAAACCTTTCCTGAATGAAAAAGATACACTTGGCCTTACACCAGCAGATGATAAACAACTTGCTGTTCATGCACTGGGAGGTATTGTCCATATTTTATGTTCATATGTACTAGATGAACAAGTGTTGGGTCAAAAACGATTCCAAACATACACACCACCTGATTTAAGTCACGCGACTGGATTATCAGCGACCATGGTTTTGGATGCTGTTGCTATAAATAACTTGAATGTCTTAGGCAATGCTCCATCTCTAATTTCAACTCTAGATTATTGTTGTACTCCATTTGGCAAAAGATTATTAAGAGACTGGGTATGTCGACCAGCTGGAGACAAAAATGTGATCCATAGCCGTCAAGAAGCCATATCAGAGTTAAGAGATGTAAACCATGTCGTCCAAGAAGCTAAAGAACTTTTGAGTTCTCTTCCTGATTTAGAAAGGCTTCTAAGTAAAGTTCATGCACACGGAAATGCTGCGATAGCTGAAAATCATCCAGATTCAAGAGCTTTCATGTTTGAACCTACTACTTATTCAAAAAGAAAAATAACAGATTTTATCATGACTCTAGAAGGCTTTGATAATATTCTAAAAATAATGAAACTGTTTGAATCATTTGAAAGTGATTTGATAATTAAAACAACACAAACAGAACCTCAAGGCGAGTTCCCAAAATTACGAGAAATTTTGAATCTTTTTAAAAACGGATTCAATCATGAAGAAGCTCTGAAAGAAGGTTGTATCGTTCCATCTAGAGGAATAGATAGTGAGTACGATGCTGTGATGGACGAGTTTGATAAGATTAAAAAAGATACTGCAGAGTATCTCAAAGAACAATGTAAATACTTTGGCTGTACTGTGAAGTTTACAGGAAATGGTAAAAATCGATATCAACTCGAAGTGCCTGACAGCCATGCTAAAAAAGCTGATGAAAATTATGATCATCAAGGTCAAAGAAAAGGATTTAAACGTTATTGGACTCCTGAGGCCTTAAAATTGTTGTCTCGGACAAAGGAAGCTGAAGATCAGCGTGACAAAATATTAAAAGATTCTGATAGAAGAACTTTTGCCAAATTCAGTGAAAATTATGACATGTGGTCACTGGCAGTTTACAAGGTTGCTGTGCTTGATGTACTCATTTCTCTTGCTGAACATGCAAAAACAGGCGATATGTGTATCCCGGAAATACAAGATAACTCGAACGAAATTATGATTACGATTAAAGAAGGAAAACATCCATTCATTCTAGATGATAACTTTGTTCCTAACGATACTTCACTAGCAGCTAATGGGTATGGTCCTCTGATTATCCTTACGGGACCCAATATGGGAGGTAAATCAACTATCATGCGTCAAGTTGGATTGCTAATGATTATGTCACACATTGGATGTCATATTCCAGCTGAAAGTTGCAAGTTTTCTTTGGTCGACCGAGTTTTTACTAGACTCGGCGCTAATGATGATATGGTAACTGCTCGAAGTACATTCCTTGTTGAATTAAGTGAAGCTGTTACTATTGTTCAACATGCTACTAAACATTCTTTAGTTCTTGTTGATGAACTTGGTCGCGGAACTTCAACTCACGATGGTACCGCTATTGCAGCTTCTATTCTCAACACTCTGGCTCAAATAAAATGTCGAACAATATTTTCTACTCACTACCATTCACTTGTCGATGATTTCAAAGAGGTTTCAGATATTTCAGTAGCTCACATGGCATGCTTAGTTGAGAGTGAAGAAAATGATGAATCTCAGGAAACAGTTACATTCCTTTACAAACTGACTGAAGGCGCTTGTCCTAAATCTTATGGATTTAACGCCGCAAGGATTGCTGGCATCAAAGCGGATATTACAAAGAGAGCTAACGAGTTAGCCAGCCAGCTTGAACAAGCTGGAAAACGAAGAAACTTGTTTATTTCGCTTTGTCAAAGTAATAATTCAAATGTTAAAAGTATTCTTACACAGCTTCAAGCTATTAAAATTAAATAATCCATGAAAAAAAGATAATACTCATTTATACATTTCGTAAGATAAAACTGAAAAATAGATGTCTATTATTTATCTAAATGTGTTGTAGTTTTTTATATTGTGGTTAATACATATTTTTTTTATATTGATTATTTTTTTATAAATAAATAATAGAAATAGTTTAAGCTGGATAACTGTTTCTATAAAAAGGTCATGTTTTATAAATAAGAATGAGTTATTTGTAAAATATCAAAGTTCAATAAACGATGTCAGGAAACAAAGTTACGTATGTTTTGCTATATCGATAACACCTGAGATATAACTAGAATCCATACTATGTATATTCAAAACTATATGACTGTTGATTTAAATAATTGTTTTACTGCATGTTGACTATTTAAGAATAAAATACGGTAAAAAAATAATTTAATTTCATTTATACATTTAATGCTTTATAACGTTCATGAATAATATCAACATCGAATGCAAGGTTGGAGTGAGCATGCAGACTTTTATTCGTTGTATAGTCTGCCCATTTTTGTTTTTCCCCTGATGCAAGAAGACCATAAACAAGCGCACCAAAAATATACACAACTCCTGCAATTATTAGAACAATTCTCCATTCAGCGGCTGTCTGTAATTTTTAAGAAAATAAGATTTTAAATAATCTTAATATATAGTTCATATTTTATTTGTAAAATTTACTTACTCCATTCTGAACTATATAACCCGTTATAATTGGACTTAAAATACCTGGAAGAGTTCCAAAAGTATTACTTATTCCAAAGAGAACACTTGCATGTCGAGGTGCTATATCTAAGTGATTTACACTGAAAAAAAAGTTTACAATGCATTTAGAAGTGAATAAAGAAAAACTTTATATTGATAAAAAATTTACCATCTAAAGGCAGGAGTTACCTGAAGCCTGCTCCAGCCACACCACCAATGCCAACAGCTAAAGTAAGACAAGTGATAGCAGCAAAAGCTGTTTCAGTAAATGCAGCACAAATCATAAATACTGTTTGGATCAGAAAAGCTACACAAGTGCAAAGTTTCCGCACTTGAGTAGTAGTTAAAATTTTCTTCGATCGAAGATAATCAGCTAGAAAGCCAAATGTTGGTAATATTATAGCCATTGCAAGATAAGGGATAGCTGAAAAGAATCCAGTTTTCTCCAATTGAAAGTTTAATACATCTGTACATAAAATATAATTTATATTATTTCTTTTGAAGAAAATTTTGGTAAAAAGATTAATAATGAAAGATGCTCAAAAACAGTAGTTCAATACGACGAAGTTAAATGACTGAACAGAATAATATATACCTGAAGAATATAATTGATTTCGTGTATACTCTATCTACGAACCATTAATGAATTTCGGCAATTGAGTGAGCATTGTGTAAAATCCCCAATTTTCACTGAAGTGAGCTGCTACGATTGCCCAAACTGATGCAGAAGTAAAAATCTCTTTCCAAGGATGAGTAATGACCTGCAAAAAAGTGAATCATTCCAAATGATTTATTAACAAAACACTATTCAAATTACGTAATATAATAAAAATAAATAACATACTTTTTGTTTATTTAAACCAAGATGCTGTTGAATGTACTCAAGTTCAGCAGTAGAAATTCTACGATCATCTTCAGGTCTATCAGTCACAAAATAGCACCACAAGAAGCACCATGATAATCCAACAGTACCACAGAAATAAAAAACAGATGACCATCCAAGTCGTTCTGCCATCATTCCACAAGTAGGCATAGCAAATACTGTACCGACATAAATACCTGCAAATGATATGCTTGCAAGCTTAGATCTTTCAAGAGGTGGAGCCCAGTTTGCCCAAATTGCATGGATACTTGGAACTGTTATGCCCTACAATATTCAATAATAAATTTTTTATAAATACGAAGTTTTATGACTAAATGGATTTTATACTAATTTATACCTCAAAGATTCCTTCAACGATTCGTATTAATATAAAGGCATAGACACTTAATCTTACTAAGGGTGGAGTAATAATTGTAAAAACAGCTGTTACAGCAATTCCAACAGCAAACACTCTTTTTCCTCCAACACGAGCACTTAACCATCCACTAAGAAGTTGTGTACTGACAAATCCATAGAAAAAAGAACTTAAAACCACTCCTTGAAGTTTCGAGTCCCAGTCAAACTCTGCTTCTTTCTATACACTCAAATAATTTATTCATTTTTATTTTTTTAATGATCAATTTTAAGAAATTGTTCAATTAATATTAATTAATATTTAAAATAAATAAACCTCAGCTGTGCCATTAGTCATGTTTACAATGGCTATGCTTAAATTCACTCGAAGAATATAAGAAGAAAAAAAACCCAAGAAAGATAACAAGGCAACAACATATCTTCGTTTTTTCCAAAACTTCCATCCCACTTTATAGTCTTTTAAAATTTTGTTTGAATTTTGTTTTTGCATGCTGAAAAATTTATGTCATAATTTATGTAAAAGATTAATCGATTAATTTGTTAGATAAAATCTCTAGAAATGATGAATACCTCTCAAGATGGATTGAATGTTTTTTATCATCAACATTTTCTTCTTTCATTATTGTAATCTAAAACAATATATAAATTTTATATAATTATACTTGTTTATATAAATATAATTTTTAACCATTTTTATGTCCTTCAAAATATAAAACATGAAGCATTAAATAACATACTAAAGTGTAATTGTCGAACAATCATCACTTCGTAGTGTTGATAAAGATTGTGGTAATTTTTTAATTACTAAAATGTGAGGATTCATAACACTTTCAGCTTATAATGACACTCATAAAAATAAAAGTAATAAAAATTATAACAAAAATAAAAAGTACAGAAAATTTTAGTGTATTCCATTTTTTTGTGATCTGATTCTATCATTATCAATTCATACTATCAATTAAATAAAAATAAATCTAATTACTGTTTGAAATTTAAATTCTATCTAAAGTTTTTTATTATTATGAATAATTACAAATGCGTGTGACTATGTTTTCATGATATTAAAAAAGTCTGTTAATAATTAAAACAATTTGTTTAAATTCCAAGTTGAAGTATCTTCAAAATTATCTATTTAGTATCACCAATAAAACTTGTCTTTAAAAATAAAAACGTTTTCTAATATTTTAAACAACGAAAGAGAATAAAAGAGTAGTAATAATTTTAATAAAAGCCCACTTACCAATCACTATTATGATTCAGCTCGAACTATAATAATATTTTTGTGATGCACGTAAAGAGCTATCCAACAGTTATAAATCAAGAGTTCCTTCATTGACGAGTTTCTCAGCAACAACAATTTGATAAAATTGATAGGTGCACGGTATATCCTGCTTGAGCTCTTTTCGATCTTGCACTCCGGGCCCAAGGACTTATAAAATCTTTATATCAACACTTAAATAGTTAGTTACTTTTCGTTTCTCCTCCTTCTCTATTATTCCTCGTTGTTTGAAGATGTATTTAGTGCTGATAGTTCATTATTAAGTTTAAATTAAGTTTTAGATGTTTAATGAGCTACCACAATCTACTGTTTTTAAATTATTAAATAAATAATGGATATGAATTCGTACAAGAAGCTATTGTTTTTTAGAATAATTTATAATTATTAACACGATAAAAATCAGTTCTTTTAAACTAGCAATAAAAAAAAAACACTTTTAAAATGTCTCATGAAAATTCATAAAAATTTGTATGCGAATAATTATATACAATTTTATTATTACATTCATTATATATGAATATATCTAATTTACTTAACTTATTATTATTTTTCAATTAAATAAAATTCATATACCTTTCTCCGTATAGTATTTTTTTGGAATAAAGTTTTTTTTTTTAAATTAACTGTTATAAACTTCTAATAAAAAATTAATGTTTACGTAAATAATCTAGAAATATAAATTAATATTTTTCTATAAATGAGAATCTACATCCAATGCGGGATTACTATATGCACGTAGATCTTTCTTTTTCGGGTCTTCAGCCCATTTTTGTCGTTCTCCTGAAGCACAAAGTCCATAAACTATTGTACCAAAAAGATAAACAGATCCTGCGATGATTAAAACAATTCTCCATTCAGCAGCAGTCTGCAATTAATTATTAATTTAATTATATACTGAATCTTAAGGTATTAAATTTTGAGAAATTTGATATCATCAATACTGACTCCGTTTTGAACAATGTAACCAGAAATAATAGGACTCAAAATACCCGGAAGAGTAGCAACAGTGTTACCTAATCCCATAAGAACACTTGCATGCTGCGGTGCTATATCTAAATGATTAACACTAAAAACAAGCCATACATTAATATTAGGGTAAAGTAATTAAATTAGAAATATATATATCATACCTAAATCCTGACCAAGCGAAACCGCCCAAACCTACAGCCATTGTAAGACATATGACTGCTCCAGTTGCAGTACCAGTAAATGCAGTAATTGTCATAAATATTGTTTGACTCATAAATGCCGCACAAGTATATAGTTTACGCACTTGTGTCGTGGTTAGTATTTTTTTTGAACGAAGATAATCAGCTAAATGACCAGAAATTGGTAATACAATTGCCATTACTAAATATGGAACTGCCGAAAAAAATCCTGACTTTTCTAATTTGAAGTTTAGAACATCTAAATAAAAATAAAGACAAATAATAAAATTGGCATAATTATATAAAAGTTTATTTGTTTAACAATAAGTTACCAACCACTCATATACTTAGGCAACTGAGTAAGCATCGTATAATATCCCCAATTTTCACTGAAATGAGCTGCTACAATAGCCCAAACAGGTGGTGAAGTCAGAATATCTTTCCAAGGATGTGAAATTTTCTACGGAAAAGAAGTCATTAATTCATTTCATTACTAACTTTTGATGTCATTGAAAATTGTTTTGATGAAAAAAAAAACCTACCTCTTGTTTACTCTCACCAAGCGTTTTTTTAATATACCTGAGCTCTGATTCAGAAATTCTTGAATCATCTTCTGGACGATCAGTAACAATATAGCACCAAAGAGCATACCATATTAAGCCAATAATACCAAAAACATAAAAAACGGAAGGCCAGCCAAGACGTTCTGCCATAATAGCACAGGCAGGCATGGCAAAAACTGTTCCCACGAAGCTTCCCGAAAATGCTAATGTTGCAAGCTTTGATCTTTCTAGAGGTGGAGCCCAATTTGCCCAAATTGAGTGGATACAAGGATACGTCACCCCCTGAAAATATTATATGAGCTATCAGTAATAATCATACAAAATATTTTGTAATATTATTTTTAAATTAAACAAAAATGTATTCATCAAAAAATATTTAAGAGCTCTAGTTTCTCTGACATATTTTACAACGTTTCATTGTTATGAAACAATAAAATTCACTTTTAATTCCTTTTTTATTACGTATTTGAAAATAACTACAAGTAACCCAATACATTTTTGTATAACGAGAGAAAATGATTAAAGCAATGATTGATTTATACTTCGAAAATTCCTTCAATGATCCGAAGTACGATAAGAAGGTAAACGTTAACTCTCACTAAAGGTGGAGTGATTAACGTCAACAATGCAGTTACAGCAATACCACCACCAAACACTCTTTTTCCTCCAATTCGAGCACTCAGCCATCCACCAAGAAGCTGTGTGCTAATATATCCGTAAAAAAAGGAACTAAGAACTAATCCTTGTAACTTTGAATCCCATTCAAATTCAGGCTTGACCTGGAAATAAATAATATCACTTGGTAATTAATTTTGAATAAAAACCGATTTGAAAATCTTCATATTATTATGTACATTATTTTATATTTGCTTATTTATTTAATTGCAAACCTCTGCTGTACTAGAAGTCATTGCAACTATTGCAACACTTAGATTTACTCGAAGAATATAGGAAGTAAAAAATCCAAAAAATGCTAAGATGCTGACGACATATCGACGCTTTCTCCAAAAACACCAGCCGACTTCTTCATCTTTCTCTGTTCCATTTTTAAATTCATTATTGACACTAAAAAATTATTATAATTATTCTAATAAACTATTGTTAAAATAATAAAAGAATATATTTAAAATCTTAGTTACCTTCCATAATGAGGAGATTCTTTTTTCACATCAATGTTTTCCTGCTTTACATCCATTATCAATAGATAATTTAACTTTTATTCATGAAAAATTTAGCTGAAACATTATTTTATTTTCACTAAATAATGTTTGAAATATTTAAAACAATAAAAATTGACATTAAAAGCAAGACTTTCAACGAATAAAATGTTCAAACAGACAGCTAATAAAGATTAATGTATTTGTACATCAGCATAGATATATTCATTTACGATTTATTAAAATACTTTCTAAAATATTGATTTGAATGACACTTTCAAATGATTGAATTTCAATAAAATTTTGTTCAAAAATTGAATCTACCGAGTTAGTTAAGTTTTAAAATCTAACGTGAACAATATTTTTCCTCATATTTTGATATGCGGTTTTTGTCAAGGATAAGCACAATAAAATGCATACTCAAATTAAGATAATCATGATAACTGTCTCATTCCTGCATTTGTAAATACAGCAATAAACAATGACCTCGAAGTTTAAATTTTCATTTCACTTGACAATAAATGTTCTTCATAAAATATTTAAGTCACTAGGACAGCTGTTTAATACTTTCACTCTATTCCGACAAGGATTTAAATGTCATCCATACATTTCTTGATTATTTGACATCTATTTTAATTAAAAATCACATATTCTGTAACACTTCGAATAAAATTAACTGGACCGATAAAAATAATACTATTTATGTAACTAAGTCAATTGGTATGAACTTACCTTATGGCTTATTACTTTGTACTTAATGTGGTACAGGAAATTAAAAACACTATTGCCCTCGAGTTCATTCCATCGTCAAGGTATACAGTAAAAGTAATTTGAAAGCGATTGGCAGGTACAGCATAGCCTGAGCAAGTTCTTATCTCTGTTATTGACTAAGTTTGGTGGGTGACTGATCTTCAGGTTTGTTCCTGACATTATTGAAGCAGTGGAGATGATCATGCTGATTGTTTCATGACAATTCCAGTCAATACGGAAACGAAAGCTTATCAAATCATTATAATGACAACCAATTGGTTTGCAACTTGCTTGCTCATTCATAATGACTCCTATTTTATTCATCAAGTGCAATGATTGTTTTGTTAATTAGTGTAAACAGACGTTTGCATAACAGGTTTACGAGCTGGGAATTCCAAAAATTAGTTCAAATTTCATGGAATAACAAAACTTCCTTTTTAGTATTTTAATTTTTAATAGTTGCAGAAAAACAAAAAATAATTTAACTTTGTGTGGTAATCGAAATTGAAGGGAAATGATTTGGTACAGAATTAATTAATTTTTTTTTTAATTTGAGTAAATATCAATTAAATTGTGATGATAAAATCTGTCTTTCCCCTTATTTTAAAAAATAAATTTAAAATAGTAAAAATAAGTCTTTAGTGTTCTTATACTAACCTTAAAAATAATTATAGACTATTTTATTACATTTAATGTTAATTTTTTATAAATGTTTAATTATTGTCTCTGTAATTTTCAATAGATTATAGAACTTTGTTGTCACTTTTATGGTATAACGTACGTCCCAATACTCAAAATAATACATATCTACAATATTTTGTTTATTTTATTTTAAAACATTTCTATTGCAATTTGGAGCATTAAGTAATAAAAATCATTTAAATACCGAATTTAAATCACGTTGATTAAATATTCATTAATTGATAATACTTATCGATTTTAAAATTTGATATGATCTGTGTGTTGTTCTTGATGCATTTTAGAATCAAAACAACAGCTGTCACTAGCGTCACGAACTCCTTTGTTGTTGTCTGGTTCTGTTGACATTTTCATCGAATTACGAGTTGTGTATGATGCATTTTACAAATTATTTTGTAAACACGTGTATTTTATTTTTTATCTAGTTTAGAATGATTGATACTCATTGGTATACAATTAATCATTACATTTGGTTGTGAGTATAATGTAAAAGTATTATTTTTATCAATAAAATCACCATAACCTTATCTCATTTTTTATCTCAATGACAAAGAAAATTTATGTGTAGTTATTTTTAATCTAAAATTGTATATTTTAACGTTATCATAATAATATTAGATTATTAGCAAATTAATATTTGTTTATTATTTTTTAGAGCCACCAGAAGTTGACCATTTATATTTTTGAAGTACAAACGATTTTACTAATTATAAACTAATACTAAAATGGATACTTTATTTATGCAAAATGTGACTGAAGAATTTGAAGATATACCTTCAACACAAGAACCAGTATGGATTCTTGGAAAAAAATACAATGCAATGACAGGTTTAAATTTTGGAAATTTTAATCATCATAAACAATATCTAGAAATCTACAAATGAGGTTAAGTTTTTTTTGTTTATCTTTTATAGAACTAGAAATAATACGCAGAGAAATACAGTCTAAATTATGGTTCACTTATCGCAAGGGTTTTATACCAATTGGAGGAAATAGTGCAGCTTTTACATCTGATAAAGGATGGGGATGTATGCTGAGATGTGGTCAGATGGTCCTTGCTCAAGCACTAGTTTGTCTTCATCTAGGTATATAAGCGTCAGTCAAAATAGTTCTTTGTTATAATTTCTGTAAAGTTTATTTTCATTCAACTACTAATTTTTAAATTTAGGACGGGATTGGCAATGGACACCTGAAACAAGAGATAGTACGTATTTACAGATATTAAGTCGATTTGAAGATCGACGAACTGCTCCATTTTCTATTCACCAAATAGCTCTGATGGGTGCGACTGAAGGCAAAGAAGTTGGACAGTGGTTTGGACCAAATACAATAGCCCAAGTATTAAAGTACGTAAGTCTTCAAAATGATTGTTACTATTCCTCAAAGAAAATACTTTTCAGTTGAAATTGTAAATTTTTTGTGCAGAAAACTAGTTGCCTATGATGAGTGGAGTTCTATAACAATACATGTTGCTCTAGACAATACATTAATTGTAAATGACGTCTGTAAGTATAAATATAAAAAAAACTTAATTTTATAATATTAACAGAAAAATATTCAAATAATTACTTATTTCAGTAAGACAATGTCGAATTGACGAAGCAACAGCAGTGGTAGAAGAAAATGGAGATGGAGCTTTAAATGCACCTAGTCAATGGAAACCTTTATTACTTTTAATACCACTCCGATTAGGCTTGAGTGAAATCAATCCAGTCTATATTAATGGCCTTAAAGTAAGTACAGGAATATCAAGTATTTTATACTTTTTCCATTACTGTGATTAAATTCTGATTAGATCAAATAATTAAAAATTGGTTTTGCAGACATCTTTTAAAATACCACAATCTCTAGGAGTGATCGGAGGAAAACCAAATCTTGCATTATATTTCATTGGTTGTGTTGGTATGTAAAAAGTATTTTATCGTTCATTTAAAAAATTAATTAAATATATGTATGATAATATTATTTAGACGACCAAGTTATATTTTTGGATCCACATACAACTCAAAAGTCTGGTTGTGTTAATCAAAAGGTTGATGAAAATGATGTTGAAATGGATTTCACGTATCATTGTAAAACAGCCAGTCGAATACCAATAACAGGAATAGATCCTTCCGTAGCATTAGTAAGTATTCAAGAGTATCAATTATCTATCCATTATAAACAAAAATTTAAGTGAATTCTTATGTTTTAGTGTTTTTTCTGTGCTACTGAGAAAGAATTTAAATCATTATGTAGATCAATGCAAAGTGAGTTAATTGCTTCCGAAAAACAGCCTCTTTTTGAACTATGTGCTGAACGTCCAGCACATTGGTCTCCTGTTGAAGATGTTGCAACTGAAGCTCTGGGAATTACGCCTTCAAATCGTACGAGTATAAATAATTATTTCACTCAATATTGTTTATTTTTTTTTTATTTTCGTGACTAATTATATGATGTTTTAGTTGTAGATTTTGAACAATTGGACCGTCAATACGACACGTCGGATGAAGAGTTTGAACTGCTTGGTTAACAATAAATCCTATTTAATGTTTTTAACAGTACCTCTTCGAAGATTTTCGATATTTGAATGAATTTATCGGGAATTTTTGAACCATAATACTATTTACATAATATCTATTTGTAAATACTCTTACATTTTTAATATAGTTAATTGCTTAAGTACAAAGGCAAATTCTTTTATTTATTTGAATGTAGCATTATTATTCTTTACTTTTATTTTGTTAATTATGGTTCGTATCCTCTTTATAAAATCGAGCAAAGTTATCTTGATGAGGATTGAAAGGTTCGATTAATTTTAAATTTGAATCAGATGCAATTTGTTTTAATTCCTCAGTAAACTTATTCTGATGTTCTTTTCTAGCTTCAACAAGATATTTTTGTGTTTCTACTATTAACATACCGTCTTTTTTCAACAAAGGAACTATATTTTGTATGTGATTGATTAAATTATGTGCTATAAAAATAACATTGATAGATTCCTTCCATTCATTCCTGTTTTTGTATCTCACACAGCTAGAAGCTGTATGAAAGTTTACCTGAAGAGTTACTTTTAGAATAAATGAACTTCTAAAAATACAATAAAATTAAATATTCTACTAAAATTTTAATTACCTTAAAATTAGGAGCATCAATCCAAAAATTGGAATCTTTAGATCTTTTATTTTGTTTCTCTAAAACCCAAGCTTCTTGTTCAATTCCAACATCTGGCATTTCTGTGACTAAAACTCCATCCAAAACAGACGGATCTCTATGAGCAGCTACAATTTCTTCAGGACATGATGAATTCGTTTTAATCTGATAAATCGATTTAATGATTTGTTTTTCAGCTTTATCAGTTGCTCTTAGCTTCCTTTAACAAAAATGATTGATATTTTAATTCATTTTTTCGCTGAATTTACTTCAATAAAATGGAACTTACGATTTTTCTTCAGCTTCATCAATAGCCCAAGTTAAAAAAGGACCGTTTGTTATATCACCAAGATAAGCATAATGAACAAATCCCTTCCCATGAGCAATTATATTACTTATTAATGTTGGATTACTTCGTGCAGGTTCTGCTTCTAACCATGTGAATGCTACTCCATTATTTCTCCAAAACCTTAATAATTTTATTTGATAAAAATAAAAAATATCTCGTTTATAAATTCATCGGTTAAGCTTATAATTAATTTAAACTTTACTTATATTCATGGAGAGTTAGATGTGGAAGATTTCTTGAGTGCAAAACCATATGAAAATCCCAATCAAAAACACCGTCCCTATAATCATACCGAGTTCCTAGAGCTTTTCTTACTCTTCGATCCCAGTATTCAACGAGAGGAACTCCTTCACAAACAGCACGCATCCAAAATCTAAACAATAAACCGATAATTTTTCATTAAAAAAAACTAAAATCTATCAAGAGTCTGCTTACTTGAAAATCCCGTCAACTAAGTCTCTATCTTTGTACTTTAATGATTCAAGATTCAACCATGGACAAGGAATCGTTTGAGTAGTAACATCAGTTAATCGATTAATAATTTGTGTTAAATATTTAGCGGTTCCCGGCGTCAGCAGAGTGTTTCCTAATATTTCTAAATAATAACGACTTGCTTCTTGTAAACCTTCAACATCAATTTTTGGAGTAATTGGCTTTTAATTCTATTAATAGATACGATTAAAATTGAAAAAACTACTTAACATACCTAAGTCCTTTTGTAAACAGATATTAAGCAACAAAATAGATCTCGCAACGTGCTCTAAACTTGCTTCAATCGCATGAAAGTTGATCACTCGATTCGGATGAAGGTAAGATGATGCTAAGGTTTTTATTATGTGTCTTGCATCTATAGCGCCAACAGTTAAAAATTCTAAAGACTCAGAATGATCTTTTTGTTCATTTAAACTGTAAAATTCTTGTTGAAAATCTAATGGAGGACTATTTCCCCACATTGTGAAGATAAGACTACTGAAATAAGCAAAATGAAGTTATAAATACGCATATGTATCCTTGGCAACAGACTTGTTATTTGATAGTAAAGAATTTTTTGAAAATGAGACAAACATGTTTAGAAAATCATTAGATCTTTTATTATTTTTTTTCACAACATATAATTCTTTTTTTGACAAATTAGAAAAATGACCGGTAATTTTTTTATCGCTAAGTCATAAAGATCTTTTTTTTATACAATTTGATTTGTATTTTTATTAGTACTTTATTAATAATCTTTTTAATAATTATATTTTTTGAGAATTTTATTTGTCACGCTTTTTTTGCGCTCGTTTATTACCACACCGTTGAAGAATATCACTGACATGTCCTTTATGTTGGAAAATAGCAACTAATTGAGTTCGAGCCTCGCACATTCCTTCACTAATTAAACTACTGCGTTGCATGTTTCCTTTGATTAATTCATTGGCTCGCTCCAAATCATCATCTTGCCTATTTTTAGGCTGTTGAGATTCCAACACCAACAATGTTGCTTTCAATTTTTCGTGTACCTGAATCAATTACAATAACAGTTATCATTTCAATAAGTTATTTTATTAGGTAAATCAATGATTCGATAATTGATTTTCATTTCTGATTTACTGTACCTGCTTTTCAAGTTCTGCTAAATCTTCCATTTGTGCAGTCAATTGATACACTTTCCATCCATGAATTTTTTGTAACACATATTTTTGTTGGGCTATTTCTGCTATTGTCGGTCTTCTTTCTTCTCGAGGTCTTACATCACTGGGCCTTCGATAATGATGAAGCCTACCACCCCATCGATTTTTCCACGATGATCCTTTACAATGTAAACACATATTAACAAATTAAATCGTTTGCAAGCTTTTGAAACTGATGATAAAGATCGTTAATTTTTAAAATTCTTTATTGAACTTACCAAGTAAACTGGGTGTAGGTCTCGCTCTCATAACCATCGTTGGAGTTGTTGTAATGCCGTCTTGAGAATTAAGATGTGTTTTCCTTTCCATTCCGTATTTATCTTTAATGTCGTCTCTATGTTCTCTTTTAATTTTATCTTCAGTAATAAATTGCATTTCTTCTTCTGTACATCGAGACTCCGTGAGTTCGACACCCGTTAGCTGCTGTTTACGTGGTTTTTTACGTGGAGACATTTCCATTGTTTGATTTATTGTAATTCTAGACTGCTCTGGTTCTTCGTCTAAACCTGGTGAAGAAGTTGCTGATACTGTTGTTGATCCAGAACTCTGACCTCCACCGGTATCTCTGTCATTTCTTGGTGAAGGTGGACTTGAAGGTGGTGCCGAGCTGTTTGGTAGAGCTGTTAAAACAGGAACTAAATTCTTCGCTACTCCTAAAACAAGTTTAACAATTTAGTAATCGATACAATTCAATAATTTAATATTTAGAATACAGGAAACCTAAAAATAACTAACCTTTCGCAGGCGAGTTGTCATGATCCCGTTTCCTGAGTATGCTTGGCCTTGGTGAAGCATTTGGCTTGCCATGATTTTCTTCATGACTAGGTTCAACAAGTAATCGTACTGGTTGTACCGAAGTCTGTCGATATTGAGGGTACAGAGACGATTGAGGTACAGGCGTTGGTGAATTATTGGTATTATTACTATTATTTATAATAATAGTAGCAGTTGATGCTGTTGTACCAGCAGGTATTGGAGTAGCTGTTGTAGTCGTAGTAGTGATTGTTGATGTAGAAATGACACTTGCAGATGCAACTCGTAAAGCTGTAGGTTGTCCGGTTGACTTTATTTGCACTGCTTGGGCTATAGCTTGGCCTGATACAACAGGTTTCACTGGAGCAGGAATAGCTCGAGTAGTAGCAATAGGAAGTGAATGAAGTGTCATCCCAGTTATTCGAGCAACAGATGTTGGTGTTGATTGAGTAACTCGAGCGACATTGGAAGGATTCGTGGTTGTTGCAATTACACGAGAAACAGTACCAATATTTGCTAAAGATGTAATTGTTTGGACGACTCTAGTAGTACCTTGGGGATGAGTTTGTGACTGAGGAACTTGTTGAGTAGGTATCACAACTCGATTGAAACCTCCAGTAGTACCTCCAGTAGCTGAATTTATAGACAATTGTCTGCCTATTGCTGGTTGAACTGTAACAGAAGCTGCACTGGTTATCCTGCTAGCTGTTCCCACTGGTGCTGATACTGTTACACGATTAGTAGCTGCAGTTGCGGATCGGGTCGATTGTTGGCTAGTTTGAAGAGTTTGAGGTTGGTGACGGACAGCCTGAACAGACGTGGTGGTATTGATGACTTGAGGTCCTGTAGGTCGAGTTTGTGACACTGGAATTCTAGCAATAGCATTATTTGATGGGAGAACTGGTGTTAAAAGCCTGGAAGGAGTTCCTGCAGGTACACTAGCTACGACTGCTTGAATAGGCCGTGCTTGAACTGGTGCCACTAAACGAGGTTGTTGGCCACTGTAAACAGCAGGGGATCGAGTTGTTATACGCGTTACAGGAGGTACTGCATGTCGTTGTGGTTGAGTATAGACTACTGATGTTTTTGCTGGCCATTGAGCATTAGATACTGCCGACGTCACTCTATATTAAATAAAAGCAATTAAAATTAAATGAATGTTATTGTTCCATTTACTTATATTTTTATTTGAATTATAAATTGAACTTTACCCTGCTCTAGATATTGGAACAACAGATTGACCTGTACTAGCACGTACAATAGGAGTAGCAACGGTTGATCTAGGTGCTGAGATGTTTGCGACAGCAGCTGGTCCTCGAGGTACATGATACGTAGGAATAGTCGTAACCACTTGTTGAGTTGTCTGAGAAGAGGATTGCACCTGAACTTGAGGTTGAACTTGTCTATCTACTGTACTTAGTATTCCTGATGGTATTATTCTCACTGCCGAACCAACAGGGCATAATGTTGTTGTTATTTTGCTAGTTTCACCAGCTGAAGACGCACCAGATTGAACTACGGACTTCATGAGGGAAAGTTTTGGATTCAAATCCAAGGAAATAGATTTCCCAACAATAGCACTGGACGATGACATAGTGCTAACATTTTGAGTTGATTGAATCGTTTGTACATTACTTTGCACAATATTTTGCACTGTTTGTAAAGCTTGTACTCCTTGAATTGTCGTTAAATTATGCGGTACACTTTGCACATTTGTTTCTTGCAAACGTTTATCCCCACTTGTTTCCACAGTATTCGTATTCATCGTTATTGACTTCTAAAATATTCAAACAAATTTTGTTTGTACATATTCAATGATTAATTATCTGGTTTAGAGGTTAACAGATTATAATAAATACACTCAGATTTGTTTTTCTTGAAAAATCTAATAATAATAATTGATAAATTAAGTAATTTAACACTCACAAAACCTTTGTTATTAGTTATTTATTAATAATTTAATACATCTCATTGATAAACTTGTAGTTAAAACGAAGAAACATTGAGAAAGTAACAATAAATACTTACTTATATTAAATAAATGTTATTCAGCATTTGAAATCACGTATAATAAATACATTGGAACATATTCATTACAATTTGTAAAAATACGTATTCAAAATTTATGAAAAAAATCAACTAATACAATTCACAGTCATTAGCAACGAAAGCTGGTTCCGCTGTGACAACGATACCTGATTGTTGAAGCTAAGTATTATTATTATTATAATAACAATAGTATTTGAACAGAGAAAAAAAGTATAAAATAGTACGTTGAGCCCCTTGGAGACTGCAGCGTTGCCAACCATTCAAATTTTTGTTTCACATATTTACCGATAAGTGGCGTTTTGGTAGTTTCAAAATGGACGACTTTTCATTCGCCAGCTCACTTATCTGATCAACTCTACAGTTTATGTTCTTTTTACTCTGATACACGATGGGTGAGTGTCATATTTTCTTTAAAATTTATTTTAATCGGCAACCATCCACTTTTTTACATGATATATTGCAAAATCATTCATCCAAGATTGTTAATAAATATTTATTTTATATAAGTTTATTAATATTTTTTCGTAATGATGAGCTAATCAAGTGAAAAATTAATTGTTTGGTAGTAACAGTGAAAGCCATAGGTTATTAGTTGTAACGCTAATAGCTATAGTTTATTAGTATATTCACTGGAAAATGGGTGCAGTTGTTTGATTTGTGTTTTTGAAAATAAATGAATTAATATTTCAGGTATTTCGCGCGATCATTGGCATAAAAGACGCGCAACCGGAGGTAAACGGAAACCTCTCCGAAAAAAGAGGAAGTTCGAGTTAGGACGGCCAGCTGCCAACACAAAACTTGGACCTCAACGAATTCATACCGTGAGTGTTATTGTGTTTTAGAAATTTTCTTATCACTTTACCTACTCTGAGTGCTATGTTGACAGCCAACTCCCATAGCGATCTGAAATTATTTTTATATTATTAATTTTAGAAACCATCATAGGATATGGAAACTAATTTTAAACAATTTTTAGGTTCGTACTCGTGGAGGGAACAAGAAATACCGTGCTCTACGATTAGACACGGGTAATTTCTCATGGGGAAGTGAATGCACTACCCGAAAAACGCGTATTATTGACGTAGTTTACAATGCGTCAAATAATGAACTTGTCCGTACAAAAACATTGGTTAAAAATGCTATTGTTACCATCGATGCCACGCCTTTCAGACAGTGGTACGAAAGTCATTATATCCTCCCACTAGGACGCAAACGAGGATCTAAACTTGTAAGATTCTGATCATTTTGATTAAATATGCATCCAATTTAACTCTATTATTATTAGTTAAAAATTATAATTAATCAATATAAATAATAAATCATTTATAGACTGAAGCTGAAGAGGAAATCTTCAATAAAAAAAGATCAAAGAAGACTGAAAATAAATACAAAGCACGTCAACGCTTTGCAAAGGTGGAACCAGCCTTAGAAGAACAATTTGCCACTGGACGTGTTTTGGCATGTGTTTCTAGCAGACCTGGTCAGTGCGGTCGCGCTGATGGTTATATTTTAGAAGGAAAAGAGTTGGAGTTCTATATGAGAAAGATTAAGAGCAAGAAAGCTAAGTAATTGTAAACATATAAATAAAACAAAAAAAAAACGCAATGTTAAACTTTCATTTGTTTATTATAAATACTAAATCTTTTAACTTTTTTCATGAAAAATTTAATTTAATTTATAAACAAAAAATAGCGACATAATTAGTACAAAAAACAGCAAATTTACAATTGACAATTAATTTTGAGAAATTTAGGCTTCTCGTATATTCGATAAGTTTTGTTGAGCACTCATTACCAATGTTGGCATAGTAGATGTTTCTTGATGTGTTAATTGCCGAGGATTATCTCTTTGAGTATTACTTTCAACATCATTATTAGTTAATTTATGAACGCATTTATTTATGTGAGTTGTCCAGTGCATTTGTTGGCATTGTTCACTACAATAGGCCGTATTCCAACAACAATAATAAAATGCTTCATTGTGACACCACGAACACCATTGTTTTGATTTAGTCTTCAGAATTAATTGAGTTCTTTCTTCTTCAGCTTCTTTCCGCATTACATCAATGGTTCGAATCCTCTCCATTTCCATACTCGCTCTCATTTCTTTTAGAGTTTGATCTAAAAGAATACAATAAGTATTAGAAAACTCTTAAGAATAAAATATAATTTAATTCATTGATTAAAAATCTTACCTGTGTTGTATTTAAGTTCTGCAAGTTGCTGCTGATGTTGCCACCTCATTCTCTCAATTTGTAATCTCAAAGCATAAATCGTAGCTTCATGCGTGTCAATAGAATCACTCAAGTTATTAACTTTTGACTCTGCAGCTTCTTTAAGAGTTTCTTCGATCAACCTTGCCATCTGTCTGACTAGTTCATTAGCTCCTTTATTTAACTGTGCACTGAGAGGACCTGCCTCAGGTGGTGGTAGCTGATAATTCAGTCCATTATCATTAATTGTATTAGGAATGTTGATCATTGGGTCTGTAGAATTAGTTTTTTTAGGCGGTATTGATTTTGGTTTTGGAGGTGGTCTGTTGGGAAATGATTTTTTCGCTTTACTTGGTCTTTTTTCAGGAGATGAACTATTTTTTAATTCTATTGAGTTGCTAGAAAACTGCTGCGGTATTTCCTTTAAGCTCTCAGACGTATTTGATTCATCAGATAATCGTAATAATCCCGATGTACTGCTTTCTGCTGATACTGAAGAATGCAAAATAGTTGAACTAGTTCCTGAAATATTTTTTATATTTCGTTTTTTGTTGATTTCTACTACATTTAATGGTCTTATTAATAAAGTTTCTGACTTTTCTGTATTGCACTTTTGTTCGTCTATACTAAGCTCATCGACACTTTTCGTTTTCGATTTATACACTCGAGTTATTATTGGTCTATTAACTTTATCAGGTGTCGATTGATTTACACTTTTTTCTGTTATACTTTTTTTTAAATTTTGCTTATTTTTTGATTGTATATTTTTTACAGTCTCATTTACATTATTTTGTATTTTTTTTGTTTGAATCTTCTTTGCTATAAGCTTTTGAGGACTCGAACTGATATTTTTTATTGACTTATCACTTTTTGGTGATAATTGTGAAGATTGAGCTTGATCATCTTCTTTTGATGATGCTACATTTGTAGAATTCTTTATTTCAGCCACTTTTTCATCGATATTTGATTCAGTTTCAACTTCTATGCTCGATGATTGATTACTTGTTGCTGGTCCATTTGAAACCACAGTTAAAGGATTTGTATTTGGTTCTTGTTTTTCTGTCAAACTAATATTATTTTGATAAAGTGGCACTTTTAAATCATACGCTCGCAATGGATCATACTCTGGCAGAAGTAATTTTATCTGTGCAGGATCTTGTGGATTATATGGAGTTCGCAGTGGTGCAAATGTAAAAGGTCCAAAAGCTAATTCCAATTTTTTACAATGATGAGTAATTTCTTTAATACACTCAACCATTTCGAGCCTTTTCTTACGTGGCAAAGGTGTTGGAGGGTCACGAGAATATAAATATATATCTTTCAATGATACCCATGCACGATCGTGCTCTCCAAAAAATCTTACGTCTATATGTCCTTGAGTGTTTATCCTTGGTAATGCTTTAGCTGGCCAAAAGGGAAAACCTTTGAGCTTAGCCCAGATAAGCGGATGAGGTTGACGACATGCTTCTATGAACCAGGACGGATTCGGCCGTGGTAAATTGCGACCACGCGTATAGCAATCTGGACAAGCTTCAAACTCTGAAACCTCTTGTCGAGCAATTTTGATGATTTGTTTAGCGGCATTAGTTAATTTAGAAGTATCTGCATAAACTCCTCCACCTATTTATTAAGAATATCTATTATTTTAGTTTTATTATTTCATAATAATTAAAAAAAAGTTAAATCTTACATGTATTAAAAACAATACAATTATGTTGTATCCATTTTGCATCAGCCATAAAAGCATCAGTACTTCCATAAAACTTGGAATTAACATTATTTTCCAATAACGTTAAATCCATTGGTTTGACAACATAATCCAGATAATTAGGAACATCCTCTAGATCAACTGCGGTCCAAAACGGTTCCGACTATTCATCAATACAAATGTTAGTTTTATTGATTATTTTTAAAGACTTAACTGAGGTGGTTGTATTGTCTAATCATTGTTAATAAAATGAAACATACCCCAGGACAATTCCGCATGCGTTCAATCATATATCTGAATACCATACAAAGTTGATCAATAGTAAGATGAGACATAATAGGCGGACGAGTTGATGCATTTTCCGCTTGTAAAATACTCGCACATTCACCACATATCCATGTTTGTGATGTTGATGAAGGAATTATTCCTCCCAGACATTTACGATGCCACGAACGCGGACATGTAGTACAATGAACTTCGGTAGAGTCTTTATGACAGCGCCAACAATAATTGTCACTTGAACTTTTGAGTCTTTTAAATTTGGCACATTCATCACTACTCGTTGATAGCTTTTTGTTGCATTGATCACTGAAAAATGAATTTACAATCATAGAATATTATAAACTTCATAAATCTACAGAATGAAATGCTTACTTACTCAGAACTTTTACGCTTTCTAGTATTTCTTCCTATTTCAACGTCTATTGATTCTTTTTCAAGTTCTGAGTTATTATTTTTAGAATTATCAATAAGTATTCTAGAATTGTCTTGTTGACTCACTGTCTTTCCTTTTTCTTCTTCATTATCCACTCGTTCAGCTTCTTCAACATTTATCATGTCATTATTGAATTTTTCTGCTGAACTATTTTTAGGACAACACTGTACTCCAGATGATTGGTTACTGTTAACATCTGAAAATTCTTTTACTTGAATTTTCTTCATCAACTCGGTGATAATGCTTTTTGTGGTCGGATTACTTTTTAATTCTACTAATTCTTTTTTGTTCTCTGTTAACATATTTTGTCCAACAACTTCATTATTATCTTTAGACGCCATTCTTCTTCAATTAACTTAACAAAGTATTGGTTAAAATAACTGAGTAATTCTACAGTTACACCATTGTTGTTTACCAATAGAATTCACTTGATAAACTGGCCCGTGATAAATTATAAATGATCTCCCACTCTCTACTCCAAATATTCTGAAAAATAATGGTTGATAATGAAAAGAATTACGTTCAACATATTGTAATTTTCTGTTATTCTTACCATTACAAAATTAATGATTCATTTTATATATTCAATATATAATGTTTTTATAAAGATTTATTTATAATTTAAATAACAAAAATAAACTAGTTTGACTTTTTTTATGCTCCGTATGATAAGAATCAAAATAAATATTGAAATGACGATTTTTGCATCCCATTACAATTAATTATCACTATATTTACAATTTTTAATCCAATTAATAAATTAGCTCATAGTTTACGATTACCAAAAATCATGTTACTTATTTTTTTATGATTATAAACAATTCTATCATCAAAACTTTAACACCTGAAGGATCTAAATCTTCCTCCAAAGGGAATGTAATTATACAGGATAAATACACATTTATATATATGTACAAATTCTGATTCTTGAGAATCACAAATATGAAATTGGCAACAATGTTTTATTAGAGACATATGCAAAAAAAAGCCAAAAGTGTATAGTCCAGAATGGAGCAAACACTGGAAATTTATTATTTCGAATGGATTATATTATCGAAAAGATTAAATTCCGATCAAGCAAAGCTCTGATTTTACCTTTTCGATAATACATATAACCTATTCATAATAATTCTTCGAGGTTTTACTCCATTTAGGTGCATAGATTTTTGGCCTTCTCCCGCGTTCGTAGTTTATTGGCTGGTCTTCTTCATTGGATAAATGTATTGCGCGCGAGATACAGATTTTCTAAAATATTTTTATTATCTGTTCTTTCAAATCATCTGTCTTATTTGTATGGATACTTCTTGAACATATATGCCATTTTTGATAGAATTTTTATTAATTTATATTTTTCTTTTAAAGTCCATTAATTTTTAAAAAATCAAACAATTGATTCATGAAAAAGATTTATTTTTTTTGTTACACTACTTATATTCAATAAACAGAGAAGTAAACAAAGATATTTATTTATTCCTATTGATAATGAAAATTGGATAAAAAAATTATGCTCATTACATTAATTACTTCTAAAATTTATCAATTAACTGTAAAATATGTTGTTGTTCTGTTTCTCTCCATTCAGAATCTCCAGCATCCCCTAAATTGCCAGCATATTCTCTCATAATATGTCGAATAGTCTTTAGAGAGGCCCTGCGCTGGGATAATATTCTCGTAACGCGTTGTTTTACTCCCGGTGGACATCCTGCACATGCTTCTAAAAGTACATAATCGACTAATTGTAAAGTAAACAATCCACCATCCAATCTTTTTAAATAAGACTCTTCTTCATCATCATCTTCCTACAAAAAAAATCGATTATTTTTTATACAAAAATCATTTTATAATAAAATCTAAATTAAATTTAGAGTTACCTTCGCATTTTTTTCTATTTCATCAACTTTTTCTAAATATTTGAAATGTAACTCCATTAGTCTATCAATTTTTTCATAATCATTTTCTGTAAATTTACTAAGCAATCGCTGTCGCTGTTGTCCTTTACAATTTCTCAACATACTTGCTATTATTGAAACAACATGTTCCTCATGTTCTTCAGCAGTAAACATTTTCTTTCTATTCTTTGAAGGTGTTTTCATAAATAATGGAAATATTGTGCGAAGCCCGAGAATGTCAACAAATTTATTACAGTTATCTTTACCATCTGGACCATTTGTTGCATGATCCAACACTTTTAACGATCCATTCCGTGATAGTTTTTTTTCTCTAAGCATTAAATTCATGAGCTGCAAACCTTCACCTCGCAAAAATCTATCTCTATTTATAGTTTCCATTAAACTTGAGCATAAAACATCAAATAAATTTTCCATCATTTCTTGTTCTTCAGCAGTGTGAGGATCGTGGCGTTTATAATATGCTAATTGTTGTAAAAGAACATCAATACCATCCAAATCTCCAAGGAGGAGCTTGTTTTCCGAACTTTGTTGTAAAAGAATAGATAATAATTCACTTGTATATAATTTATTTGCATCAAATGGAATTTTTGCTTTTAGACGACGTAATAACCATTGCATCAAGCCTTGTTTACCAGCATCAACACACAACTCTGGTCTGAATTCTAAGAGATTTTCAAAAATAGCTGTAAGAATGTAATAATATTTTTTATTATTGATGAGTTCAAGTTTTTTTACTAAAATAATTCATGGTTGATTTATTAAAAAATTATTTGCTCCAAAAAAAAATAAGTTGGAGCAGAATTTTTATAATTGATAAAAATTATTTTGTTATCAAGTTTACAGTATATTTACTTACCTAAAGTATTATGAACACCATCACTTTCCTCTTTAACTGTCTCATCAAGTCTGTCAAGATTTTGAACCAATAGAGCACATACTTGTTGTTCCAAAAGAGCATCTATTAAAACATCAGCTCCTTCTTGACTTTCATGCAAAATATCAACGTCTGTCAGCTCTTGTAAAAGATCAACAACTCCCACTGCGATATCTGTATTCTCATGTGATAGCAATTCAAGTAAAGATGGTATTGCACCTAATTCAACCATTACTGGATATAATTCTGGATTCGTTGCAACTACATGGAGTTCTTGTAAGGTCTCGTGTAATTCTACTTCAGATTCCATAAATCTAAAAGTTTTTTATTAAATGTTTTTTACATTTCTAATTATGATAACTTTTGAATAAAAGAAAAATATTTAAACTTACTTTTCTGGTTGATCGGGAAATTTAACACGCATTTCTTGATTTCTAAGTGCTCTTTTTTCAAACAGTAGAATCATGCGCTTAAGAGTAGCTTCATCCAGAGCTTCAACTTCTGGTGCTTCAGTCTCAACATATTTTAAAATATCGGCTTTCTCTTTTTCCGTTAATTCTGGCTCCATAACATCATTTGCCGAAGAAGGCATATTTGTTTTTCTTGTTGGAGTAGGTGGTTCATCATAACTTCTGACTGGTGTAGATTCTACAGGTATATGCTTTTGACGTGGATGATAGGGCGTTTTTATGACTTTTTTCTTTCTTCCACTATCCCAATCATCCTCGTCATCATCTTCTTCCCCGGGCACTGGACGTTTTGGAGTATTCGGTGGCTACAAAACAATTTTGGTTAGGTGAAAATTGTAAATAATAGAATATCTTTTTATTAAAGGTATTCTAAAATATAATAAACTGATAATTACTTTATAAGACAATAATTCTCCTATATCCATTTCAACGTCTGTTTAGTTCGTGAAATAATAATTTTATTAACAATTAGTTGAAAATATGTATTCACGGCTCTTCTGCACTTTTTATTGTGAATTTTTCGTAAATTCAGAAAATCTTATCTGCCACACCATTTTCAATACATTTCCTATAGATGATAATAATTTAAATAGAACATACAATTGCGTAGGTTTATTTCACTTAATTTAAACATTAAAAATAATTGTTTTATGTTGATTTTGATTTTATTGTTGATTTTTAATACTGAACATAACCTTTTCAACATGCCGACGTAGAGGGCGTTCAATTCAATACACGTTTTCTCTGACAGTTGTGATATTACACGTCATAATTAATATATTTGTTATAACATATTAATATATTTTCTGATAAATTTATCAATAATTAATTAGAATAATGGAAGCTCTTTATCATCAAACTAATAAATTAGTCCAAGAAACTCAACATCTTTTCACACAACTTGACAGACGTTTGCCTAACCTTGATCTGAATGCTGTAGAAAGCGATATCATCGCAAAAATTAGTTTAATTAATAGGTAATAATTAATAAAATGTTTAAGTTTAAATTTTATTGTAGAGATAATTATCTATTTAATTCCATCATTTTGAACTTGAATAATTCTAAGATTACTTTGAGAAAAAAAAAACAAATACGAAAATGTTCTGGTACACAAATATCTATAGTAAAAATGTTTTAGATTATATAAAATGCCTATTTTATTTCAGCAATTGTGAAAGATTAGATATTCTGTGCATGAAAGGACCCATATCACAGCGACAAAATGCAAAAATGCGAGTAGATCAACTAAAGTATGATAGTCGTCATCTTAGTGCAGCTTTAAAATCTTGGAAAAATCAACAAATTCGTCGACAACAAGAAGAAAACGAACGCCAAGCATTACTTGCTCGTGAATTTACCACAAATGATCACATAGATATTTTGATTGATCACAGTTTAGAATATAACAATCGAATGAATAATGCTAATGAAGGAGTAAATAATCTTCTTCAACATGGATCAGGAATTTTAGAAAATTTACGGTCACAAAGACTGACACTAAAAGGTGCTCACAGACGTCTAGTGGATATTGGTAATACTTTAGGATTATCAAATACTACAATGAGACTAATTGAAACTCGAGCTCGTCAAGATGGATTCATTTTAGTAGGAGGAATTCTTTTCACATGTTTTGTTATAACGTTAGTAATTATTTATATGACGTAGTTTCATTATAATCTTTCTTTTTGTATGATATTGACATTCCTTGATAAATCTATTTGTATATATTAAAATAATTAAATATCAATTATTAATTATTATATGTAGTTAATAATTCAATTCTGAAGCAAGTATTTTTTTAGAATTTTATTAAAATTTATACATTCAAACTGTCAAAATATTTATCTATCAACCAGAGTTTTGCTGATATGGAGACGTTTCTATTTTTTATCACCAGAAATTATTTAGCATTTTAATTTTTTTTTTTGTTTGCTTCAGCAAAGAATTAGTATTCAGTATTCATAAATTATTAATAACTTAAATAAGACATGAAAAAAATAATATTCATTATAATAATAATTGATCATCACAAATTTACAATAAATTTTGAAAATAGTGAACAATAATATTCTTCAGGAAGTTAACATTTATGTTGTTCAAGTTTTTTGAGATTCTATTGCCAATTTTGTGAAACAAGAAGTCAATTGACCGTCATTATCACAATCTGTTTCCGAGGAAGTATCTGGACCACAAATAATTTCATCTAATGCCCGACTTACCTTGGCTCGTAATTGATTAGCTACTTTCTTTACGGCTAAATGATTTTCTTTAATTTGGTTTACACAAGAAATGAAACCTTCCCAAGAAAAAGCTGAGGTATGTTCTATGTATAATTCTTTCCATAAATGAATACTGATAGGAGCTACACTAGGCCAAATGACGCCTGGATTAGGCTCATACAATGGATTTAACCAAGTTTCTAAAGACTCTGGTTTATTCATATAAGACCAGAGACTACAGGTACGTTCAGCAAGTCGTAAACTTATTCTGTCAGCTTCAGAATCGCCTGTAATATAATAAATGATAATTTGTAACGTTACAATTCTAAATACATTTAATTGATAAAAAGTATAATTACCCAAAAATGTTCCGTATTCAGATGAATAAGCATGTTTAAAAAGCTCTGCAAGCATTTCTGTACCATATTCGAAGCTGTATTGGAATTGATAAAAAAGTTGATAAACGCAATCAAGAAAAAGAAGAAATGTAGGTGCATGAGGAAAATTTTGGTTGTTTGATGAAAAATATGCTCCATGACGCGTACGAGTATAGAAAGGATGACCTGCTTGAAGCCATTCACGTTCAATTAAAGCTTCAAAACCACGAATAGTTCGACAATCCGGATTAACAATAATTTGAGCTAAACTCGTAATTACAAGAGTGGAATCACGACCAGTTCCACCTGTAAATGAATAATAAAACCAAATTACGACAATTCTTCTTTTTATTGTTATTAAAGTAGTAAATAAACATACCATGTACTAATACTGCAGCTAATTCTTGATGAAGACATTGAGCTACAACACAGGCAGCATTCATAGCACTTTGAACAGTAGACAGCCATCCACTATTTTCTAATCTTGATAACCATTGACTAGTAGAACAGGAGGTTTCATTGCACGCTTCTATTAATTTATAAAGACTGTCAGCTAGTTCTGACAGTCTAGGGATGCTTTTAAATACCTTTTTCCATTGTGGATATGCTGAGTCTATTTCAGTTCCACCTCCTCTAGCACGAGCATTTTGCGCTTGACTAGCAGATCTTGTATCAACTATATATCTACATAAAATTAAATTAGAATCAAATCTTAAAGAAATTTAAAATGGAATATTTTTTGTGTCTCAATCTATTTCAACATTGATTTAAAGGAATGGAAACATACTAACCCTCGTCTCCCAGCACCAAGAACAATATTTAATAGCCTTTCGTCTTCCATACATCGTCTTCCGGTAGCTCCACACAATGGTTGTCCACTTCTAAATAGAAAACTCTGAAAATCAATATTATTTTAAAGAACAATTTAATATTTAATAAACGTGAAAATATGAAATATTAGTTTATTTACTCCGTTTTCATGTCTGTAACATAAAATGGGAAATCTTCCACCATCACGAAAAGCAGCTGATGATATGATTGTTTGATCATCTATCATTCGAGGTACTATAACTGTAGATGGATATGAATTACACACTCGATAATCTCGATTAAAATAACTGATTCTCCACTCATCTCCATGTGCTGTTAACAATCTAGACCATTCAGAAACTGGAGCGAAGGCGGTCCAACCATCCTCTACTTGATCTTTATTTTGATTTGATGATTGTGGGCGATAATAAAATGGATATTGTAGAGTTTGATCTAAATTGAGAAAAAAAAGTTAGTAAACATTCATTTCAATTCATATAAAATTTGTCATAATGTAGTTAAATTATCACCTAATGATGAAAGTCTTTCTAATGTGGTTGTGACTTTAACTAAATCATCTGTTGAATTAATTTCAAGTTGAAGAATTCTAAAATTTTTACATTTAAGTACAATACTGCCTCCAGGACTTTGATTATTAGTTTTCTTTTCAATAACATCAATATTTCGATAAAGTAATAGAATATCTTTTCCAAGATCTTGTCTTGATGACAAAAAAAGATGATGAACACTCAAACATAATGTACCTTCTAAACTTATTAAGCGTTCATTAGTTTTTTCTGTTAAAATGACAGAATCAACCTTCGGCACAGAAATTAAATCTAAAAATGCCATTTTTATTAATAAATATCAGATTAACTTGAATAATTTAATATATGTTAATTGAACAAAAATATTAAATACTAGAAATGATTATAAACTTAAATTAAATTCATTGTTATGACAGGTGTTATGTATTAAAAAAATTAAAGCGTCCAGAAAGGATGTGCTTATCTTTCTGACATAACATATGGATTTCAGAGAAAGCTGACAGGGGCCTGTGTGAAGAAAATAACAATTACATGGAGAGTAGCGCCAAATAACTTGAGAGTTTGATTACAGAACTAAAATAATGATGACTCCAAAATTTGTTGATATTGTAGAAAAAGACGCTCCGTTTTTCTACAAAGATTTCAATGACTTCTGACTCAATATTTTTAGATTTTTAAGTAAATTTTCAAGTTATTTTATTTTATTCTTTGTACTTTATTATATTTGTAACGGTCAATTTCTTTGGCGGGAAATTCGAAAATAGAGGCAAAATTTAATTTATTATTTTATTTATAAGCATTCAATTGATTAATTTACATCATATGTTTAATTTCTTAAATAGTTTGAATGATATGACAGTACGATTGATTAATGATCGCTGTTAGTAAAACTTTTATTTATGTAAGTTTCTAAAAAAAATACATTTTTATTTCTCTAAACATTAATCAACACTTTTACAGTAACATCATTTAATGCAATAACATTTATTTGCAACTGTCAAGCATATTATTAATATTCTTGGATTTGAATTTATCATTCAAGAATAACTTAAATTTAAATTTCAAACATTTCTTACTCCTTTATTATTCCTAAAACACTACATGATTAATGCACACCAGTATCATACAATTCACAGTAATTTTTTTTATAAACTTTCAATATTATAGTATAAAATTAATAGTAGTTGAGTTTATTTGATGTTCAATATTTTAACAATAAACCAAGACAGAAAATAGTAAAAAATTACACAAACGAGTGGTTCAATTTGTTGTGTAAAATTGTTTTTTATATTATCATTTAACATATCATGTAAGTTTACTAGCTGTACATTAATTTTGTTAATCCTAATATACTTATTCACTTGACGACTTTGATGTAATGTCACAATTTAGCGCTTAATGTTACGCATTTGCATTAACATCTCAAATCGTCGATTTGATCGAACTCCTTTCAATACCATCCGTTTTTGTGTTCTTGTGTCCTCACTAGAATGTATAAAATCAATATATTAACCATCAATAGTAATGACTATCAGCAAAAATGATTCCTATTGTGGAAAAAAATAAATATATAAATAAATATATTTCCTGTAGTTGAATGCTTTATTTTGGCATTAATCTTATAGTAAAATATCTCAAGAATCCTTATTTATTTATTCAGTCTAATTCTATTCACAGATGTCATTTGAAAATTAATTTTTAATAAAAAATTATAGTTTTAAAAAATGTAACTGACTTACATATTTTTTGTTGGTGCTTGTTTATTTAAAAGTTTTGTCGCCTCTTCTTTACGTACTTTGAATCCATATCTGTTATAAGCTCCGTTGGAAATATCTCTAGGATGGGGAGCAGTTTTTTTTGTTGACTCCGTTTTTGTTTTGACACTTTCAATTTCAACTTTACAACTATTTGTTGAAATATTATTCATCAAAGCGTGATGACGTTCTTCAACTCGTTTCTTAGCATCTACTAAAGATTCCATTTGAGCAAATCTTTTCTGGTGTATTTCAGCAAAATTCGGAATTTTTTTAGCAGACAACGTTATTATTTCTGGTTTCTTATGATTGTGTATTGAAGATCGTGGTTTACTTAATCTATTCACTGAATCTTGAAGTGTTTTCGAAATAGATTTTCTATTGACATCAACTGATGATAACGATCGTTTTTTGGATTCCACAGTATTCGATTTTAATTCATTTGAATTTACAGAGCTTGATCGTTTCCTTGAAGTTTTTTTCTCGGGAGAATTTTTCTTATCAATCAACGATATTCTTGAAGCTTTTGTTGGACTTCTTTTTGTAATAAATGTTGGTCGTTTGACTTTATTGCCAGGAGTAGCAGATCGTGAACTTCTCATTGATGGTTTTTCTTTAGCAACCGGGGAATTCATAGGAGGGCTAGCAAATCTTACCCTGCATACACGCTTTTGTGCAATTTCAACATCTTTTTTTTCGTCTTCTACTTTAGAATCGTTAGCAAAAAGCTTTGCATCCATTAATTGTTTTCTCTTCCTCAAAAGTGGAGTTTTTGGCTCATCTAGTTCATATGTATCATCAGAATTTTGCTTTTTTACACCGGATGTTTGTAGTTCAGCAAGCTCATAAGTATCATCTTTATTCAGACTTTCATCGTCAGTTATTTCTGCATCAACTGCTAAGGCACTTTCATCTTTTGTAACTGGCTTAACGCCGCTTATATCAAATGATTCGTCATCACTAATAAGAGGACTTGTGATGTCTTGGAGCTTAGAAGTTTCGTGTTGAAGGCGAGTAGAAGAACTTTTTGGAGAAGTTCCATAAAATGATCCAACCTCTAAAGGATTTTTTTTTACAGAAGGCGATAAATCGGGAGAAAAATTTAATGATTGTCTGGCTTTTTCTCGCGGAGTTGATGCTACTATGTCCAAATTTTTTTTTTTCTACAGTTGACAAGGGGGCCAGATGATTTTTAGTGGCTCCTAATTTGTTTTGTCTTTTTATTCCTTTATCAGGTGATGTTCTTTTCGGCTCAATAAAATTATCATTTGCTTTTTCCATTGGCTCTTGAATCTCTGAAAGAGAAATTCTTTGTAGAACCAATTTTGGAAATTTATTAGGCTCATTTGATTCTAAAGTCATGGAAGATTTCTTACTTGGTGATTTTGCTTTTAAAGATGGACTTTTCACTGGAGATTTCTTCACTTTTGTTGATACTACACATGGACTTCTCACTTGTGATGATCTAGGAGACTTGCGAGTAACAGATATTGGAGAATTCTTTGGTGATTTTTTTTTTTTTTTCATTGATCTATTTGGACTTTCATCTTTCTCTTGTAAAATATCATCAACAGATGATTCTTCCAGAAGAACCGAAAAATCTGTTTCTACTGGTAGCTTTCTCGGTGTTTTTGATACTCGCTGAGGAGTTAGAGGATGAGTCTTTGGTGATCCAATATTAATTGGAGATTTTCGAGGCGTTTTAGTAGTACGATGAGGAGTGAGGTTTATTGTTATTGGGCTACTTTCTGGTGTAACGATAGGATTAGGTGAACTTACATTACGATTTCGTAATAGAATGAAACGTACACTTGATGTGTTTGCTGATGCTTTTTTACTTTTTTTTGAAGCAGTAGCAACTTCACTATCTTCACTAGAAACACCATCATTATCACTTAGTGTATTTTTTGAATTTTTATCAGCAATGTTTTCATTATTTTCATTCTCTTCATCATCAGTATTTTTGTTCATAATTAATCGTTTTTTTCCACCTTTTCGTCGTCCACGAGTTGTACTAGATTTGGTAGTTGAAAGTATATCTTGCACCTGACTATGATCAGATACCATTGAATCTTCCAATACAGTAGCATTCATATCTTTTTTATATCTTTTTTTGCTACTTGGTCCAATTGAATTTACTAGCGCATCAACATTTTCAGAAACCACTTTTTTAGCACGCGTTTTCTTTACCGGTTGTTTGGTTTCATGTAATTGTGAAGATAGATCAACATCGGAGTCATTAGAATTCTTTAATTTCGTTTGTCGTCGAGTTCTTAAGGTACGATGACCTTCATCAGGGATATCAAGTAGTTTAGTAGACTCTAAATCCACTAATTTTTCATCACTTTTCTCTGGTTTTGTTCCTAAAACAAGAACAATATTAACACGGTACGTAAAAATTACAAACTCAGAAAATTATTTATTACAAAAACTTTTTTCATAATGTTAAATTTTCTTATTACAATACATTCATTCTATAAGAGTCACAAAATTCATCAGTGATTAAAACAGGATAGATAAAAAATCAATCAAGGATTAAGATAGGACTTGAATGAATAACCTTTGTCTAGCAGGCATAGATTTTAGCTATGGAATTAAAATGGCATATAAAAAAAGTAAATAAATAATCTCGCGCCTTTTCATGCCAGCCGCCAAAATTGACGCCATAACCGACAAGATAGCCCGCCCAAAACGGCATATCGGATACATGCGCTTTATATTAGTTATGATCTAATGTATTTTGTCATAAGATATCAATGAAACTTTTATTACATACCTTTGCGATTTTTTCTTGGGGACATGATGACCCCTCTTTCACGTTATTGTCAATTTAAATAAGTTTAAATAACAACGATATAAAGTTAACTTTACAGAAAAAACAATCATGTACGTTGCAGGAAACAACCGCTTGCTTTTGAAATGACCGTTCCGTGGCGCTGTTTCAACTGTTTTTTTTTTTTTAACTTTTAGTTCACAAGTCGACCACTAGAGTAAACTATCGAATTTTCATTTATTCGAGACATCGAATAAACATTCACATCGACTTGTCGATCGATTGTTTTTTTACGTAATCTGAATAAAATAACCTACTCCATTCAAGAATCAGAATCTGAAAGAAAATCATCTTTTATTGAAAAATCTTTAAAGGTTTGATGGAATACAAATATCATTTTATAAAAATTTCCTAATTATTTCAAAGATTTATTTAACTATATTTCAACATTTATTTAATTATTGTACAATAATTTTATAATATTATTTTAGTTAATCATGGATTCTGAACCAGTTCCAAAGGAACGACTTATGAAATATCCATACACTGCAACTGCTAAAGTAGTGTCGTTTCCTTATAAATTTTATTATAAACATGCTTGGATGACTAAATGGTGGCTCATTGGACTTGGTTTTACTAGCATACTTTACTGGAAAATTCAGCAACTTTGTAAGTATTAAAGATTGAAATCGAAATACATTCAAATGTAAAGCTGACTTCATCAATTTAATGTGGAAACGTATTGGAATCTAAAGTAATCAAATAATTTTTTTGCAGCATACGCTCCAGCAAATGTTGCAAAATGGGCTGAAATTAGAAGAAAAGCATTCTCAGGCGAACATTAAAATATGTATTTAACAATTTCGTAGCATATTAAAGATGATTCCATAAATGTACACAAATTCATACAGTTGAAAGTTGAACTATTTAACTAAATGTATTGAAAAGCTCTAATAAAAGGTAAATTGATTTAGCTTTAGCTAAGAAGGTTATTAATTCAGTGACCAGAACTAAATAAAAAAATTTTTTCAGTGATTTTATTGATTCAAAAAAAAAAAAAATGATTATGATTATCAAAAATGCAAATCACTAAAATGATTTACCTATGAATAAGACAATTTTTATTACACTTATTAAAAAATACTTATGTTTTGGTGATTTTACGAATATAAAATACACAAAAAAATTGTTGCACGAATTGCTTTTATTAGCAAATAAATTTTATAAAACATACACTTACACAGAATTGTTACAGACAATCTGTACAATTCGATTGACAAATTCCATATTTTATCCACGATAGGTCCAGCCTAAAATTTATCAAAAAATCTTTCTAGAGATACTAGATCTAAATTTGAAGTCTGGAGCTGAGATGAGATAAATAATAAGTACTTGTAATTAAAATTTTGACGTATTATAATAAACTTATTTATTATGTTTGTAGTGATAATTAATGAAAAAAGAATAATAAAAATTATTAATAATCAAGTTATTCAGCATATAATCTACATGGACAAAAAATAGACAGCAAATAAATAATTGAAAAACACTTTTTTTTATCTCGCTAAAATAATTTTAAATTATTAAAATCGCTATGATTAAAAAATATGAATTCATTATTATTAACCAACACTTGGAATAATTGCTTGTACTGGCTTTAATTTATCTTTGTAATTCTTTTTTGAACTTTTTTATTACTCTTACTTCAACACACTTCATCATTTATATTTGAGCATAAATAATGATGCATTCAGTGTGAGATGAATAATACTGTATACACTGATAAGAAAAGCTCGTCTTTGCTACATACATGAGTATTTTTCATTTTGTCTTTTTTAATTTTCTTTTACGCTAAGACAAGACCTCAACTCATTTAAAAAAGTTCTTAACCAAATCTCAGTTTCAGTTGAAAAATAACTGAGATTCTTTTACATTTCGATGAACACACTTAAAATCTTTTACAACAAAATAAGGTACATTATTTATCTTTAATTCAAAAATATTTTAATTTTCTATGGACTACACAGTCTGTAGAGTTTTTTTTAACTATTTCCATTAATTTCCATCTGTTCTTCCTTAATTTCTATCTTTTCCTCTTTCAGGGAAACTTTTGCTGCTTCTTCAGCTATTTTTTTGGGTGAATTTTTATCCTCCACCTTTCGTTTTTTATTCGCTGGCGCTTGAGAAGCTTCTTCATTACAGTTGAAACCCAGCTCTTTGCTTCTTTTTTCAAAAAACTTGGATAATTTCATTCCAGCCCTATAAACATAACTTTTATCAGGAAAAGACAACTGAAAAGTACTTTCACAAACACCAAAAACGTGTTCGGAGGCCAAAGATATTCATCTTTCATCATCCCGAGTAACTTTATTCTTTTTCACTCAATTAATGTTTGATACAGCATGCAAAAATGTTTTTTCCATTCATCAAGACAAAAAACGTCATGCATTTAAACACTCATAACTCTATTGATAATGATTATACGACACAAACACAATGAATAATTTGTTAATGAAATTTTCAAACCAGAGATGGTTAGTTTCAGTCAATCCCTGGCATCCGAACCTGAATAATTATTAATCAATTGATAAAAACTCACTTGTAAACGGCGCTGTGTTGCTCGTTGTAAATGTTACAATTTTCAAATATAAGGAGTACATCAGCCAAAAATTGAGGAATATTATCGTCATAAATTCCTTTATTAAACTTGTCTTGTATTGTTCCAAAGTCCATAGGATTTTTAATGAAATCATAGTAGTCAGGCACTTCTTCAGTTGTGACAGGAGATAGAAATGGCCAGGAATCTTTGTGATGCATAAGTTCATTCAAAAACAAGAGAAGAGTTTTATCTTGATCAGCGGCAGCTCGTTTCGTTGCCCGTCGAGTTTGCCGAGTTTCTGTTTCTTCTGATATACTGCTTTCTGCTCAACACAAATTTTTTATAAAAAATTTACATTATTTATAACATAAACTTATCTAATATAAAAATTTAATGAACATCTGTTTTACTTAAAAATATTTTGCTAGTTAAATATATGAAGGAAGCATCATGATGTGATGACAGATTATCACTTCTATTGATTGAACTCAATGAAAATAATTGCGACACTATTTTAGCTTATAATGGGTTATCATTCTAAAAAATGTTACGATGAATAGCTAAGACACATTTTTTAATAGTGAGATGATTCTCAATGCTGCTGTGATAAGAGCAATGTTAGGAAGAAGATGGCGAACATAAATAAGCTGTCAGGTGAAAAGTGTGGTGAAGAATACAGACCACCATCACAATCAGAAGATTCTTTACGAAGAAGACTCTTGACGAAATCGTGGATGCGGGACCGAGCAGCTGTTGCGCACAATCGCTTGTCTCTCTCCCCGTCACGATCTCGCACTAACAACATACTCAAAGCTAAACCGTTCATTGTCTCTTTATATCCCATAATCTCAATCTCTAACTATTTCTGGTCTATAGATTAATTTTGGTTCTGATACAAAATAATCAATAAAGTGTATCTAGTCAATTAAATTTTCATCATACCATGTTTGACTCCATTCCTACGGACACTTTTGCAAGCATGACACAACCATTTTCCTCGCGGTGTTCTAGATAATGGTGGATCAACACACTCAAAATGGAAGCATCTGTCGCACGTACTACAGGTTATTAAACTTCCTGAACCACTGCATGTCACACAAGTTTGTTTTCGCTTTGGTCTAAAAATAAATAAAATATTTATGTTTAATATACAGAAATATAATTGTCTCATGAATTGTAAAGAAATATTTTTATTTACTTAAAATATTTTAATAATCTTACTTTTCGTCTTTTATCTCTCGATTTCCACTTTCGCGATTTCCAGATTCACTGTCAGCTTCTTCATCACTGGTCAAAACTTTTCTCGAACGATGCTGACGTGTATCTGGGATGATAACATTTTCATCAGTTTCTTCGTCTTCTTCCTCTTCAAATTTTCTTCTCCTCCTTTTAGGCTTTGGTTTAGTTTCAGGTGGTTTACATTGACTACAGAACCAATCTCCTTCTGGTACAGATGTGAGTTTTGGTTTAAGACAATATAAATGATGACCTTTATTACATCCATCACAAAGTAACATATTTTCAGCATCGCGACTTTTTCTACAAAGTCTACAACGAGCGTTAAGAATACTTTTGCTCCATGCCAAACTTGCTTCTAAAGTATTAACATGGAGAAATAGCTGAGACCAGCTTGTTGACATCATTAATGACTGTTCCCATCGTTCTCGAACTTCATCACTTGAGTGTTTTTTGTCTTTTTCATCATTACCCAAAGGTTTTTTCATATACTTAGATTCTACAGCTTGTGATAATTGAAGAATTGCACAAGCCATTTGTCGAATTCTTATTTGTTGCTGAGAATCTGGATGTAATTCACTTTCTTCTGGTGGACCTAAATATTTTCCTGGATCTCTGTAAACCTTTCCATTCCCGCTACCTACTTCAGAATCTGGTGTTCCAGGTCTACTGTTCAATTTTGTTTCATTTTTTATTTTATCTAAAGCTGAATTTACTGGTACGTCAACCTCAATTTCACTGTAAGTAAACATAAGTTTATCACACTGCTTGTCATAATGACAATTAGTAATAGCATTTCTCCAAGCATCACGATCTTTCACTTTTAATGATCCAAGGCATCCATTTTTGATTTTATCTTCCGTTTCAAGTATAAAATCTCTTAAAGCAAGCTCTAAAGCTTCATCAACAGGCACAGTAGACGGAAAGCTAAGATTTGTATTTTCTACCTTAGTTTTTTTCGAAGGTTTATTTGAGGCCTCCTTCGTAGAAAGTGGAAACACTTCAGAATTAAGCTTATGCTTGGGACAATTTTCAATTATAGACTGGAGGTTTTCAAGTTCTTGACTAAGATTATTCTTAAGTTCTCCTTCACGAATACCTCGATTACTTAAACCATTTATAATTTTTTCGAGATCTTCTTTGTTTCCGTAAAAACTCCATTTAACTTCAGATCTTTTACAATGAATGGGGCACTCTTTATCTCCTGTACAAGCCATTAATTTACATCTTTCATCATTTGAATCTTTTTTAGTAGGAGACTTAATAATTCCATTTTTATCAGCAAATGTAACCGTTTTTTTCGGTAACTTTTTCGTTTTATTAATATTATTTTCCTTATCACTAAATTCATCTTCAAATTTATTTTTGAGGTATATATTGGCTGCATCTTTGTCTTGTAATTCAGGCAAGTAAGGCGTACCATCAGTAAGGCACATACCTGGCCATCGTTCATCATTTTCAACGAATAAGCCAGGAATTGATAAAAACCGCCAATATCTGCGGTGAGCACGATCAGATCCTAGACAAAGCATCATTTGATCATCTTTAGATGCTAATCGAAGCTCTGTTAATTTATTCTCGATTTCTTCTTTCTTCTTTTCTTCTTCCCGACTTCCTCGTGTTTTTTTCGGTTTTTCATCAACATTTTCTTTTACTTCTTTCCCTTCAATTTTTCCATCCTTTTCACGCTCTTTCATTTTTTCTTTTTCTTCTCTTTCTTTTTTCTGTTCAGAAAGAATTAACGACTTCAACTCACGACGAGCTTGATGAATTTTTTCATAACGTACATCAATGACATCTCGTATTGATGCAAATGTTAATAATTGATTAATCAAGCATGTTGCCAAGCAAAGGCGATCTTCAAGATCAAATTCACAAACACTTCGGTGTCCAAGTAACCTCAGAATTCTGGGTTGATTTATTCTTAACAAAAGTGCAGGATCATCATGATTTGTATATCCACCTCTTTGAGAGTATCTCCATTTGGATGCTACTTCACTTATTCTTCCACCCGAACTTAACAGATGTTGTCGTAAAATTTCACTAAGTGTTACATGATCTAATGTAAGCTCTGACAGCTGATTTCCATAATGTTTTTGACACCAACTAGAAGCGCTAGTAGCTAGCTTTACTGCTTCAGCCATTGATGAAACCGCATGATCAAAATCTACACTATAATCGAGCGAATTCGACGCTATTTCGTCTTCTTCTTCAGCTTGAAATTTGAAAATATTTACTAATAAAAGTTGTAGTAAATCACTCCAAGGTCCAGAAGCTTCTTTTATCAACATTGCTTTTTCAAGTATATCAATCGAAAGACCGTGAGGAAAGTATGACGATACTTCTAACTCCTTAGAAAAAAATTGTAAAAATTCAAGAATCATGACAAAATCGCCAAATTTATCATTGGGAATTGCACACTTGACAGGTGTTGCTTCTATAATTGGTCGAAGATCTTCACATTCTAGATCTTCTCGTGGTTTATTCCATTCTCTAACGTAAGCAGCAAGTGCAGCCAATTTTTGTTTCTCTTCCTTTTTCTTTTCACGTATTTCTAAGAGTTTTTCTTGGCGTTTTTCTTTTTCTTCTCTTAATTTAGCCTCTTTCTCTTCTTTAATTTTACCGTTTAATCGCGATCTTTTATGTTTTTTAAAATGAATTTCACCTTTACTTGATGAATCGGAATTTTCTGGTTTTTCGAACGCTCTATGCTTACTTACATCAGAGGTGAGGAATTTATCGATAGTTACTTGTTTCTGTTTAACTATAGGTTTTTTAAAAGAAACAGATGTAAAATCTGGAAAAGGTCCAGCAAAAATTGTATCAAAACGGACTTTAGCAATACCATATTTTTGTTGAACCTCATTTTTTACTACCCAAACACCTTGGCTATTTTGTTCACAAAGCATTCTTAAAAATATTTTATTTCGTTCTCTACTGTATAGACTCTTCTTCCTTCTTATTTGTGACGCTTCAACTATCATTATTTCACTCATTTCATGACTATTAGAATCCAGTTGCTCAACTTCATATCGAAATAATTTAGCAGGTGGATGAAATAGTCTTTCTTGAGGGGAACTAGTAATACTATCTTTTTCGTAAGCTTTAATTTGCTCATCTGTTGGTTCAATGACCTGAAGAATATGACAATCACACCACGAATCATCAGCAAAGCATGCTTCCACCATTTCCCCAACAAAATATCGATCCCTAGCGAATTGATAAATATCCTCAATCATTTCACTAAAAGATGTTCTTTTTGTTTTTGTTGCCAGGTACAATATAGGAGTTCTTAACTGAAAATAATAAGTTATTGAACATTTTTGAATATTCGAAAATTAATGTATTTCATAGTTGATTCTTAAAATTGATTAAACAAACCTCCATCGGAAACTCTTTAAGAATTTTCTTAGCATTTTCTTCACAAGCTACAGCTTCTTCGTATGTCATGTTTGTTTTCCCTGTGATACTGCATGACCAAATAGTAGAATTACAAAGAATGATCCTTTCACAGTATTCACTGAAATCAAAGAAATAGATTAATCTTTACATCATACTCAACATGATGAAATATTAAGAAGCATTAATAATGGAAATCAAGACGTGAAACAATAACATTAACAATGAAGTTTCCTCTAGTTCTTATAGAAAACATCAATAAGGCGGGAAACAGAATTTACTGCGCGGCAATGAATAAGTTGTACAATCGACGCGTCACGATAATCCAACGCAACGTCAGAACTACTACGTATCGAAGGCAAAGAACATGCAAGTATGCCATAAATGTTGATGGATCATACTTTTCTACTTAGAGCCGGTAGGGTAAACCACTTTGATGCACATAGAATCGTCATTATAATCAATTTAAAAACTAATGGCATTTTATTATTTTAACTTACTTATAATCTTTGAAAACCTCATTTGTCACTTCACAATGAAAGACTTCATCGTCATCCTTATAGTCCGAGGATACATAAAGTCGTTGGAAAGGCTTCTTTCTCAAGTAAGGCATGTTGATGTAAATCTTTTTCTATTACTTTTAATGAAATAAACTTATGATTAAAAAAATATGATGCTCAGTGAAACGTAAAGATGTAGATGAAGTAGAGAGATCTTAGACTTGCTGAAACGTTGAGTCTCTTTAATGAGAGCTCGTTGATTTGTATCTTGGCCCAACACTCTCTTTCCCTCTCTCTCACTTGCTGTTTGTTCCTTGGACTTTTAACCAACAATGTTGATCTTCCGCCAAATGACGGCACTATTTGATAAAATAATGATTACATTTAAACTGAAATCATTGCAATTACAGTTACTTAAGCGTGTTTTTACATGGAAATTATGCACAAACTCATCACAAAGTACGTTAACGGTAGACGTAAATGAACTAAGAAGCGCATATATACACACCTGGCATTCGCTGACTAAACACACTTATGACGAACCGGAAACCTTATGCTCGTGCACCAACACACACACAACGTCAGAAGAAATGGTTACCAACTTTTAGAAACAGAAAATAGTTGTCATGATATCTTTTTATACATTTCTTGATTTAAATTAAATGTAAAAAAGAATAATTTTATTGGAAAACCTATCTATCATTATTACTAATTGAAGATTAAACAAATATATTTTAAGTTTAAATAAAATTTTATGGGATAAAAAAATGTGTCAATTACTTTTTCAAAAGTCATGTCAATAACACAAAGTTGGCTGCTTGAGTGCTTTGGCGCCCAGAGAATTTGGCGGGAAACTATTCGACAGCAATTATTTGCGCGCGGGAATTTGAATAAATTGTTAAAACCACATTTATATAAATTAATTGTATTTTCAATTATAAATTTTTATTCACATGATTATTTACATTAAATAAATATATTAATAAATTAATGTTTCATTGAATTATTTCAATAATTCTACATTTTTACAAAAGTATTTTTGTATTTTATAACATATCTAACCAATCAGTAAAATATTGGCATTTTATAGGTGTAACGTCTCCCAAATCACAGCAATTATTTTTTACCTGAAAGATTTTTTAAAAGATGAATAATTTTGTGATCATCACGTACAATTTATTACAATAAATAGAAAAATCTTACTGGGCAGAGTCCACAAGGAGTTTTCATTATACCTGGAGTAGGTACTAAAAATTGAACTGCTCGATATAAAGTACTTCCATCAGTAGAAATTGTTTTTTGTACTTTTCCATCGTAGACTAATGTGTTTAAGATCATTTCCAAATCTTCTTCCGATAATTTTACCTACCATTAATAAATTAAACAATTTATTAAACGATTAAATAATTGTTTTAAATTTATAACTGTAATAAACTTACCTTACTAATTCCTAAATCATTAATAAATTTTCGAACTTCATTGCAGGAAGCAAAAGCCTTATTTCTAGCAGCAATTGGACCACCTCTAAAATCTTTAGCAGCTTCATTTTTTTGTTCTAAAAATCTATAACACTGTTGATTTAAAATATCAACAAATTCAGCTTCAAAATCTTGATCTTGATAAAAAGTGCCTCCTGTCACAGATTTATCAGGTTCTAAGTTATATAACATATATAGTTTTTTTTTGCTAGCAGCAACTGACTTGACAGCTTTTATGAATTTTTTTGTTTCTAAACTTTTCAAAATTTTATTCAACTGAGTGTGCATTAAATTAGATTTCAGTCTTATATTTCGCATCCATATTCCTTTATTTCCTGCCTCTTCAATAATGGAATAAACTATTTTCTCTTCATTATCTGCTCCTTTTAATGGTTGAGTCTTGGATACTTCATTCAATTTATATAAAAGTACACTTCCTTTTTGAAACAAGGTAACTTGTCCTTGGCTTAATAGTTTATTTAGTGCAGCAGCAAGTTGTCCAGGAGATAAATCTGGTATTTCTTTAGAAATATCAGCCCCTGATATACCTTTAGGTTTGCCCTGTGCAAGAGCAATAATCCTAAAACAAAACAATATTTCATCAGTTATGAATTTTAATTGAAGAAATAAATAATGTTGATCGTACACACATTATTTTGTAGAATTATTTTAAATAATAAACAAATATTGCATTAACACTTACTTCTGCTCTACAGTTGATGAAGTGGATGATTCTGAATTTGTATCCATTTTGTATTGTAAATTATAAATAATTTTTAAATCTGTAAATTATTACTTAATGAAGCACAAAAAATCTCTTCTCATTATTTAATTAGTTATGTATACGTTATCATAATTATTCATTCAAGCTATGACGCGGAAACATGTGGACAGACTAAAAAAGGTTATGGTTCAAACATTGACATAGTAGAACATAACCTAAATTTTTCTATTGTTGTTAGGGCATTTTGATTCCCTTTAGAATTGTTTAAGTGATACTTTAGTTAAAATACAATGTATCTAACATAATAGAAATGTTTTTTTATGATTTTAATATAAAAATTTTTTTGGCTTAAATTTACACTTACATGCGCAGAATGACACATTTTCAAATTTGCGCATGAACCTCGAAAAATATTCTTTTTGAATTGCTTAAAAATAATAATGTAAAATAACTATAGATATTTTACAATGTAAATAATGGAAGATTTTATTTCAAATGTAATGTCTTATGTCAAAATTATCTATCGCTTGAAGTGTAGAGTGTTTTGTCGCGAACAACAATCAGCAGAAATTCTCTCTCTCCAAAAAAATAATTAATTCTATTTCTACAATAATTGAAAAAATTGTTTGTTTTTTATTATAATATGGCGTCTCATTCATCAACTTTACGAGACAAGATGTACATTTTTTTAATCATTACACATATTTCAATTATATAAATTATTTCTTTATAAAATCTTTTTACGTAGATTACATTTTTCTCATATCTTGTTCGATTGCTTAAACATAAAAATTAAAATAATCAATCATAATTCAACATAAAATCATAAATATGGAATAAATGTTGATTATTCCATCAGGCTTTTCAATAAATATGAACTTCACGTGAAGGCAGATTTATTTCCTCAGAACTTTCTTCAGTATTGAACTCAGAAGATTGAAGTGATTGTGGTGGATTGAAGTAATCACTAACAGAAACAAATTTAGCTCCTCCAAAATAATCAAGAACTGCGATGAACGAGATTTTCAGTCTAGCAAAGTAGAAATCATGATCTAGAATAAAATAAATATATGAGTATATTAATATTTAGGTGTGTTAATCACAGTTTGCGTTGAATCTTAATGACTATCATTGAAACTTATGAATTTCCAATGAAACGTACCAGCTGGCATATATTTAAGACTTGGATGACGACCAAATATCGCATTTTTAGCAGTTTCATACATAGGATCATATGTATGTACCTATATCATTGAAATAAAGTAGATTTAATAAAACCTATTTGCAAAATAAAAGTAATCATCAATCAAAATACTCAACCGGTTTTATCTTTCCAGATAAAATGATACGTGCACATCGGGGATCAATAGGTTCCATTTTATGTTCTTGGCAGTAGGAAGTTTGAGCCAAGGTCATCATCAAAGTCGCACGTGAATCTTCCTGTGTTGATTAACAAATCATTTGATCATTACAATACATACGTTTTGGCTAATCTTATCGCTTATTCAACGTAATTTGAAGATAATAATATTTTTAAGTATATTTGACAACTACGTACACTTAGATCTTTGGAAGTAAAGTCCAAAGGCGTTAAATACATATATGGTACTCCTGATCCATGGCCCAGAGGTCCATCACTGACAGCAACAACATTTGCAAATGGAAAGGTTGCTATTTCTTTCTGTCTGCTTATTGTTGCTACTGAAGTCCAATCTAAAAAAATATTATTAAAATGAATTCAAAGTGAATGTTTCATCAAGAAAAAAATATCTGTTATGATACATACTAGATTGATTAACGACATATCTGCCCACCAAAGCTGGATGATCGCTCGGAGGTATATGTACAGATTCCTCTTGTGGGATTGATAAATTATAAATACTATCATGTGAGTCATCCTGAATATTGGAGATCCTTGAATTACGCTTTTTTCCATTCTTTTGATAGTGATATACTTGAGACGATTGTTTCCATTCAAGGAACTCTTTGAATTCTTCTAAAAGTCTCTCATTATCTGCGAATGTTGGTGAATATCGTTTCCTACCGTTGGCACAATGCGAAAGCAAGCACACAGTGATAATTAAAAAAAGCGGAATGAAAGTAACGGTTTTGAGCAGATGACGAGCCATGGTTCTATGATAAAAAGTAAGCTTGGAGCGAGTTACGTGATATTACACTTATGAATTCTGACTACTGATGAATACTGGCCAGAAAAACGTATATAGCTAGTATAAATGAATACGTCATGCAACGTTTGATTATTTCAGAAACCTAGCGACTTTATTTTTTCACTACTCTCACTCTGATGAACAGCCCTGATTAATTTAAATCAAGATTATATTATCAGAATGTTTAAGTCAACAATAACAAAGCTTCATAAAAATTGTTTACTTCAACATTCCTTCAAACTTGATTAAAAATTCAAAATATATTCATTTATGATAATTTAATTACTCCTCCAAATAATTCATCAATTAATTTTCTTTTAACTTCCAGAAATTGAATAAAAATTGATCACATTAATTTATGTCTAAATGATGAATGATGATAGCTAATTAATTTTCAAAGTTTTAAACGCAATAGCTAGTAAAGAATATTAATATATGTATAAACCGGTTGACAGAACTCATACATACCGTTACATTCGATAGATAGAAAGAAGAAATGAGATGAAGACTAACAATTTAAGGATGTAAATAAGAATTTGTCATCATTCATAGCTACATCCGTATGAGTCGAATGAAATCTTATAATGTTTCGCAGTGAAGGTCCAAACATCAAGTTTGAGGGTGAGGCCAAGGAAACTGGCACGATGTCCGACCGATGGGCAGGTCTGTATGTATGTAGGTCGTCATCTAACTGTTCCTCGTACCGTTCTATCCTCGACTCCCTCATCATATACTGTTTTATTTCGCCTCTTTCTCTTCCTTTATATTACTGAGTAGCTAAATATCCACACCCATTCTTTCTTTTTCTGCCATCAAATCTTCTTCATCTTCTTACTCTTTTTCACATTTTCCGCCTCCTACTTCTTGTTTGCTCTCCCTCTCACCAGGTCGAAAGCAACTAAGAATTCATTGCTCGAACTCCTCGAGTTCTTCAGTTGTGTTCCGGGTCTTGTCAAGGACGTGTAGTATTTCTAGTATTTCCAGCTTCAATTTCGATTTTTATTCTAACATTGATCGAGTTTAAAGCATCTTAAGGATGCTTTCCAGAAAGTTTATAATTTTTTAATTATTTATTTAATTAATCAAGAAGACATTGATTATTTATTTACTTGGAGATAGCTTTAATTAAAATCAGGTAATTATATATTTTATTTTTTTTAATCATAATAGCATGTTTAATTTTATTTAAATATTTTTGAAGTTGAATGACATTTGCTTATCATTATGTTTGATATTAAATATTTTAAGGTGAAAAAGGCAAATTAAGTTTTTTTTATAGCATCGTCATAATTTCAAGAATAATGTCAAGGTTATATTTAATTAAATTGTCCTTAAGAGATTCCCTAAAAAAATGAATGACTTTAGAACCTGACCTGAGTCATCGACCTACTTTAGGACCAGATGATAAGGCTATTGAAAATTCTTGAGTCACGTTCTATTAATCCTTACAAAAAATATTAAAAGAAATTAATGAAAGTTCTAGTAGATAGAGAATTTGAATCACCAAATAGGGTTTCCATGTCTTGACATGTTTTCTTTATTTTTCTCTCTTAAAATGCTGTAAAAACAAGTTACAATAAAAAGCGAACGTTTTTCAGAATTATGGAGTCAAGATACCTGAAGTATTTGGTCATCTTTACGATGACTTTTATGAGCGGTTCACTAGTCAGAGGAGAATCTCTAATGGGTGGTCATTTGGACAATCAAAGAGCACATCCGGATGCAAGTAATTCTTCGATGCGTTATAAAGTCGTAAACGTGGTTCCCTTTGCCTTCAACGGCGGGCAACCGTTCTCTTTGGAAAAAGATCCCGTTACCGGGCAAATTGACTTTGATAAGGCTCCACCACTCTCGGTACTCAATTATACCGGTTCATATGATGAGGAAGACGACAGGCAGATGGAAAATGAAGAGGAGAATAGTGCTGATGAAGATGATAATATCTCAAAGCCCCAAGGATCAATATCACTAGAAGACGAGGATCAACAACCTAATGAAATTAATCCTTATTCTCCAAGCTTTCACGACTTCCTCAATTTACCTGTGCGTTATTCTAATCATGAAAAATATACGAGTGATAAATACCCGCTTATTTCGAGCTCTTACGCCAATACAAAGGTTCAAGGAGGATCAGGACACAAAGGATATATTATAAATTACAACAACTTTCATTACTCTGGAGGAAAAGCATCTACTTCACAATCTTATTCGATGACACGAAAACCTTTTATTCCCAGAAGTACGACTATGAGGACAACTACTACACCAACCACTACTACAACTATGAGAACTACAACAACTACTGTAGCTCCAACAACAACTACCACAATGCGTACGACGAAAAACACGCCTCCAAGCACGAAACCTTCAACGATTGAGACTACTACAGTAAAAGTAACAACCTGGAAACCGAAGATTGATCGGTATGATGTTGATTATGAAGAAGAAGCGATACTTCCGATAGAAAAGATACAAATTCCAGACCGCAGGACAGATCTAGTACATCATGAATCATCAAATCCTCTTATTACTGAGTATGATGATAGTTATGATGAATTTATAGTTGTAGAACCAGCTTCCGGCACTTCTACAATTCCAAGCACAATTATGACTTCTACAACTACTACACAAACTCCAAGAACTACTACTTCTACTACAACAACTACTACTACTACTCCAGCTCCTAAAACAACATCCACTCCTTCATCAAAAATCTCAGTGAGTTTAAATACAGATGTTATACGAAATTCAGATAATATCATAGAAAAAAATCCTGTAAATCAACAAGAAGAAATTAATGGTCACAGTAATGGTCATCTGAATCTTAATCCTCATATTAAAAATGATAATTACCTCATTGTGCCAAGCAATTCATTTTCTTTACCAAATTATTCAAACATGCCTGTTGAAAGTTCGAGCAATGTCATTGTGCCTCCCGATCAAGATACAATATCGTTTGTCTTAGGCAACAGACAAAATGTTCAAGGTTCTTATTACGCTCACGGAAGTGCTATTCCGGAATCACCTTACCCAGATGTCGGAGTTATGAGACCGATGGGTCCTCCAGAATCAATACAACCTGAAAATTTACCATTCGGACATCAACCACATATTGATTCAATGCATTCTCATTCAAATATTCCTCCTGAACCATTTAGCCTTCCTGAAGAGCATGGAATAAATTGGTGGTTTAACCCTGACACTCAAGAGAAACCACAAAATATTCCAGAAATAGTGAAAGATGAGAAGATTAATGTGGTCAGTGGTAATAGAATAGTATTTCCCACTGAACCGTCTACATCTGAGTATGTCCAAACTTTATTACCTCCATCGTCTACAGTCTCTCCTGCAATAGACACTTCTATGACGTTATCTGAAGTTTTGACGCCTCCAGCAAAAGATGGACCTAGACCATTAAAGCCTGGTCAGCGTCCTCCCCTTAATTACTATTCACCACATCATCATTATCATCCAGGAAGACCTTCGGAAGTGCCATCAAGGATTCAACGTCTACCAATGCCGCCAAGTGGTAACGGATATAAAATTCGTCCACCTCCAATAGATGTAAATCTTCCTAATATTTTACCTCAGTTCAGACCCAACGTTCAAACTTCTCAACGTCGAGGAAGTGAAGTGATTGGAACGAAGATTGTTCCTAGTCCTCCAAGATATCCACCTAGAGGACCAGCAAGACCACCCAGTGGTCCTTTACCTCCTGCTCATCACCGAGGACCTTTGAAACTTCCTCCGCCAATAGATCATCTCATGAGATTGAATCCACCACCTTTTTCACCAACGTCAACTCATTCTCTGAGATTACCTACTCCTGCCGCACTTGTTGCTTCGGAACCTCACGTTCAAGCTACCGATAATGCTCCAGTTCATAAAGAAATTATTCCATATCGGAGAAATGGTGTGAATCCAGACGGAAAACTTCAGTATGACATTGATGAACGTAATCGATTAGGTACGGTCAATAATCAATTAATAAAGTCAAGGTTAAATGATGAAGACTTGGAGAAGTTGTCAGCAGAGACTCCAGCTATGCCACCAAAAACTCCTTTATTTCCTAAACGAAAAAATGGAAATTCAAGCGTAGCAACTCTTCAAATGATTCAGCAACATGGTGTGCATCGAGAAGGTGAAATCGAAAATAAGAATGACTCGAATGAAAATGAAAATAAAGGAGATGTTAATCGAAGAGTTGATGAGCCACCAGTTTATGTAGTATATCCTGTAAAAGGATCATTAGATATTCATCCAGATACGACTAACAATGATAAAGAAAGGCCTCTTGATGAAAGTGTAGTAGTAGGAATACACGGACCACAGAGACCATTACCTCCGGATACTTTATCACAACAAGAAACTGCAGAAAACGAAGAAATGTCAACGCCTCCGCCAGTTCGGTTGGCTTCAGACTTTCCCTATCCCTTAGAAAAACCGGACGCTTCCTTATTTATCAATCAAGGCCAGGAAACTCCACTGTTAGTTCCAGATGAAAGTGATCAACAGATGGAAGAAGGATCGTTTCACGAGAAATTATATTTGAATCATCAACAAAACCATCAAGAAAAAGATGCAAGTGTTAATATTATTCCATATATTCAGGATCATTTGCCTTATGCCATGAAACCTAACATTATTTCTGCAACTCTTCAACTTTTCCCTGATTCATCATCTTCTTCTGGATCGGCTTCATCACCTTCATCATCAGTATCAGCAGTAACTCCGATTGCTTATGTTTACACTCCAACAATGCGAGCTCCTCTACATCGGCCAAATGAACAATACGAAAGAAATCCAGTTTTACTTCCTTCACAGCAGCCTTCAAGTTCTTCAAGTTCTGCACCGTCACCGCAAAGTTTTATGGCTCCTTTTATAGCCAGTATGAGTGCTGAGATGCCCTCAAAAAATGGCTGGAGTGTAGTAACAGGAGGTCCGTATATATCGAAACCAAATGCAGATGATAGAATCGACAAAATCGATGAACAAAACGATTCAGATGATAAAAAAACTGTTAATGAAAGCAACATAAATCCAGTAAGCACAGAAAAAAACGAAGAACATGATGATGTGGAATCAAGCCCAAGTGCATTTGATTCAGAGAACTTCAAACCTCAATTATTCGGAGGATTTAAACCTATTTTTGAATTTCCATCAGATTCTGAAGAAATGCCAAGTGATAAAGAGGTAGATGCTACAATGATTGAAAAACCGCGAGTTGGAAGACAACTATAACACTTTAGTTGACAACAGTTATCAACATAAAAATAATTAGAAAAATTATTTAAACTGTTCACAAAAAAAATTTATTTGTTTATAAAATATTTGTTCACTTTTTGACTGATAAACATCTACATGAAACTTAATTTGAAACAAAAATACTGTTAAGAAATAAGTGAATATATGATCTCTCCACTTTGGTTGATTTTAAATGAAAAATATTCGATAATTAAAGAAAAAATTTTAAATCGTTGAAAATAGTCATAACAATATTTTTTTTATTTAAACCGTTAACTCTTATTAATTCTGCCAATTTGATTATTTTTGTAAATAACAAAAATCCAGAACCAAGAAAGGTTAACTGAAAAGTTTCTTCTTTAATTATATACGATCTTATCATTTATATATTATAAATAACAGTTTATCATCAATAATAATATATGTATTCTGATTAATATATATACATATATATATTTAGTGGAATGTTTAATTTTGTACGTACGCAATAGTATCTATTTAGATTCACTAAATTAATAATTGAATTTAAAGATAGTATTTGCTTACGTACGAACTTTGGATAATCAAGTGATTATCATTACTGTATTAATTATAATTATTTTATATATTGTATATCTTTTCGCTTTATATATACTTCTAAATCATACATGTATATTGCGACTAGATATATAAATAAATTTATATTAAATTCGTTGATATTTGTCATCCCACGAAGTTTATATAGCAAAAGATTATCATAACTTCATGCCTATCATTGTATTATTATATTATTAATATTTATTTATTATATTAAGCTATCACATTCGACAGCATTTGAAGAAATAAATAGATAATGTAATCATATTGAAAAATATTAAAGTAAAAAATTGTAAATTGTTCATGACGATTGATTATTATTTACCTTATAAATGCAATCTCCCTGCTGCCTTATTAATTAATACTTTTGAGATTCTTAATTATTCAAAAACTAAACTCTTACGAAATATCTATTAGTCCAATAAAGTCTAATTGTTAGCTACCAAATAGCCGTAAATCAAGTTTTAAAATTACTTCACCGGAATTTACTTCTCGTAATTTTATTCTCTTCTGAATTGGTCCACAAGAATCCTTACAATCTCTCATTATGTCTGAGACTCTTACTTCTGCACGACCCAGAAAATCTGTCAATGTTTTATTATAATTATATTAATATTTAATTATATTTTAAATAATTATTTTCAAGAGTCTTTACATACATTAGATTAAAATAAATATAAATTATTAAATGAAATTTACCATCAGGAGTATAATATCCTTTATCAAAAACTGTAATACAAAGAGTATCTTCATGGAGGTCTTTAACTAAAAACTGCATAGAAGTATCCCAAAGAGGACAATTGGTACCAGAAACAACTCTGGTTCTCTCTTCCTGTGATCCCATGGATACATTACAAAATACATTGCATTTACCTAAAGATTATTAATTTAATTATTATTAATTGAATTAAATAAAATAGAAGAAATAATTTTCTATTACTATTCCAAATTATTATAAAGAATGCACTAACTACGTTAGTTGCAGCGTGCAACAGAGCTACAAAAATTAAAGTCTACTATGTAAAGATAAAAAATGAAAAGATGAAAATGCTATTCATTATTTTATAATAATAATAGTTCCTCAATCCCCAAGATTTTTTACCTCTTTTTGTCAAGATTAAATCTTCAGCTTCTACAACAACTAAATATAGTCGTCCTTCTGGAGGTTTCCTGCGAACTACAATCATGCCACACTCGGGTTAGTAAAGTAATGCAGTGCATTTTGAAGTGAAATAAATTTTAAATTAAAAAAATAATCATAAAGTATTGAACAAAAAAATTTAAATAATAAGATGTAAAGTGAGTAATGAAAAATTATGCATTTGTTAAAGGAACAAAAAAATAGTTAAAAATAATTGATAATTATCGTATCAGTGACATGAAAATAAAGCAAACCAAAGAGTATCAAGCAAAGCATTTAAAGCAAAGCAAATTCTTTTATATAATAATTTTTCAATAAAGCCATGCATCAGGCTTACCAACTGGCGCTTTGAGGCTGCTGCCCTGAAGAACTGTAACGAGGATGCGACCACAAGAGCTAAATTGCGCTTGTCCTGTTTTATGCACAATTGCAAACACATTATTACAAACATTAAGACAACGGTGATTTTTCTTATTTAGCGATATTTTTGAATGATTAAAAAAAATATTGATCAATGAATACATAAATTAGACTAAACCCGTTCATTATGAGACACTTACTTGATCGCTGACGTTGTAAATGATTCTTTTCATTTTTAACGAATTGTTTTTTTGCTTCTCGAATTTTTTTGACCCACAAAGAACGTTCACTTGCAGATGGAGTTAACAGAATAATTGGTCTTTTAGTGGAATCACGAAGACCTAACGTTCTCGATGCATCAGAAGTAATTGATATGACATTTCCATTGGGTTCAGAATCTCCAATCATGGATAATTCGTTTAAAAATATTGGCTATGGAGTTATAAATTGAATTAAAATAAAATAAAAATAAATAGAAAAGAAATTATTTTTATTACCTTTCTATATAATTTAAATCTATTATTTTCATTCCTTTCAAATGAAAATTGTTGACCGGCCGGCAAAGTTTTTACAGGTTGAGCAAATAATAGAAAATCGTTGGTAAGAAATGCAACTAGTTCTTTGCCACTTTTTGCCTGAAGTAGAATTATATTTATAAATTATAATATAAAGATAAAAGTTAACGGTAAGAATAAAAATATTGTTCTAACCTTATGAAGAATACCGTAGTGAAGTAATTTTCTAGGACCGGCGGAGTTTGTTAATGAATTAAATACGAGCTTTTCTTCAAGAATATTTTCATTGCATGCTACATGAGTTTGCAACCACTCTAATCTATCACTATTCTCCTTCTCTCTGACACCTTCATTTACTTGAGTACAAAACTCTTCTGCTTTTGCTAAAGCTTCCTGAAGATATAATCGATCTGGATGGTCAGTTGGAGTGTGTTCAAAAATCTTTCCGATAAGAAGTGGATATTTAGTTATTCGTTGCATGGGTTTAATAAGGAACGAACTCAGTGGCATTCCTTTGGTCCTAGGATCTTGTTGACATGCTTGTGCTACTGCTACAAATTCTGGACAATTTTCGGTTAAACTTTGAAGATAGACTGCAGCTGATATTTGACAGCTACAAAATCGCACATAGGCTGACATTCTAGGAATCTATAACATTAATATTTTGTATCAATTACATTATTTAAGATTTATAAGATCAAATAATTTTGTTAAGCTTACATTTTCACATAAAATATCTCCAATCATTCGTACTACACCATCTTCACTATTATCTCTTCTTATTCTCAAGGTCCTGTAAATAACAAATAAATTGTAAATAATACACAGAATATTTTATTGTATATTCTTAAATTGATTACCTTAAAAAATTGTCATTGCACGCTATTATATCTCTCCAATTGACGAATATTCTCTCGACTTCATCTACTGTTAACACCAAGCTTTGAAGTAATGGTTTTTCAAACACCTAGAATAGAATAAAGTACGAAAATTTTAGTTTATTTTTTTTATAAGGAATGTAAATGAAAAGATTTAATTTTAAAGATCTTACTTCATGCACAAGTATCATATCATTGATATATGCTTCTTCTGTCGAAATAAGCTCCTTGATATATTCCTGCCGCTTCCTCTCCATAGGATCCAGCATAGAAATAGCATAGTTGTCAATCCTTGACATATCAGCTGCACACAAAATGAAACATCTTTACCAATTCTTCATGTTCAAGATATTATCCTCACTTACCAATATAGAATCGGGTCACTCGCACAATTCACCGAGGAAGAGCACTTGAAAATCTATTTTTTTTTTATTCAAACTTCATCTTGATTTTGATAATTTTGTATTTATATTTTAATAAAATGTTTACAAAATAAAACATTTAATTAATTTATAAATATTTTTCTTATTAAAAATTTTATTTAATCAATTTTGATGGGTAAAATACTTTTTTGTATAAGGACACAAACTATTAAACGTAAAAATATAATTTGAAATAATTTTTTATAGAAAAAACAATAAAAAATACGAAATTGACAAAGACAAGATTAATTTTGCAACAGATAGATACTTTATTCGAATTCGTCATGTGCGAGATTGTAATTTTTTTTTTTTTATCAATGCAGGTGATATATGATATGATCTATATGCATGTGTATCTGCACCAAGGTGGTACACTGATATTGTATACAAGTGGGAGAAATGTGAACAAATTATTACGAGACAATTGTTTGATATAATTATGACCAATAATTATATTCAATAATTTTAGATTGTTATGTTTGTATATAATTATCCCATACAGTAGTATACTTTTTGTTCACATTTTAACAATTACGATCATTTTTCAATATTCAATATCCAATATGTTTTACATATGACGCAGTAACCATTTGCCATGCGGCGATATTTATTGAATTCCAACGATAATACAAGACAAACAAACAATACGTATAGCTTCTTCAATAATAACATTATTACTTTAGGAAAGAAGAACAAAGGTAACGCGGTTCACGTATATATAATATATTTATATATATATATATATGCTTTTTTAAATTTAATTTTTTGTATTATTTCTTCTTTTATTATCTACGAGCATCAATTTGATAGGCATATTGACAAGTCTCATTAGTGTATATAATTATATATCCCGACAAACGGCATATTTTTTACTAATTTTTTCTAACGCGCTTATGTTTATTCTTGTATAACATATCTTCCTGATAGTATAATACTTATTTAGATAAAGCGAACAATGATTTTTTCCACTCTTTCGGATATAAATCTGACATAATTTGAATAAATAACAACATAAAGACGCGAAAATATCGCGTAATAATTATAAAAACAAAAAAAAAAAATATATATATGCGCAAAAATATATCAATAAACATGATCGATATATTTCATTTATAGATTTAATCTTTCATATGCGCACATAGATGACATAATAAATAAAATGTTTTTAACATCATTCATAACTATTATTCAACGATTCAGAGATTTATCTAATACTTATCATAGAATAATTTCTATCAATTACTTAGGCCTGACGAACTAAGAAAACAAACAAGGAAGTATTCAAAAAGAAGATATGAATAAATATAAAATAATAATTGGAAGAATCAAACTTGAAATTATTGTCAGGCCAATAAAATAAAACAAAAAAAAAATTTTAAAAATCTGCATAAACGTCATTCTGAGAGATTCTTAAAAAGAATTAAAAAAAAATGATTATAGAAGATATCATAAAAAGCTAATTTCAAAATGAGTTAAAGAGATTCTAATGAATGAAATGAATTTGACTTATGGCAATTTTCATCGATTCCTTATTGTTTTTTTTTTCCACACGTATTAAATAAAATACGTCTTATTGGCCGATGAATTTTTGTCGTTGTAGTAATAATCCCCTTTAACCGAAGGAGTTGACTTCTAGATTTTTTTGTTTTATTGTACTATTGTAGTACAATTTTTGTAACTCGTGTAGATTCTCCGCTGCTATCCTTAGGCTGCGTGTTAAGCAGATGCGAAAGACATCAATTAGTGAATGTCCAAATGGACAAAACAATACGAAAACAATCATAAATAACAAAAGAGCAAATACAAAAAAATACTATAAATATAATTGGAATATTTGTTTAAAAAAATATTCACACTGTATTTCAGCTGAATCACAAAGCGAAAAAATTTCATCGAGCCCGAAAGAATGGACGGACAAGCAGACAAAAGTACACAAATCAAACAAATAATATTGTAATCAAAAGAACAATAACAATAATTATAATCATACAAGTATAAATAACTACGATAAAGAAGCAAGTGGATAAGCATTAACTCTTCCTCGGTTGTTTTCTCAGTTTACTATTTAAATAGTTAATTTTTTTATAGATTGTTAATCTACATCACGTCTTAAAGACGCTCGTCCGTCCACCTATTACCCATGAGATTCTTTTCATCTGCTTGGATGCTTAAATTCCTGAACTTTACTCACACATAGGTGTTACGTAGTTGCTAGGAAATATGCCCACAACGCCGTTAAGTTCACCTTTCCACCATGATTCTTCTTGCTTTGAAATGACTGTTATCACAGCTCCTTTCTCGAAACTCAGTTCGTCATCGTTTTGAGCTTGATGTGGGTACAATGCCATTACTCGTTCTAGTAAAAGAAAAAAAGAACTTTCAATTTGAAATATCTCTATTTTTGTTACAACTAAAAGTTTTGATTCTTGACTTCAAACAAAAACATTAAATCCACTCTCTTTGACAGCTCCACTCCAATTTTTCTACGGTAAAAAGCAAGTACTTACCAGCATTGGGGTCCGTTGGAGAGTCTTGATAACCATGAGAGATAGGGGTGCTTCTATTACTGCTACTTGTAAGAGGTTTCACATAGGACGCAGGGAACCATCCTATTTGTCGCTTTTTGCCTCGAGCCTACAATAATTTAAATGAATTAAAAATCATTTCAAGATTTAAATTAATAAATTATGAAGAATTTTATAATAAAAAAACAAACCTGCAATTCGCCTTCCCACCAGCCAGAATCAGTTTTCTTACGAATCATAATTAGTTGTCCTCTCTGCAAATCAAGTTGCTCTCCACTTGTTGCTTGATAAGGAGCAATTACTTGTACAATCTCGGGTTTCCTTCCACGACTCTGAATAAGACGTGATATATTAGATTAAGTATATAAAAATGAATATAAAATCAAGTAAATCAAATAATCTAAAGTTCTTCAATCTCATCTATCGTGCATAGAAATGGGATTTAATTATAGTATTGATCGTTTGATATAAATCCATGTTGTTGATTAAGTTTCTTTTGTGAATACAAAGTATGCTGTAAAATGTGACTAATAATACAACTATAAGAGTGAGATCACGACAGCAAGCACTTTAGAAAAGCGAGAGTGTTCATACGGAAGCCAGTAAAATTGATTGAGTCGTCCAATAAAGATACCTTGTAGTACTGCATCAGCAAACAATTGGTTTATGAAGAATGTCGATGACAAGAGTCCAATAACAGCAGCATCCAAAAGAATGAATTGGAATATCCAGCACATTCAATTAGTGCTTCGACGTAAGATCAATACTCGCGTAAATGTTTTATTATTAATTAATTCATCGCCACGATTGTATATTAATTTCATGCATTCTAACTAATTTACTACCGTGACAATAATTTCTGTCTTTCAATTATACTCGATACCATAAAAAGTTATTTATATCTGTATTATTTTTTTAATCTTGGAATTGTTTCATTTATCAAAGTACGATAAATAGAACATTTAAATATCACAGTTACATTAATAAGCCAAATAATTTGCGATTTCATTACCTGTTGAGATGCCATTTGTGTAAAATCTGGTAACTCAGCTCGATCTTCAGCGGCAGCTCTTTCATCCTCTAACTGTTCTGCAGTTTTTTCAGTTTGCTGAACAAATAAATCTAAGCTTAATCTACATCTAGCTTAGGATCAGGTGTTTGACTTTTAAATAGTTATTAAAATTAGAATTGGTAGTTGCCTAGTTTAGTTACACAGCAAATTTAATACTTTCATTACTGTATCAGTATGTTATTATTTAAACCAATTAATAAGATTTAATCAAATATTCAATCGGAAGAGTTATTTAGATGTTAATGTAAATTATTACTTACAGGAGTGTCTTGAGTGACTTCAGTTATTGCTGCTGATTCAATTGACTCTACAGTCGTTGCAGCAACCTAGAATATTTTTAAAAACATAAATAAAAATGATTTATTTAAATAAAATATCAACTTCACTTGAAAACTCACTTGATTAATATTTGGTTCACATTTTTCAACATAATTCGAAGGGAAATATCCACTTCGATCTCCAATAGTTCCAGTCCACCAGTCACCACCTTTTTTAGTTACAGTAATAATTTCTCCTTCATTAAAGCTAAGATCATCTGGTTCCACGGACGAATACTGATAAAGAGCCACATAATATTCTTTGGTTGACTCAGAAGCTTCTGTTACATTTGCGGTTGTTGTATTAGTACTGGTTACGGGCTCTACAGGTACTGTAGCTTCACCACCTAGAGATCCAGCATCCGAGATATTTTCCGGTACTTCCGCTATTTCCTCTAACGGTCTCTTTTCTACGCTATCCTGAGTGATAAATGTCTTTCCATCATCAGTTCCTGTATCCACAGGTTCAACATACGACTCCGGAAACCAGCCAGTATGTCCTCGAATCTCTCCAGCCATCCATCCAGGCTCTTGATTCTGTACCGGAGGCACTAAAATAATGTCACCTGGTTGGAATGATATTTCTTCATCATTTCTAGCAACAAACTCATATAAAGCTCGATATTTTTTAACGCCCAAAGGCTGCTCATTGATATTTGTTGCTGGAGCATTATCGACAGGCCAATCATCTTCATTAATATTTGTTTGATCAGTTGAACCCCATGCATCTTCAGCCCATGCTGCATTTGTATAATCAACTCCACCAGTAGTCTCAACTTTCGATCTTAACTCTAGAATTTTCATTTTTTTATTATCAAAAATACTATAAATATTTTTGCAATCAGTCATTAAATTTTTCATTCGAGATCTAATTTCTTCTAGCTGTCCATTATTATTTTCAATATCTGTCATTTTTTCAGTAATCTGTTGTTGAAGGTCAGCAATTTTATCCCTCATTTGTTTTAAAGTTATTTGTTTATTAGCAAATGCCATTTTTATAGCTTCTTGTCCAGCAGCGTCCTGAGCTGCATTCAATTTATTTTTAGCATCAATCTTAGCCTTCTCCTGACTCAAAGCCAATAATCGTTGATTTTGTTCACGCAATTTATTTTTTAAAGCAGCCATTTCTTGAAGTTGAGCATCTCTCGTAGATCTCATACCATCAATCGTAGTCTTCACGCCGGACACGCCAACTCTAGTATCACAAATCTTCTGTGAAAGCTCCTTTACTCTGTCGTTAAGTGATCCAAGCTCAATACTTAACGTCTGATTTTTTGCTTTAAGTTTAAGTAAAATATCCTGTTCTTTTTGACGTTGAGCTTGAAGTTCTTGAGACTTTTGATTTTCCCATTCAAGTTGTCGTTGTCTTTCCATTTCTTTTCTTGCAGCTTCCCTTTGCTCTTGTGCTCTTTTACGCTGCTCCTCTTTTTCCTGTTCAATTTCTCGTTGTCTTATCAACTGTTTTTCAATTTCAGCCTGTCGACGTCGTTCCTGTTCAAGTCTTATCTTTTCTTGCTTCTCAGCTTCTTCTCGTTCCTTACGTTCGCGTTCTTCTTGCTCTTTTCTCTGAACTTCTAAAAGTGCTTTACGCCTTCGCTCTAATTCAGCTTGCCCTTTTTCATAATTTTCTTTTCTCTTATCTTCAAAGGAAGACTGGGGCATGCCGGCAGATGGGTCCGCCGTTTCAGGTAGACCCTGGGAAGACACACTACTTTGACGCTGCCTTCGGAAAGTTGGCGGAATCAGATCTGGTGGCAAAGGTGTGGGAATCTTCTCTCCAGCTTTCGCCATGTCACAAAGATGCATTGCAAGAACGAACTCTTCACACCCAAGCTTTCCATCTGAGTCCATATCAGCTAGAGCCCATATTTGAGCAAGAATTGGCTGAGGCAACTGTGATTGAACCATTATATTCCTTGCCTGTGGCCCTGACAAAAATCCAGACCTTGTTCTGTCCCAAGTGTTAAACAATTGCGTATATTTTAATTTCGTTGGATGAGGAACTGCCCAATCAACTGCCTGTGGAGAGCCAACAGAATGTTGGCTATGTTGAGAGTGTTGCGAATGCTGAGAATGTTGAGAATCAATAGACCCAACACGATCAATGCTAGGCGGTCTTGCAGTTGTACTTAAGGGTGTATTTGTCGATACTGGAGTGTGAATTGTTGCTCCGTTTGCTACGTTTACTTGCGCTAATGGCTGCACAGTAGGAATACTTCCATTAACTGGTACTTGAGGAATTGTTGGAACTACTGGCGGCATTTGTTGCATTATTCCAACTGGTGGAATAGGCTGAATTAATGGTGCACCAGGTTGAGCCATTCCAAAAGCTGCTATAGGCGCTGGATTAGTATTAAGTGGTGCTATTGGTGCTACTCGAGCTACACCCATTGTTGACGCGACTGGTAAAGGCTGAACCATTGGAGTTGTAGTTATTGTTCCGGATGGACTATTTGGAAATGATGGCGGCGCCGGCTTTGCTGGAGGGACAACACCAACTGGAGACACAAATCCTGTACCTAGAAAAACAAAAAATAATTAATTCTTAATGTTTTTTGTGAATCTTTTAACATATTAAAAAAGCTAGAAAAAATAATGAAACATCCAATTAAAATATTTAAAATCAATTAAAAAATTGCAGTACAATAAATTATGAATAAAAATTTTTTGATAGATTGAAAATCAATGACACAAATTAATGGCCGTAGTAACAGCATGCTCAGTATTAAGACTGATGACATACCGATACTACCAGGTGGTGCAGGTCTTTGTGGTGGTCCTCCAACGTTGGCAGTGCTCGTGACAGTACTTACATTTCCTTTGTGTAGCACAAAAGAATATGCCATTTTATTTCACACAGTGCAAAATATTATTTATAAACACAATAAAATGTAGTACCAAAAAATTTTACAATGAAAGAAATGAAGAGATAACAAATAGTTAAAAGTATTTGTTAAAAATATATTTCTTTCAAAGTATCACACAATAATTATTTCAGATTAGTTTACTTCATTTTGTTAAGTAAAATGTGAGAAAAATTGATTAGTATAGCGTTGAAGCCATAAAAAATGGGTGCGAAAGCAAATAATGTATCCAAAACAAAATTTAACGAGAGTATAGATTAATCACATACCCATAAAGGGTGGTGCAGGTCGAGCAGGTGGTTTTGACCGTGTATTAGTTTTTCCAAGCATACCACTAGTACCCATATTCTCCCTACTTTGTTGTGAGGCTGTTTTGTGTCATGCGAATATAAATTAGCATATTGAGGAAATCTAGTTTCATCACAGGTGCAGAACTATTATAGAATCTTATCTAAGTTTCTAGATTCATAATTATTAGCATGATATATTCTTGCAGTGATTCTAAAGATATTAATTATCAGTCAACTATGTTTCTTACTATATTCTCTTACCAGGAGGTATTTGAATTGGTGGTGGTATAGGGCTCACTAATGGAACTGTCTGCCCTGCAAGAGGCACTGGTGATGCTGGAACCCCTGGAATAAGTGGCTGTGCAACAAGAGGCTGAGCAGCAAGTGGCTGTGCTGCGAGGGGTTGTGGTGGAATACCAGTACCAAGATTTACTAAAGGATCTACTACTGCTGCTTGCACTGGCGGTTGAATTGGAACTCCACCATTTGCGACATTTGGTATACCAGCTACATTGGGAGCTACTACTCCTCCAACACCTTTAAATAAAATATTTTAAAATGATTTTTGATTTTCTTTCTAATAACAACTTTATGTCTTTAAATATCCAGAATAAAAGTAATTATAAATAAATTTACCTGGCAGAGGAACTTTTAAACTTTGAACAAGCTGTGGTGGCAAACTTTTTGGTACTTCTAACCCTTTTAATTTCAAGTGAATCAATTTACATGCGATACTAAATTCATTGACATCCATTTTTCCATCTCCATCTGTATCTGATAATGCCCTGTAAGAAATAAAATTTTTAAATCGATATTGAAATCATAATATCCAAGACGGTTTACTATTGATCGTTAACCTTGATACTTTTAGCTAATAATAAAATATTTAAATTAATAGTTTTCCGAGATAAAATGAATAATAATCTGTGTTATATTACACTTGAGTAAATGAGACTATTCAAATAAAAATACAATAATAGATTCAAATTATGTGTCACATTAATAATACATTCGTTTTTTTTTTTATTTTTCACTCTCAACTAAATTTAAACTTATTTACAACGGTATTGAATTACCACAAGATTGATTCTGATGATTACTCAAATTACTGTTTATATTAAACACATTGAATGTAATCATACCATATTTGTCCAAGTATAGCGGGCGGTAATTGAGATCTTAAAAGAAACCCTTTAGCTTGCTCTCCAGTAACCACTCCTCCATTCGGCTTAAGAGACTCAAATTGTTCTTTATAATGTAATCTCTCACGGGGTTGAATCACCCAAGGGTCCAGACCTAAAAATAAATAATAACACTTTAAGTAAACTTCCTCATTAATTTTGGATCTAATAATCAGAGAATAGTTTAAAAAATTATTCTATTGAAATAATTTAATACTTATGAATAATGTGAAAATTAAATTACCAGGAGTTTGAGACATGGCCATTGTGACAGTTATTGAATTTTTCTGTTAGAAGTACCTGAAAAATTGATCATAACAGATTAACACACATGAGAATTTAAAAATTGATATCAGAGTGAGAGAAAAGATATCTGACGTTATACTATCTCGACCCTAACCTCTTCATCTTCTAAAGAAATGTCAATAATTGGAATCATAATGAAGATTCAGTCAAAAATGCAACAAATTTGGGTCAATAACTCAAGATATCGATGAAAAACAAGGGGCGTTATCGAAAATAGGGGTCAGAGTATCAAAAGACTGTGAAAAAGGTTATAGATTTAAATAAGTATAAAAAATGTGTATGAATATTTCGTGAGTAGAAAAGATGTCTAGAAGCCTAAAAATTGATTGAAAAATAAAGTGGCACGTACATACGTCTAGGAAAATACATTTAATATACAATCAACGCAGGTCAACGTGATTTTTATCAATAACTACTGTTTCACGCCCAATAAAAATGAATCAGCAGCATCATTCCATTGAGAGACTATCGTCTCACGTCAATGTAGTCTTGAAGTAGAACTTGCACTCCACTCAAGAACCTGTCTAATCTCTAAGATCTGAAGTTTTTCTTTCGTATCCTGCCAACAGCCGTCGATTTTATAGCAGGGACGGAATAGAAACCACAGACCTGTTCAATAGACACGAGTCTGTTCCTTCTTTGAGATCGGCGACTGTCACAAGCAACTTTTTAAACTTAATTTAAATTAATTTGTCAATTGCTTAGTGATTCTTATAGCTGTCCAATTGAATCCAAATGAATTTGACGACCACTGTCTTCGTACCACACAATTCACTGAACCCCACACTCCATATACACCCACGATTTGAGCCTCAACTTCGGCTAACGGTCGACTATTTTCGGGCGTCTTCGACGAGAATCGATAAGCGTCGCTAGTCGACCAACCACCGGTCGACTTGTCTGATTTTGAGTACCCGGTACTCTACAAGCAGTCGTATTGCTATTGTTTCTGTTTGTGGTTAAAACAAAGTTCATTTTTGAATCTTTTTTATTTACGGACGCACTCTTTTTAATATTTTTAATATTGATATATTTTTTTACTAAAGTAACCATTAAACTGCCTATGTAACACCAAAAAAATGTGATATGATCAGCGTATTTTAACATTAATAACCTAAAGACAAATATAAAGAGTGCCGAAACTTTAGGTATGTATGCAAATATATTCATTTCATGCTAAATAATTTATTCAACGATAACAAAAAAAATATTTAATACTAAAAAACAATAGGTTATAGTGAAATAATTGCTAAAAATTCTACATTATGTCATCAATCATCTATAAATACATTGAATAATGGAAAAATTGAACTTCAACAGCACTTTATTGTCAATATCTGATGAAATCTCATTTATTTGTAAACATTGAAAAGCATCCAAGCAGAGTATTGGATTGAAAGCAACCACGTGTACATGCTTAAGGTCGGGTTTAAATGTCGGCCTCATTCATCAAACTGTCTGTTTTATTTCTGAATTTGGATAATTGCCGCCTCCTTTATATCATTTAGCTTCATCATCAAATACACAAAGATTAAGCATTACACAAATAACACAAATAGTATATTTAATCAGGGAAAACAAGATTTAAATATAATTGTGCCCTTGATGATAATCAAAATACTCACCTGATCATGGTGTAATGATCACAGTGGGTCCTAAGTCAAGAATATTGCGCGTGCGTGCATCTAAATGGTAAATTGTCCTTAACACACCTTGTATGGAAATTATACTAACATTACAACATGTAATTGCTGACTTCATGACATAATATTGAAGTTATTTGATCCAGGTCGCTTGGCAAAACGGTTCTGTCGGAAAATGATCAATTGTCTTGCTCCATTGTTTTAGAATTGGAGAAGAGGTACAATGTTGTCCAGTTATTGATTTTAATTTTCAATTAATATGACTAAACAATAGTCTAATATAAATACATATCAATAATAATCATAATGAGCTTCAAAAAAAGGTATATTAAATATTGATAATATTAAAATGTTATTGATCCTTTATGTTAGTATAGACGATTATAAATTATCCAGTTACGAAAGAAGTTTTGCCAATTAATTCCTATTCTCTTATTGAAACCATCTATTTAAATATTAACCAAGTTTATAAACCGTTTAGACATTTATGTTACAAGGCAATAATTTGTTTAATTTATTATGTAGTTATTTTCTTGTATCTGTTCAGACTTTCAATTGATACTATGTAGAAAAAATATGCAACTTGATTAATTTTTTATAATTTCATTCAAACAGGTCATTACCACATGAGATCTTATTATGTAAATGCATCACAAGTAAGAATTATTTATAGAAAAATCGAATAAACCAATGGTAGAAATATGTTCACATGACATTTTTTCGAATTATATTAAATAGTTTTATTGCTGTGATAAACAATAAATGTCACATTTTATCAACTTTATTATTATGCAAGTCTTGGAGTCATGTTTTTATAATTAAATAAATAACTTTGAATTTATTTTTGTCAATTAAATATGATTGTAGAATGTTTGTATATGCTAAAATAGTAAAAATTGTCTATGATATAATGACGTTATCAAAGTTTATATGTATGAATGAGTTATAAAATGATAAGTTAGTCTATCTTTTTTTTATTAAGATTATCATGTAAATCTAAATCATAAAAAAAACAGCAAAATTCAATACAATCTTTTAAATTCAGTCAACTCTATGTAATTAGGTCTTTTAATTGCTATATTTTTCAAGATTAAAACAGTCTAGTGTATATTTCCATCTATAAAGTTATGTATGCAATTTTTTATCATAATTTTTTTTCCTTGGAAATAGTAACTACTTTATCAGGAATCTCTTTTATTTGCTTATGATTTACTAGTGTAACTGTGTAATTACTATTATTTACTATGTCTCTGTAGTTTTGAGTGATTACAGATGGGCCAATTATATAATTGAAAAAAAGTAATAACCAATAATTTGGAAAATGGTCTGATAATAGTTTTCTGTATTGAATATAAAAAAATATTTCTGTTAATGATTGAATAAGTACTTTGAAGAATCCAGGAAGCATTTGGATTTTTAATCTCTCAGCATAAAAAGTCGAATGAATGGTCAATTGCTATTAATAGAAAAGTAGTTAGAATATGAATTATTTAATGAATAAATTCGCATTTAATGATCTTTAGTTACTTAGTTTGCCACTGTTCAGAAAGAAATGTGTAATTCATTTTTCACAATAATTAAGTCAATTTAGAAACCTAAAAATAATTAAAATAGGAACAAAGATCATTTTCATACATTCCTGAAATCGAGTAAAATGCTTGTTGGAAGTGCGTCTTAGAAATGTTATTTATACAAATCATCTTATTGTTCTCTAATGTAAAGATTACCATTATTATGCTAATTGACAATCTATATCATTAGCTAACTCTGAATATTACTTAGTCTCTAATTTAAATCAACGAAAATTAGCATAGCATTAAATTGAAATAACTTTGCAAAAAATTGATCATCCAATCGTTGATTAATGTTTATTTTAATCACAATCACGTGGCTGACCTAGGAATTTAGCATAAGAGTAATGACTATAAAGGCATAGACTATCATTTTTTGAAATATCCGGTAAAATTCAAAGTAGTGATAGTAAGAATGTGATTGATATAGAAATATAAAACGGATGTATATAGAAAGTGTGAACTACTAACATTATCAAACTGCGCATGTATCATATGGGGATAAAGTTTTAGTCGTTTCATGCCTCTTGCATAGCCCGGGTAGGTCGTTTCAGGTCGTCTGGTGCTTTCATTATAGTTGGTACAATTTCGCGTTTACACACCAACTGAACCATCACTTCAGGGTCGTAAATCATTTAGAGATAGTTTTTTTTCTTCTTCTCTAGTTGATCGTCTGTGAAAATTTTTTTAAGTAGGTGAGTAGTGGTTAAAAATTCAATCGATGTATTATCGTTTAGAAAAATATCAGCTGTATTGAATTTATAACAAGACTTTGGAATGCCGTTCAGTGGATCCAGATTCTCACGCGTGTTGATCAGTAAAGCATCAATGCCATATATATCACGACGATACATGTGGTCTTCCTTTTAAATTCCATTTAAATTCTCAACTCGTTCATTGACCATTGGCGCATTGCCTTTAAAAGATTAAAAGTAAATTTGGCTTTTTTATTGCCCCTAATCGTCGTTATCTACATTAAAATGAGACAAATGTTGGAAAGGCGCGTGTCTCAGTTATATTCAGCTTTGAAGCACATGTTTTTCTCGTGTCGTTAATATATTTGGAGTCATTTTTCAGCTGATTTAATAATGTGAAACATCAAAGTGATTCTATAAATTAGAAATGTTTAAAAAGAATTATTTCCCAGTCAGTATTTTATCAGGCTTTAAAATTATTGGAGTAATGAAATTTCGCAAAAATGCAAATAAAAATTTTGTACAAGTATGTGCAAGATATAAATAGAAACTTTAGGTTATTTAAAACACAATTAGTATGTAAATATTTTATTGATTTAATAACATAAAAGAGAAATATTTGAATGCCTCATCAGCACATGTAGACTTGACGCCAAAGGCATCAGAATTTCATTGCCTCTTAATAATCAAGCACGATCTTGTTCACATTAGCTGGGACGACGAAACGGCCTGCCGGCGCCTTGGGTAACGACACAACGATAATAATTGCCAACTGATGCAGTACTTAGTACAAAAACTTGTCTGCCTTATTTTCGTTTTATTGTAGTCAACGATAATTTGTAGTTTATCTTCAGCTACTGTATTTAATGAAGGTCAGGGGAGTGTTTCCACCAAGGCTACGGTCCTATAGTGCGATGATCGTATGATATTCGACCAATGGGGATGCTTCAAAGAATTACCCTTTCCCCACCGATTTTTATGAATGTTCAAGTTAAATTTAATACACTTGTGTTGATTTAAAAAATAGTTTTCAAAGTTGGAAATGACGGTGTCGAAATGTGAATCATCGTGCCATTCATGGATGCAATAGTAGAGTAGAAAATAGATTTAATTTATTCAGATGTACAGCGACCGAGTCTCGGTGAAGCTGATGTTGAAGCAAGAGTGGCTTTTTGGTCCTCGAGACTGAGGTACTTCTTCGTATGGATTTTTTTTGGGTTGGAGAGAAACCAGTTGAGAATTTTTCTCGCTGTGGGAACTACCAAGTAATCCTCACCCTTCTCGTCTCTCCATCTGTACCCTTTTCTTATGCACTAGCAGTTCACAAATAGCCTTCGTTATATGGACTCATGTGGCTGGTCATCTAAAAGGGGATAAACTCGGTGGAATTTTTATAGAAAAAAAAATTTCTTTAACTGTCTGACGTTTAAGGCAGCTATAGAATGAAAAAGCCGATTTTTTAACATCAGCTAAAAAATGAAAACATTCAAAATAAAACAGAAGTTAGATGGTGGAAATAAAAAAGAGAGTGCAGAGAGAGAGAGTAGGCTTTTAATAATTCTTTGCCACGCAGCTCAACGTTGCTGCTGCTACTATGCACATTAATAATTTGCCCAACCTCCTAAGATCCTCCTCCTCCTTCTCCTCCTCTTCTTCGACTTCTTGGTCGTCGTCCTCCGCGTCCTCTTCACCTGTCGAGACACACGGGCCATCAGTAAGTAGAAATGGAGGGAATGCAAAGAGATAGACAATAAAAGAAGACAGAATAGAACTAACCAGACGAGTAAAGTCGTTGCTACACCCCAACACTCTCACTCTTACTTCCTCGCCCTCATATCGAGTCTTCCAAGCCGGTCGTGATGGTCCCAATCCGAGAATTGTTCGTTAGTTGGGTCTCAAACTTCGTGTGAGAATCACGACCTAGTAAATTGGATAATTTGTTAGTATAATCTTCTATCTGAGTGGAATTAATTTTTATAAGGTGATTAAATATCTTCCATATTTATCAAAATTATTATTTTATCATTTTATTTTCATTTATTTTATTCAATATTTATGTATAAATCTTATTACTTTATCAAACATTAAGATAAATTGATTTCAATTTTAAAATCAATGAAGTATCAATCAAACCAATTTATTTCAATTCCCCAGATGTACTTATTAAATTTCAAAATCGTTTGTGTTGAATGCATTCATTTCATGTTTTTTATTATCATCTGGAATATTGCAACATTCAAAGTGATAAATATTTTCATATTTCATCTAATAATAGAGAAATTAATTACATTAATTATTTTATGTTTATTATAAAATATTTTTTATTTAAATGAGAAAATTAATTTTATATTTTTTCTTTTGATTTCAGATATACTAGTGAAATCGGCTGGAGATAAAAGTGTGACTTGCATCTTTTCAGTAACTTTTAAAGATTCGATGCCAAAGGGTGATTTTTAATATAAAAAACACATATTTTTGACAGTTTAAAAACGTAACAAATAATAAAAATGGCTTATGACGACGTGATATTGCGAATGGGAGAATTTGGAAGGTATCAAAGAAGGATTTATTTACTTCTATGTCTTCCTGCTATTATTTGTGCTTTCCATAAAATGGGTGGAGTATTTTTGGGTGCTAAGATGAATTCCAGGTAAGAAACAATTGTTCACATTCCCACCTTTATACTTTCTATGAAGGGATTGCTAAATTTCCCTAATGGATTCGTTGAAATACCGATAAATAGTAATTGTCAAGAAGTCATTTGTAGGGATGAATCACTGATGATGAAACAAAACTATTGTACTTAAGAAAGTTCAAAGGCCTTTCAAAAATTCTTGAATTGTTCTTTGCTAAAATTCATAGAAAAAGAAAAGAATTTTGAAATTCCACTTTCTCGAAATAGTCATTAAGGAATTTATCAAAAATAAATTCCTTCATAGATATAATGATATCGATCTAAATTATATTCTATTTAAAATTGATGTTTGGACTGAAATGAAAATAATTTTACAGGTGTATATTGCCTTGGGAGGATAGTAAGAATGCAACATTTTATTTGGATCCAAAGATAATGAATGCGAGTTATCCCTACGATGAAAAGATTGGTGGGCTGTCACAATGTAAAAGAAGAGCGAATCTGTCAGAAATATATGTCTCCACAAATGATGAAGGTAGAGAAGATGTCCAAAGCAGCGATAACACAACAAGGATCTCAACCGACGAGTTTATAACCTGTGAAGAATTCGTCTACGACACTAGCGTTTACAAAAGTACAACTACCTCTCAGGTATGTATAAATTATGATAGGATAATTATCCATCAGTTATTCAAGGCATAATAATATAGTTGGTATGCTAGAATACAAAACCAAAAATACATGTTTATCTCGAGAAAAAAAAAATGAATAGACTTCGAGTGAAAGCTATTGATAGGAAAAATGGATAAAAATATGTTTATTAGTCAAGTGATAAGTGGTTTCACTATTTAGCGATTGACCGATAACTAATCATTTGATTTCAGTGGAATTTAGTATGCGATAGAGCACAGCTAAGAGCCGTAGGAGATTCACTTTTCATGGTTGGCGTGATGCTGGGATCAATCATCTTTGGAAGCTTATCAGATAAATTCGGACGTAGACCAATTTTCTTTTGGTCTTTAATTATTCAATTAGCAGGAGGAATTCTTGTTAGTATTGCACCTGAATACATTTCCTATGTTATCTTCAGGTTAATTGTAGGTTCAACTACCAGTGGAGTGTTTTTGGTTGCATATGTTATCGGTAAACTATTATTACAATTCATATTTTTATTAGTAAAAGAAAAATCATTTAATAATTTCTCTTTTTAGCACATAAATTAATGAAGAACTGTCCGTGCAAAAATGAATATTTTCTCGTATTTTATAATATTGAAAAGATATTCAAAAATTTTTATGCACAACAAAAATGAAGCTAAAAATAGTAAGCGTTTTATCTTGGTAGAATAAATTAGTATTCATTAGAATGGAGCTTTGTGTATAAGTATAAAAATTAAAGAAAATATGAAATTATACTTAAAGAAAATTTAGCCTCTTTAGATCTAATAAGTCAAATTATTCGATGGTTTTCTCTTTTAAGATATTCAGGGATTTTTGATTTGATAATAAATTAAAATAAATTATTTTTAACTTTTTTAGCTCTTGAAATGGTTGGTCCAAAGAAAAGATCAAATGCAGGTGTAGGCTGTCAACTATTCTTCACAACTGGTTATATACTAACCGCTGCATTTGCTTATTTTATTACTGACTGGCGATACTTGCAAATTGCTATCACCATACCGAGTTTTGTCTTTCTTTTTTACTGGAAGTAGGTGTGAATTTCTTTATTTAATGAATCGTTAGTGTAATGCTGCATTTTTATTTTATCATTATTATTGAAATAATTGATCATTATAAAAATATAATTAATGAATTTAATTGATGATATTTTTATGAAGGTTCATTCCCGAATCTGCTCGTTGGCTTTTAACAAAAGGTAAACATGAAGAAGCGAAAAATTTATTGCAAAAAGCTGCAAAAGAAAATGGCATCGATATTCCACGAGAAACATTAGACTGTCTTCTTCATGAAACTACAGAATGCAATTCTAATAATAATAGGGCTACTTTATTCGATTTATTCCGCTCTCCTAATTTAAGAAAAAAGAGTATTCTCTTATTCTTCAATTGGTAAGTAAAATTTTAATTTCAATTATTTTCGTCAAATTTCTAATTAAAATAATGTTATTAACACGATCAATCAAATTATTTCAGGCTTGTAAATAGTGGAACATATTATGGCCTTTCTTGGAACGTAAATAATTTAGGTGGAAATGATTACATTAATTTTTTAATCCTAGGAGCTGTAGAAGTACCTGCATACACGTTTCTTCTTTTATCCTTGGACCGATGGGGTAGAAAAATAATTCTTTGTGGCTGTATGATTGTGTCTGGCATTTGTCTACTTGGCACATTATTGGTTCCAGCGGGTATGTTAGATTGTTATTGCGCTTTCAAGCGTGATTGTTTCAATTGTTAATTTTTTTATTTACCCAAGGTCACCCCTGGGGACTCACAGTACTTGCAATGATCGGAAAATTGGCGATAACATCCTCATACGGAGGAATATATATTTTTACTGCAGAACAATTTCCTACCGTCGTCAGGAATGTTGGCCTTGGTGCTTGTTCAACTTTCGCTAGAATAGGTGGGGTCGTTGCACCTTACATCAATCATTTGGTAAGTCCTTTTTTTCTTCAAATAAAGTGGTTTAATCATTATGGCAATATCATATTGTTTGATATTTAAAAAATATCATGTGATGATCTGATTATTAAATTACTTTAAATGATGTCATACATTGTAGAGATATAATTTATTCAATATTATAATGTTCTGGTTTTGTCAATGTGTCAATATATGAGATATAAAAATCATCTAAGATTAAAAATGTGTGAAGATTTAAAAAATGAAACTGACCCATAAAACATATCGTTAAAGTAAAATAAAAAAATTAATCGGTAGTTAATATGTATTAAAAAGTATTAAGTCATTCATGGCTATAAATTTATAAACCTAAATACTGGTTTCTTATCTCTATTTCAGCATACTAAGCCATTTTTTATGATGATTTCGTTTTTCATAATTTTGTATCATCACTTTTAATGAATTATTCTCGATATATATTTTGAAAAATATTTTAATGCTTATTTGTTATATTTTCAGGCTGAAATATGGACTCCATTTCCCCTTGTTATTTTTGGAGCATGTGCACTTGCTGGTGGCTTAGTATCACTATTACTGCCTGAAACGCTTAATAAGCAATTACCAGAAACAATAGAGGATGGAGAACTGTTTGGATTGTATGTAGTTGTTTTTTTTTAATTATAAAAATTATTTCTAGAATTTTCCATATTAATTATTTATTATTAAAACAGGAAAGAGAAGAAACTGAAACCTAAGAAGAATAAAAAACAACACGAGCTTCAACAACTTGATATTCCACGAAACGATGGAGAACCAATAAAGACGATAAAAACTATAGAAAATGGAATTCATGATGCAAAACAGAATGGATGACGCTTGTAAATTCTTTTATAATTGATAAGCAATTTTCGTTTGCAGTATTTATCGCGTTTTACCTGCTAGACGGAAAAAAACGTGTTAAAAACAAAAAACTGAACAAGTGTGTTCGATTTCTGTTGACGCTCAAATTGAAAAATAACAGTGTGACTGAAATAATGAAAGTCTTTTTTTTAAACATGAAAAAAAAATTCATTCAATTAAATTTAAGTATATGTGATGAACATTCTTATCATTGTAACAATTATCAAACTATGAAGATAAGCGCACTTTAATTAATAGTAGTTTAATCCATTTTTAAAAAATGAATCTTTATATGGCACGATAAAATACTGTCACATTGATAGTATATAAAACGTCACATTAGTTGTAATAAAATTCTTCGATAAAAAAACAAATAAAAAAAGTTTTTTTGATAAACTTATTGTTTTATTTTCAGAAAGAAAAACTATGTTGTATGTCAACAATTTTCTCTACTTGGTTTTTAATTTAGCGCGGTTTTTAGTTTCGTTTGCTCACACAAGACAGCGCAATATCAAACTTTCTGCCGGCAAATTTTAAATGTTTAAATAGACTTAGCAATTTTTTTTTTTCCACACACTTTTCTAACCTTTATCTTATTTATTATTCAAATGTGTACGTTTATAATATATGTATATGAGAATCATTTTCTAATCAATAAATATAATACTTAAGAAGTAAAAAACTTTCTAAAATTCATTTATACATATTCCTAATTTTCTAAATTAATTTGATCAACTTAGTACGCATGCTCAAAAGAAAAATCTCAGCTGACTCTACTAGTGATTTAATTCACGGTAGAAAATCGTACGTTTTTTCCGCTACTTGTACTATTACGAACAAGCATAGTAATAATTGTAACCTATATTCTTGATTACATTATTGGCTAGTGTCCGAACTATCGCACTAGCTGTCGATCAGGTGATAGTAATATATTTAGAGTCAGTAACGACCTTTCAAAATGATGGCAAATTGTGTAAAAAATATCGGCAGAGAAGCGTCACGACGAAATGTAAGCCTAATTAATTCTTATATGAATAATGAATAAATAATCTCTTACAACTATTCATTTATATCAATTACAAATAGATGACCTTGAAATAAGATGTTTTTATCATTAAATATTCCACTAACTTCAACTCAATTTTTTCTCTATTCTCATGTTTAAATCATCGATGATCTTCGTTTTGCTTGACGAATATTGGCTACTGGCAAGTTCGCTTCATGGAACTCGGTAAATATACTTCATTCTCAAAGAAATGTCACATAAGCACTTATCTAATGACATGTCATGAAGCGTTTCATTGTCGTTGCTAGAGTTTCAATAGTTTTACTTGAATTACACAATGTTCTATCTAAATAGACATGATTATAATCAATTAATATAATGAAATCACTAGGCATTTGTGTTATTGATGATTAAAAGATTTACAATATTATTTTTATTAAATATTTATAAAATATTATTCTTGACGTATTTGTTTGTTACAGATCCTCTCTGTCTTCTCCAGTGGACGTAATAATTATGCCACAGAAGCATCTTGGGAAACGAAACCTTTCAAATTACATAAACTTGATTCAGGACCATCTACTAAAGTCACTGTTACACGAGATGAAGCTCTTGATCTGTACAAAAAATTACATACTATTAGACGAATGGAAACTGCTGCTGGTAATTTGTACAAAGAAAAAATTGTTAGAGGATTCTGTCACTTGTATTCTGGTCAGGTAAATCTCTTAAGCTTATCATAGTTTATTCCTATGAATAATTTAAAATTGATTTAATGACTCCATTTCTGAATCAATACTTGATTAATTTTTTTAATAAATCAATCCATTTTACAGGAAGCTTGTGCAGTTGGTATGACTGCGGCTCTTCGACCGATGGATTCAGTAATTACAGCTTATCGAGCTCATGGTTGGACGTATTTAATGGGAATCAAACCAGCAGGAGTACTCACTGAATTAACAGGTAGACAAAGTGGTAATGCGAGAGGAAAAGGTGGTTCTATGCACATGTATGCCAAAAATTTTTATGGTGGTAATGGAATCGTTGGAGCTCAAGTATGTTGATACATTTTATCTATTTAAAAAATTATCTTCAAGTGGAAGGCTAAAAATACTCAAATGTTTAAATTATAGGTACCCTTAGGTGCTGGTATCGCTTTTGCACATAAATACAAAGGTGATGGTGGTGTATGTTTAGCTCTCTACGGTGATGGAGCAGCAAACCAGGGTCAAATCTACGAGGTCTTCAATATGACTAAATTATGGGATGTTCCTTGTATTTATGTCTGCGAAAATAATCAGTATGGAATGGGAACAAGTGTAGACAGAGCTGCTGCCAGTACAGATTATTATACTCGTGGTGATTATGTACCTGGAATATGGGTAATTTTCAATGTTATTAAAATACTAAATTTAACAGAAATTACCTTATTTCTTTTAAAAAAGTTCGATTTTTTTACTTTTTAATTACTTTCAATTTTACTTTCATCATCATTAATTTTTAGGTTGATGGTATGGATGTACTAGCAGTCAGAGAAGCCACAAGATTTGCCATAAAACATTGTACTTCTGGTAAAGGGCCCATTGTAATGGAAACAATGACATATCGATACAGTGGTCACAGTATGTCTGATCCTGGAACAAGTTATCGAACACGAGAAGAAATTCAGGAAGTCCGACAAACACGTGATCCTCTTACGAGTTTTAAAGAAAAAATTCTCAATGCCAATCTAGTCACTGCCGATGATTTGAAGGTAATTTAATAATTAATTTTTTATTTTTTTTAATAATAAGAGAATAAAATTATATTTTTTATTACTTTTTCGTAGAAATTGGAGACAGACATAAGAAAAGAAATTGATGATGCAGTAAAACTTGCTAAGTCAGACAAAGAAATTGGTGTTCATGAACTAAGTGCTGATGTTTATTCTGAGTGTTTAGAAAAAGAAATCCGTAACGTCACTCCATTTAATCCTCTCAAACACAGTCGAATTGGTCCTGCTGTAAATGTTTAAAATAATTCTGGTGCTACTCCTAGTTGAATTTTTCAAAATAAATTAACTATAAGTAACAAATTATTATTAATAAATAAATTTACAAAAATACGTCAAGTATTTTCATTGTCATCACGTCAATTATTCTGACAGTGAATTTCAATGAACTCTTGGTGCACGATACATATTGATGCTTTTATGAGAAAATTCTTGAGTCTCACAAGAATTGTCATAAAATAAATTAAAAATAGTTTGTTATTAAATAAAATAAGTAATATAATCATTAGCTGTTTTATTTAGTAGACTGGTAAAATGGATGAAGAGGTTTAAAGCAAACACTAATTAAATTGAAAAAAGAAAAACAATTCAATCATAATGAAAGTTATTGTCAACAACTGATGTAAATTATTGTACCTGAATTCATCCATGTAAATTATTAAAAATATTTCCATAGAGAATGATCATTTTTTTTGTAAATAAAAGTTATTCAGTCAATCAATAAAATTTGATTATTCATATGAAAATTTGTTGAAATAATTAATTACTAGTAAGAAAATAAATAATAATACTTTTAGTGTAAAAAAATCACTTAAAATCTTATTAAAGCAAATGCTTGCAAACTTATAGCAGCATGACTACAATGGTTAATAAATTTGTTTACATCTCCAAGCTAATAAACGAGTACTTTATTGATACTCTAATAATAAATGGAATATATGCTTTGAAGAGCATAGCTTGCATTTGCTTGTTGATTTGCGTGGGACGACCAACTATTCTTGGTAACTATTTTCAACACAACTAATATAATAAACATAAAGATTTATTTATTTATTCATCAACTGTTATTTTTATAGTAACAACATCACTGGTAGCCAGACTTGCAGGCTTTGCTATTTACTTTGTCAAATCATCTACTTAAATTCTTGTCGTAGCTAGTATATTTTCAGCAGCACTCACAGCAGCAAACATTGTACTTAATAGCGTTGTTGTGGATATACTTCCAATTCACTAAATTGGATTCAGTGCTTTGACAATTTTTATGACGTCTTATTTCGGAAGGATTGGTACTATAAGCATCAATATTGCTTTTGGTCTACTTATAGACACTAGTTATAAAGTATTCATTTTTCTTGTTAGCATTTATAAGTATATACAATAATACAAATTTTTTTATTATGATTAATAATAAATGACTGTTAGAAAGAATTGTTCTATTTTTTTTTTTAGCATTTAGAGTCTTGCTTTCTTTTTTTATCACTGTCAAGAAAAACTTGCATCTAGACACAAAAAATATTATTATAAATAAGTTTTTTTAGAAAATATAAAAAGGCTTATCATTAGATAATTTTTAATCTCATGTATTTTTCATATCCTTTTTTAAATAGAAATCAACAAAATCCAGTCAACTTTCGTTTAATATTACAAATAGTTTCGTCATCAATTGGTACACCAGGTTTTATGAAAAAATTATTAAACCTAGATGTAACAAATATTGCGCGTGCCGCAGTCCTCGACTCGAATAAAAATGTATTGAAAATAATATTAGTTAAAAAAAAAATTAAATCCGGAGTAAAATATTCCGGTTAATTTATTATAATTGCATCACCTCATTAATCACTTGGCTATTGCTTTTAATAATTATTGCCATCTTAAATTCAATTTCATCGCGTCAACGATGACGAATAAGATATTGGCGATACTTGTAGATGTAAGATGATTTTAATCTAAAAACTGTATTGTATTATTAATCATTGTAATTATTATTTATATTTATCATTGTAATAATCATCATAATAGTACTATTAATAGCATTAATAAATGTTTATAACATACACGAGAAATCCGCCGATAGATAATACATTTCAAGTTTACTTAAAATCTCGACAAATGGTTCTATAAATATTTGTATAATTCCCTCTTTCATTAAATTTTGAGAACAATTGTTTTTTTTTTGAATTATTATCACCTATTACTACTAATAATCGATAAGTAGAAATTTATTGCATGACAGTAATTTTATAATTTATTTTTTGGCAGGTATAAAAAATCAAGGCATCATTCGTTCAATCTATTAAATAGTATAAAAAAAAGTACGAGGGAAAATTGTTTATAAAAGTTTACAGAAATGGCGGATACCAGACAAATTTATGCGGTAAACAGGCCAAATTTATAAGGCTCTGTTTTCTTAGGTATTCTTATATTTGTTTGATTTATCGAATGCGTTAACGTTGCGTCACAACGCGTTACATTGTTATTTTACTGACTAATTCGATGATCCATATCATCAACATTTTATATAAAAGGCACAATGTTTCACAGAGGCAACTTTTACGCTAGACTTTGTTATTATCATTATTATTAGACATTTGTAATCCTCGTCAAATCCTTTGTCGCGACGATTTTATTTGAGAGTCTGTAGTTTACAGTCTTTTTAATTGAAATATTTTCCAATACTCGAGCATAACAATTGTTGTCGACTTATAAAATACCTGAGCCAAAGTTAAAAAGAGCGAGGTTTAACATGAGACTCGAGGACTGTTTTTTAAAATTTTTTTACAAAGACATTTGTTTTAATTTTTCATCGCTATTATTTGTTAATCAGCAATTTTACGGTGACGCAACTCAGCCATTAACATATTTTTTTTTACATTTCGTTCTTAAAAAGCGTAAATAATACATACATTTTATTTTTGTATGTAAAAATGACAATATCATACAAATAAAAACAGTCACGCAGCCTTTAAAATTGTTCCAGGATATTACAAAACGAGGTTTCAATCAATCAAACTTGTTCATTCTTTGACACTCTCACCAAACCACATTATATGGCAATTAGCGTCGCGTTTATTGGCGTGTATATACGTATTATAAATAATTTTATTTACAAACGAATCTTTTCATAGCTAGAAAAACTTAATAAATAAACGAACAGTAAAGCAACGACACATGGATATCCCGTTTATCCATGTTATCGTGTTAATATTTATTTTTAATAAATTCTTATGATTTTTTTTTAATATTCTCTTATCCAATAATATATGAAGGTTTTTTCTTAAATGATTGTGGAACCATTCACGTTACATTTATCATGGACCACAATATAAGGTACAATTCATTAAAAAGTCGACTAGTTAGCCAACTATAGTAGTACAACTGACCAATTCATTTATAAATGAATATAGAAAAAAAATATATATATCCACATGATTATTGAAATGCGTAGGCATGAAGAGAGAGATTTGTATTCTCTCTAGTGGCTTCGTCATAAAGAACAGGTCATCTTCGTAATACAAAGTAACTCTTATTTCCGTTCTCTTTCATTTTATTCTTTCTCGTTGAGGAAGGCACGATCGGCATCGACATTCGCGTGACGCATTAGAAACAAGAAGATCACCTGCATGGTGCAAGCAGAACTTCTAACCAGCAAGGACAAGAAGTGACCTCTTGTCTTGAGTACTTAGGACCCCATCCTTTGGCGAAACTTATCCTCACAGAATGAGCATCAACTGGACCACTTGCATTTGGTGGATCACTATAAGTAGTATATCGTACCGGTGGGCTTTTTGCTCTATCAAATATATTGAGACAAAATCCAGGTGGTACTCGGTATACTAAGAGTGTTCGCGATTCTGGGTCATCAAGGGTTGGTGAATTAACAAAAATTGGACTACCAGACCGGTTGTATGCCCAGACACCATCATCCTCTTGGCTCAACATCAAACCTAGAGTTAAGAAAGAATTATTTGCATATTGCCTAAAGGTAAAACAACTCGTTCACTCAATAAAAGTATACACACGCAAGCTTACCTAGACCAATTTTACTTCGCGTCCTTCTAACAGCTGCTGAAGAGCCATGATTCTCAGCAAGACTTGCTAAGCAAAGTCCATCACCATCATGAACTGACTCAAAGACACTTATTATTGATGCTTCTACAGGATAAAGTCTACCAACTCGACCACTAAGTTCCCAGTATGCCAATGTACACCACTCTTTTCTCTCCGAGTCAGTGCGGTCTGTAATAAAAAAAGAAAAAAATTAAGATAAATCCCGTAGAAATGTTTGACATAATGTCGATGTGTGTACGAAAACCGGAGATTAAACGTTGAAGGTTGGCGAGAGTGAAAAGAAGAGGATGAGGTATATAGAAAGAAAAAGTAAAGAAGCCTGTCTGGATGGGCCACTGAGCGCGGCCCACGATTCAACTCGACCCGTTCTACCACCGTCATCATGGTATGGACTACAGCAATCATCTCATCGTTTTCATCCTGCCGCGACCACCGCTCCCGCCCGCCGCGGCAGCGTAGAAAAACTGCTCGTCTCGCCGCGAAAATTATAATGCTCGACCGAGTGGCGGCGGCCTAACAACCTACGCGGATCACGCAAATTGCATACGGCTGGGGCTGTTGCACACATACGACACACGTATTTTATATATATATACATGCTGTTCGCCCCCTTTTCTCAAGACCATTATTATTATTATTTTTATTATTATTGCTATTATCATCAGCATGCTCGTCGTGATCGTCGTCAAGCTCATTATCATCATCATCATCATCATTACACCGATTATGATAATAGGCTAGCAAAATAGTCTGGTATTTATGAAGGTAGTCTGGAATATTTGGACAATCTGACTCTTTGTTTGTAGATATGACCCCCTAGATCAAGTATTGAATACTTTATCCAATAGTTGTATGTGCAAGACTCAAGTATTTAACCGTCGTGCGGTACTTCCATGAGATAAAAATAGATATTACGAGTTTAACACGGCGCCAAGATTGCGGGCTATCGTGACGATTACGTCATCGTTGAACGGAGGAGCGCAGCGCAAGGACGACCGTCGCGGCATCGGCGCCGACGTCCGCCATCATTTAACTCTTTAAGCATCAGAGAGAAAGAGCATTTATTTGCCTGGTGCATAAGGTCAAACACCCTCAGGTTAGATAAGCACTGCGAGAAACAAGTAAAACCTTGGTAAAAGCAACATCAAGCATATGATATAGAAACATGTTGAACAATAAACATGAAAGAGTAATCTCTCCAACAATATAATCCAGAGGTGGGAAAACTTGAATTTTTTGAAATCTGAGAGAGAAAAACTTATACAAGTTTTCAACGTGGTCTCATAGCCTCTTTCACTTACTCTTATGGAAACCATAGGAGCTGCTCTGGCTTCCAAGAGTCGAGTTTGCCCACCTCTGATATAATCCGTCAGGTGACCTCTGTCCTTCGAACGGCCTTTCCGCGCTTGGTACCGCCTTCTCTCTTTACTTTCGCAGTGTATTATCGCGCTTGAGAGGTAATATGTTGCTAAAAAGTCGGTTCTTATCGTCGACCCGTTCGTTATCGCGTCACTCGGACCGGATCGAATCGTAAACGGGCATTGTCGAGTGTATAGAGTGGCTCATTGACGGCGAGAGTTACGCTACAGTGGTGGAGATAGTGTGGGAATGTACGTAGCACTGAGAAAAAGATGATTCGACGCCAGTGAAGGCGCCACATACCAGGCGCCGGCGAACCTCTCTTTCTTTCTTTCGTTCTCTTTTCCTCTCTTGACTCTTGGCCACGCAACTTGGTAAGGCCCGAGGCTGGCAGCCAAGCCAACCGATCGGCCAAGCGCTTTCGGTGGCAGCGCCTACGTTATCCCACCCGGCCAATACACACGTCAATGTACGATAGAAAGGAGTAGCTGAGTCTTTTTCGTTTTACTTAAGCATAGCAGCAGCAGCAGCAACCACTCGACTGAGTGCTGTTGTTTGTTTGTATTAATAAACCAATCCAATGATATTTCGGTTTAAGCTTTTGCTTAACTCCAGCAATACTGGCTTAGAAGCATCATAACTTGAGTGCGTCTGGACACACATACATTTCAACGACTACTATGGCGCCAGGACACATTCCTCTTTGGCGCTGGATTAACGGCAAGCGTTGAGAAACGTGCACACGACGTATACCCGATCATTGCCGGCTAAAATAATAATACTTCCATGCAAAATTTCAATAAAAAAAGTAGCATTTAAATATTCTACGTTGCTGATATTTAATGTCTATAAGTAAAGAGAAAGAAAAATTATTTGTTTATCAGAAATAAATTAAAATGCTACTCCATTCGTAACTGCTACCTCAGTCATCCTATCTGCACGATATTCTCGTGACTTGAAACAACTTTGAAGTTTTTGCCAAAATGCACGAGGGTGAAAATAAGCGCGTGCGCTCTACTACACTCTGGATATACAGCAGCAGCAGCAGCGACCTGTTGCCCATCCACCTCCGCTCTCTATACAACCATTCATGTGACTTTTGATGATGGATTCGCACGCATTTCTCAGTCTCACCCTCGTGCGCATAGCTCTTGAAACGTGTTGAATCAATGAAAAGTAGCTTGCGTCAAACATTGTGGAAATGAATGGATATAAAAGAGGTAGAATAACCAAACTGACAAAGACAGAAAGAATGAACGAAAAAGAAAGCAAACAGGCGAGGTCGCAAGAATACCGACGAGACACGCGGCAGCTGTCTGGCGCCAGGCAAGCCTGCCCTCCATTTCCTCAAGTCCCGTGCTATGCTGATGCTTCGTCAGTACTCCACCTTTCAACCAAATTTCTTTTGACCACTTAAACGCAACTCAACTTGATAATCCTTCTTTATCCATTATAAAGACTCCTTCACCCTTGACTTTAACTTTATAATCATCATAAAGCAAATAATAGTCATGAAAAAAGAATTACGAGGGACGGAAGCAGGTAGATTTGTCGGTCAAGGTGCAACATTGTCCTCAATATAATTGAAATGTTAAATGTTACTTCACTAATGTCAGTAGAATTTCAAGTAAACTACAACAATTGCTTTTTTTATACCTTCACCATCGGTGGTAAGTGATTCCGGAAGTCTTAAGGGTGCGGTGGTATTTCCATAACATCGGTTATCTGGTTGACGTGATTGTATACCACAAGCTGAAGCTGAAAGAATCAAATAAACATCATTAATACATCAACGCTTGTACAATAAAATCTTATTGCTAGTGGGTATATCATAACATAGCTAAGATATTCGTATACATCAACTCGTTTACATTCCACGCGTTACGTTCATGAATGTTTGACCCCCCGCCGATGGCAATTCGTATACATATGCCGTGGCCAGTAAAGACCGCGAAAAGTATGTGCGCATCGAGAGCCACCGCGTACGTGTAATAATAGCCGCTCGCGGGAGAATCCACGACGACTAGGCGCCGGCTAAACTGCTTACCTTCGCGTTTCATTGCACCTCTCTCCGCTGGTGTAAGACAGTACGGGGGTGGCGGCGACTCTGCAAAATAAAAAAAAAATTCCATCAATCATCAATTCTACTTAACTCTTGTTATAATTGTAAATTATAACAAAATGATGTAGGTATTTTTAAATTTAAATTTCAAATAAATATGAGTCGGTGTTATAAATGTACACACATGGAGGATGAAGAGGAAAAAGAGTAAAAATAAACAAATGAATGGATAAATAAATGAGGGAAGAGTTAGTAAAGGAAGTTTTGGTCTGATCGTCGCGAAAAGAGCCGGTATCCTCGCTAGCGCCGGCTGGCTGGCCTCGACAATTAGCTGGCGCCAGCAATGACACGCGGCGTCGGCAACGATGGCGGTATTCCCCTTCTTCGTCTCTTCAGGCTGCCCCGCCGCTGTCCTGCCGGTCGCTCAACGTCGAGCATCGACGCCAGCGAGTCACTCTCCCCACTTCACCACTTAGCCTTTCCCTTTTCTTCCTCCCTGGTGTGTATCTAACGGACAACAACGACGACGGCGACGGTCCGCTGCATTGCCTACTGTGTGTATCTTATTGTTCTTTGTCCTGAACTTTTCCCTTTTTTTTTCCCTTCAGCTGGATGTTTTCGACATTTCCTAGAATTATCAATTCCGACCAGAAACATAACATGGACAGGCGCCGGCACTAGGACAAGGCAACTTAACAGGAGAGATTATCACGTAAAAGAGGTGCAAGTCTAGACGTTACCTGATGCTTATATAGCTTTATAATGCTTATATAGATTTAGTATAGATATACTAGAATTACTTTAGAGTGCTAGAGTAACGTAGAGACAGACGGGTTAAACGGGACGAGCGTTACGTAAAGGAAGTAATACTGGCGCCAGTGTCTTGTCGTTATGCATTTAAAGAGACACACAACTGTCGGAAATTAATTAGAATGTCGTCTTACCAGGTTTGCAGAGTCGACTCCAATGATAGGGATTGCAGCAGACAAATGATGGATCTTTAGCGGAATGACAGACTGGTAGCTTTTTCAGCTCAGATGAGTGGTTGAGATCAGGCCACCGCCAAATCTGGCAGGAGAGTAGATGAGCTGGTGGTAGCAGAAAACTTGGTCTTGTGTCAGTAATTGGTAAACGATGTTGTTCTTCAAGACTCGAGGTGTCATCTAGTACATCAGTGTCTTCATTAACTCCACTCGTAAAACCATGAGGAAGTTCACAGTGACGACATCGTGAACGATGCCGCGTAAAATGATGTGAATGTCGATGACGAAGAGGATGATGATGTCGAGAATTTCTTTGAGTGTGACGATAACGTCGGCAATGATCCTGTTGATCATTATTTACTTCTTGTTCTGATGAATCTTGAATACATCTTTCGGCAACAAGAACACATGAGCCTAAATCGGCACCGTAACTTTCAATTGATGTAAGCAACATTTCCAGTTGATTTTCTTTCAAAGTTTTAAGAAGTTCTTTACACCTTAATAAACGTTCATCAGCTTCCTCGTCTTCGTTATCGTTTGAACTCTCGTCTTCTTCGTCTTCGTCGTCACGATCGTCTTGCGAATCGGCACCACCACAGCAAGCGTGATGTAGCCGGGTACCACGTCCACCAGTTCGAGTGGTTACGTTGCTTGTAGTTGTTGTTCGTTTAGCTTGATGTTGACTTGTAACACTTCTCCTAGAACTAGTAGGTAAATTTGCTACAGTGGTCGTTTTATTATGCTGTTGTACTGCTGGAGAACAAGCAGAAGCTTCAGCTGATACTCTATTTGTGCTAGTGATGCGTGTCGATGTATCCTCTTGAGTCTCACACTCGGTTTCATACTCTCGGCGAACCTTGGCCTTTAGCAGACGTCTAGTTAATACCGTCCGTTTGCTCCAGAACATGAACATGAAACAGGATAAGCCGCTTGTGCATTTGGGGGCCAGTACTTTGATACTTTGCCACGTGAATTGAATAATTATTCCACCTACAGGTGTATGATTTTTAATTGTTGATGAATAAAGTACACAACACGTGGACAGTTGATGGTTCTCAAGAGCCAGGAACGAGATGACGTGAACAAGAATGGTTGAACTACCGGCGAAGAAGAAGAAGAGCGTTGTACCGTCGCTGGGCCACGGTCGTGTACTCGAAATAGCGTGTGACGCTTGGAACCAACAAACTACTGCTTGACTTCTCACTGCCCGTTCTCTCACCCTCTCCTTCAGTCTCTTGAACAACTCGAGACCACAGTCAAAGAAGAAAATCACAAGCTACGAATGCTCCTGCGCTTGGGCCAGCTGTTGCTTCTCCAATTCTTCCCTTCTCGTTCTCCTCCTCGTTCTCGTTCTCGTTCTTGTCCTCCTCGTTGTCCTCCTCGTCGTCGTGGCTTTCGGCGCTTTGGCACCGCATAACACTGATTTACAACAATCACTCATTCGTTTTCGACTAGCAGCGATTGACATAATTTCTTGTATCCACGGTAATCATAGTTTATCGTCGCTTTGGTAACTTTCAAAATTTTAACAATTACTACATTTAACACTCACTGCCAAGCGCGTTTTAATACACTTGTCGATAAATCTCACCGGTTGGTTAGCTTGGCCTTCTTGTTTCTTGTTACTCTCGTCATCCACTTGAAAAATATAAAAAATATATATATATATATATATGAAACATAAATGAGTTGTGAATAAGAACTATCTCATCAACACTGCGCACAAACTAAACGATCTATCCACTGGATCGTACGAACGAAAACGACGGCTACGACGATGGCACACACACACATGGTGTAGTCTGATGGATGATAGTATGATGAGGTTTCCCCGCGCGCGCAGCACGCGAGTCAACCAACAAGTATGTACTAGTCGACTTGACGACGTTTAAACCGACAAGAGAGGTCGACGCGTGTCGAGTGCACCGACGTCGCGACGCCGTCGTATTCGCAATCACATTCGCTACTTTATATATGGATACCACACGCGCACACACGATTATTCTCTATCTCTCTCTATCTTTCTTTCCTCGATCAGTTGTTTGCTGAGATTCAACGATTCCCGATATAATATACTTAACATTTATTATTGCTCTAATAACTACTAACTAATACTATCAACTAAATCTATTAAATGTATAATCAATAAAATAATTTTAGTACCATTTGTTTACAAGACCAATTAATTATATTTGTCGTTGACTCGTTGCTTTTACTTCCAAGTAGTCGTTGATTTTTAACTAGCAACAAAGCACATCATAACGCGATACTGTCACGACCGACAACTACACACTAACCACAAGCTCGGACTTTACTAGCGGCACGCACGAGGTCCAGGGCCGTCATGAGCCTCCACCTCCCTTCTCTTGGAGGCGCCAACGCACACTAATGTAACTCAAACGCGCGCACACACTTACACTACTTCGCACGCATTATCATCGACATCGTAGATCCCATTAATACAAACCCAACTTTCCGACAACATGGCCGTTCCTCTCTGACCACTAGTCTTGTCTCACTCACTTCTTTTCAGTTACATCGATCCTCACTCGTGTCGCTAATGTCTTCCGTTCTCCAGCATGGCGCTAACCTTTCGAATTTTTGGCGGTTTTTAAAATTTTTTATCCAATCGTCAACTATTAATCATTATAGAATAAAATTATTTCTTGCATAAAAACTCAAGTTATTGATAATTTTATGATAAACTTAGTTTCAATTGATTGAATAAAATATTTATAATTAAAGGATAAATAATTTTTAGAATAAATTTATAAGTTTTCAATTGGCGCCAATGTGAAGAAATGATCGACAGAGAAACGAAGGGGAGAAAACAAGGAAAGAGATAAGTGGGGGCGAAAAGAAAGGCATTCGTAGGTCGTCGCTCATAAATTGGCTAATTTTAGAAAACTTGTTTGAGCAGAGAGTTGGAACGAGATTTTGTAATGGTTGTGCATGACGCGATCGACGGCTTAATGATTAATAATACTTGCTAATAAATCTGATTGAAAATCAACCGTTCTATTTTCTGTACCTTTTTTAGTATTTCTTGTATGATAATAAGAAATAGAGCAAAAAACTTAGACGTTGTCGCGATGAGAAAATAAATGGATACATCTTGGGCGCGAAAAATTGTACAATGGACGGGAATCTACTGATGACGATGGTGCTTGGCATCCCCTATTTGTAAGGGTGGTAGGCGCCGCATGTTAGCAAGTTGGCGCCGTTTGCTATTCTTGCCTCACGGGTACAGGCGCCTTCTCCCCATCTGATGGCTCCAAACTTCCCTCCCTTTTGATTCTTTCGATTCGCCCCTTTTGGATATGTGTCACCACATACATGTATTTTTGATTCATCAAACATCGAGCAATTTCATAAAAAACATTGTCAGCATGCATCTGTAATTAAAGATGAAAGGAATGTTAAAAAAAAAAAAACAAGAAAAATAACTGGTTCAAAGAATAAGAAAAGGCTTACTTGGTCAATAATGAGATATTTAAAAAGATCAACAGCAACAGCAGGACAGTAGTGTAAACGAAGACACAGATGGACCAATAAAGACAAGTGTAAGTGAGTTGGAAGAGAGTAAAATTGAAGGGTGGGGACTACTCGGATGGCCAGGCCGACTGGCGACTTGGATCTCCTTGTTTATCATGCTCCCCCTGTGAGAACAGCATAACAAGCATCAAAACACTTGGCGTCCCCCATGATCGCTCGCAAGGAAAGCGCCAGGCGCCAATTTGTCCCTCTCGATCCTGTCAACCGTACATGGATATTATTTTATCTCTCTTAATCGAGAGATGGCCGGAGTTCGGTGCCAACGGATCGAGCTATGCACCTACTATTTTTCTGCATTGGTTATCATATCGAAGAGAAAGCACCGGGAACATTGAGTCGCCGTAGCGACGCGACGGTTTAGCTGGCGTCAAAGCAAAGTCCGATTCGGCGCCAGCCAGACAGCCTCGTCCGTCAGTCCTCGCTTGTTCGTCGCGACGCCGCCGATGGGAGTCTCGACGCCAGGAGGGTGACGCCAACAGGACACCCCTAGTCCTTTTTTTCCCGCACCACGTTGTCTCCACTGTTTTCTTCCGTTCGTTTCTCATCCCTCGGTAGCTCCTGATGGTCGCTTCTTTCCAGTCGATTCAGCGCAAGAATCTCTTATATGCATCCACTATTCAACTAATTTTCTTTCCTTCAGCACTTCAAGAAACTCACCCGGATCAGCGTTAAACTCATACTCGATAACAATTGCGTAACCAGAGATAAGATAACGTCTTTAACCATAACTATAATTTTTATCCATCATTTCTCGCTTTTTTAATGCATAATCAACGTCATTCCTAGAACAAGTGTTGGAGAAATAACCAATAAATTATGTATGTATAGTCAAATGTTGTTGATATCAATAAGCCTATCAATTATAACGGCTAAGTTTGTACAAACCGCGCCTGACTGTTTGGCTGTTACCACTCTCTTAGCCCGGTTCCAGACGTTCCAGTTGCCAGAAGGAGATGGGTGAATATTCAAGCCCAACATACCTGGGTTTAGACCTCAGCACACAGCAGGTTTTTTTAATTTTATTTTTCATCACCATTATCGGTCATTCATTCTTCACCAATTATTCATTTATTTCTTTTAAATTTTCCTATCTTCAGACTCTTATCTAATTCTCTATAAATCTTCATTTCTCGTAGAAACGATTGGTATAATTACCAATGCGTATTACTATGATGACGCATTTCGTACTTACGTCCTTACGCGCGATATTTTCACCAAGATAACGCGCAAGTCCATTGATTAAATCCCTAGAAAAAAGAATTCTTTGTAATTATTTACATTGATAGTATGATTATTGTAAAAATCATTGAAAAATTGTAAACAGTATGTTTTCAATTGATAATCTTCCATGCTGTACGCACCTGTCACAATTCTACCTGATTCACTTCATGGCGGTAAATTTAAAAAGGTTTCCTTTTTTGTTCCAGTTGAAAGCAGTAGTTGTTGATGATAATCTCGAAGTTCTTGTCGAAGCAAACGTCCAATTCGATAACGATCTGCCTGAATTTAGGTAAAAGTTTTTTTCCTATTATAATAAAAATCTATTGCTTAAATCAATAATTGTTTTAAAATGATTTTTCAGAACTTACGGAGGAGTAATTATCAGGAAAGACGCTCCAAGTGTAGTACAAGCACCATGTCTCATGTGGGTAAAAGCCTTAGATATGCTTCTGGACAAACTGCGTGTTTCAGGTGTAGATTTTGCTCGAGTCCGTGGTATTTCCGGTTGTGCTCAGGTAAATATTTTACCTGGATTCTTTATTTCTCTCCATCACATATCATTTCTTACTTAATTTTATCACTCATACCTGTTTGAACAGCAACACGGAACAGTTTATTGGAGCAAAGGAAGCCGCGAGTTACTGAAGAATTTGAAACCGGATAGGTTTTTACATGAACAACTGTGCAATGCTTTTGCAACAAATAACTCACCGATATGGATGGACTCAAGTACATCTCAAGAATGTGAAATTCTTGAACAGACAGTTGGTGGTCCAGATGTAAGATATTTCTCTAAATTAATTTTAAAATATTTATTTATTCGGAAAATGTTTCAAGAATGTGATAATATTACTGAGAATTCAATGATTAGCATAATTTGACTTATTCTCATTTTCTTCCCTTTTATGACACTTTTATTTTTATCATTCTTTTCTAGTGAAAATTATATCATTTCTAATAATAGAAAATCGTATTCAGTAATAAATTTTTCGTAGCTATAAAATGAAACTTGAAATCATTAAAAATAGAACTAATTTGTTTTTTTTCTTTTTTTTATTATCTTGAATATGCAAGTTTATTATTATCTATAATTACAGTGAAGTTAAAAAATATTGTTCTATAAAATTTTATATCTTCTACATATTATGAAGTAAAAAATATTTAAACACATTTGAAAAAAAAAAAACTAATTGACATTAAAAAGGTGATGAATAAAAATCTACTTGCAGAAATTAGCAGAAATCACCGGATCAAAAGCATATGAAAGATTTTCAGGAGCACAAATAGCTAAGATTTGGCGAACTAGACCGGATATTTATGCCAACACTGAAGTAATAAAAACATTTTTTGTTTTACATGAATTTTTCAAAGGATACTCAAAGAAAACAACAAATAAGTAACTGACTTGATTCTATTCTAGAGAATTTCTTTGGTCAGTAGTTTTGTAGCCAGTCTTCTGGTCGGCGACTATGCTCCAATAGATTATTCCGATGGTTCTGGTATGAACATTCTTGATATTCGCACAAAAAAATGGAACGATCAACTTCTTCAGGTACTTTTCACACTCATTCATACATTTATAATTCTATTTTATTGAATTAATTTTTTCTCTATCGTTATTTGTAACAAAAACTTGATTGTCTTAATAAATGTTACAGGTTTGTGGAATAAATTTACAAGATAAACTTGGTGAAACTGTGTCTTCATATACAAATCTTGGTCCAATTTCAAATTATTTTGTTGAAAGATTTGGTTTTGCTGAAGACTGCGGAATCATTGCTTTTACGGGTGATAACCCTGCTTCATTGATAGGTATTATTGACATTCATCTTTTCCATCAATTTAACTTAATTTAAGTAATAGCAAACAATCGAATTCATTTTCTACAAAGCTATAAATTTTAACAAACGTCAATGTAAAGCTTTCACATCTATAAACCATCAATATTATCAGAAAAAAAAAAATTTTTTTTTCATTAATAAATTTTTCTACGTATTTAAGGGATGAGACTGAAGAAGGGTGACTTAGCCTGTAGCCTAGGAACAAGCGATACTTTATTTTTATGGTTGGATGCTCCAAAAACCCTTACTGAGGGTCACGTTTTATGTAATCCGATTGATGGCGATGCGTACATGGCGATGTTATGGTAAGTCAATAAAATATTCATAGGATTATCTGCCTACATCTCTGAATAAATAACAGTAAATAATACGAATGGTATTACGTATTATTTTTATAGTTTCAAGAATGGTTCGTTCACTCGTGAAAGAATAAGAGACACTGCTGCCGGTGGTTCATGGCAGATATTCAACGAATTACTAGATAGCACTCCGCGAGGTAATTTTGGAAACATTGCACTATATTTTGATGCTCCCGAAATTATTCCAGCATTAGTAGGAGATCACAGATTTAATAAAGCTGATGAAAGAATATCAAGATATAGCTCTAAAGAAGTAGAAGTAAGAGCTCTTATTGAAGGACAATTTTTGGCTAAAAGAGCTTATGCAGAAGATTTTGGATTTGTTGTTGGTTTGTAAAAAAAAATTTAATAAAAATAATATCAATACATTGTTTTCCAGAAAATTAGTAAAAGATTTGATTACAGGGTCAAACACTCGTATCATTGCTACTGGTGGAACATCATCAAATAAAACTGTTCTTCAAGTTCTATCTGATGTATTCAATGCACCAGTTTACACTTTTGTATGTTAACAAATTTATTATATAACTCACTTTCATGATTCATTAATTTACTTATTTGTTCACTATTTATAAAATATAAACCGTTGTTTAGGAAATGACAAATTCTGCTTTATTGGGAGCAGCATATCAAGCCAAGCATGCCCTCCATCGAGAAAATAATAATTTTGAAGAAATAACAAGTATCATTCCAGAGCCTAAACTTGCCTGTAAACCGTTCAGTGATGCTGAATCAGTAAGTTTTTAAATAGATTATTACTAAGTTGTTATTGGCATTCTATAATTTTTTTTTAATCATATCTAACTTTTTTTGTAGATATATCGGCCGATGTTGGCACGTTATCGAAAAATTGTCGCACAACTACTGAAGCAAAATGATGATAGCTAAATTTATTTATTTATGTTAAAGAATTTATTATATATTCTTTAAACAAATGCTTAACGAAAAAAGACTTTTGTATTGTGATCCAAAGCTGAACGATAACATATCTTATGGTAGGAAAATTTTATATGATATTTGTATCATTGAAATAATAAAAGAATTTTATGAATTTCCAATGTTATGATATCGTTTGATTATTGATTTATGTTTCCTTCATTTTATTCACATTATTTTAATTAATTCCATTGTATTATTTTGCCAATTATAATTTATCATTCAAAATATTTCAATTGATTAAAGTAGGAGTAACATACCTTATTTTTTTCGTCCACCTCTTTCTTTTGGTAAAAGATTTATTACGTTACCAGACACTAAATTATAATACGCTAGGGTATTGTTATCTTTGAAGAACATTCCCTGCAAAAAATTTCAATCATTTTATGAAATAAAAGTTTTATTATAAAATAGAATTATTATTAATGATTAATAAAAAATACCTCGAATTGTAACTTCTGTTTGCCTGGTGGCATGCCAGTTTGTTCATGAATTCGTGCTTTAATAGTTGCTACAGTTTCATTAGGTTGCAATGTTATAGCCAAAGTTTGACCAGTCAATTTCCATTCAGCTTTTTCAGTCATCAATGGAACTGCAATGTTCAATTGAACAGGTCCTTTATTTCTAGCGAGGAATTGTTGCTCTGGAATAAGAGAATCTTCTGTTCGCAATTTTTTAGTTTGAGGTTCTTCTTCCATTGGGACTTCAGCTGGATGCTTCATAGCCATCTAAAAATTAAAAAAATAGTAAAAGTTATTTACAAAATTTTTTATAATCAACAAAATAATAAGACGAGGCTTACTGGAGCTGGCATTGGTGGTTGCATGGTTGGTGGTGCTGGCATAAATGGTGACATTGTTGGAGTCATTAATGGCGGAGGTCTAATAGGCGGCATTGGAGCCATCATCATCATCGGAGGTGGTTGTGGCATAGCCATAGGAGGCTGTGGCATAGCTGCCATTGTAGGAGGCATTGCCATTTGTGGTGGTGGAGGTTGAGTTGGTACAGGAATTGGTTTAGGTGCAGGAGGTTTTGGAGGGGCTTTGAGTGTAGCCTGTGGTTTAGCAGCCACTGCTGCCATATGCGTCAACTCAGCAGCACGACTTGTAACAGGTTTTGGTCCAATCTTTTCTTTCTCTTCATCTGGGAGCAATCCTTTAACCTTGTGAATTTGATGAATCTGCTCTTCAAGAGTGATATTAGCTCTTGCTGCTCTCGTAGCAGCTTCTACGCTTGATGTGTGACCATCCCATGTAACCTTATCATCCTTTTTCTTATCTTCTTCACCAATTTTTTTACCAATAGCTGTTTCTTCATCTCCAACACCGAAAATATCAGTACGCCGCTCTGCTAGTTGTTTCAAACTAGCTTCAATTGCAGTTCCTGGTGCAAATACTGTCTCTTGTGCCAATTTATCAAGGTGTTTATCCCTTTGCTCAACCCATCGAGGATCAAGAAGTCCAATCCTCATGTGCTCCTGAACTTTGCTAGCAGGAATCTTTTCTCCAGTAATTGGTGATATCAAATACTCATCTGGTGCCGCTGGCCGTGTTGTCTTAATATTATGCTGTTTAGGATCATAGCCTTTCTTAACAACAACATTTCCGGGAGTTGGTGGTAATGGCGGTGGTTGCATGACATCACGTAGACCTTTAGCATCTTTAGACTTTTGAGCATCTGTTTGCATCATTTCCTCTGTATTAGCATCATCATCACTTGAATCTTCTTCCATATCTTGTACTTGATTATTATCTTTAGCGGTTCGTTCTTTGTCGAATTCATGTCGAGTTGGCATTTCATCATCACCATCGCTTTCGATTTGCATTTCAACATCTTCACCTTCTTCAATACGCTCCTGCAAAAGTGAATTCAATTTAATAATCAACATTACATTCCAGAGACCATATTAGATAAATTATAAAACAAAGCAAGATCAATTTTACCTGCATTAAGACACGTGCTCCAACTTCGTCTGGTGTAGTTGGTGCAGGGAAGTTCCCTACTTCAAATTGTTGATAATCAACTGTTTCGACGACTACAAAATCATGCCAATCAATTTGTGCATAAGCAACGCGCTCACGTTCCAATTCTTCTTCTTCTTTACGACGTTGAGCTTCTTGATACTTTAACCATTCAGCTCGATATTTAACTTGTTCTAAAATTTTATCCATATCATAAGCTTCTTCTCGCAGCCTTGGCAATAAATCTTTTGGTGGAATTAATACTTTTGTATATTGCTCCAACAATTTGGTAAAGTATTGAAACAAAGAATGTTGTGGCCGTAGGAAATCAAATTGAAAATTACGCTGTTCACGATTCATCAAATTCGTTAAAAATTGCCGACCATTTCTGGCTACAAACTGAGCAGTCAACTTGACAATATCCCTAAAAATTTCAATTATATTAAATCAATTTAAAAAATAACATTAAAAAATTAATATTAACCAAAAAATTGTAAAGCTTACAAGTCAAGTGCTGATATCGATGGAGGATCAGCAATGAATTCAAATTCAGCTGGAGGATCTTTAGGAACGAAAGGCTGCTCAACTTGTTTAAGAATTTCTTGTTGTTTTTGGTGAGCAGAAAGATTAACTCCTTTAGCTGTTCCGAGGGTTGGCTCTTGTCCTTTTCCCTCTTTGAATTCTTTGACTTTGTGCTGATAATACGCATGATAAGGATCGCCAAAATTCAAGAAATTAAATTTAGCATTTCCCAATTCATTTTGTCGAATCCTTGACTCAAACTCAGGGCCATTTCTGGCAACAAAACTTGCAGTTTTGTCCACAATATCTATATATCTGCATAAGAAAATATATATGTATATATACCTCAAGAATAAATTATCTTACTTACAAAATTTTTTATTATTTATTTTTTTTCAAAATGAAAATAGTTAAAAAGGATACTTCTAACCTCCGGAGGAGGATAGATTATGCCGACGATGGGCTGTGATGAAGGTGCAGTATCTTCTATTTCGCTGGGCGGTAATTGTACCACCACTGCATCTTGCCCAGGCATGATTATGCCTTATTTATTACAATTATTATTTATGCACACAAAATGCACTTATAATAATAATTGATTTATTAATTATACTGCTTCAAAATACACTACAACATTGTAAGTTGAGAAGGTTAAGTCATTATCGATATTATCGATATTACCGCCTCTTGCGTTGATATTCTACACCAAAAATTCACTCGATGCGCCATCTACAGGAGCACTCGTAAATTTGTAATAATAACGAAGTTTAATCCGCGTGTAAATAAAACACGTGTTTAAATTATTTATTCATACAAATTCTGTAATATTTTATTTGTATCAAAATGGGTCGTCATAAGAGGGTAAACTAATATAAAAATGTTTAAAAAGATAAAAAATATAATTTTAATTATTACGGAAAGAAGTTGTTTTAGCATCTAACTTATTATAAGAGGTTAACTTTTAAACATTATTACAGGGAAGATGTGCGAAAAAAAATAAACAATTAAATACCGAGGAGCCTGAGGAACTTGTTCGAGCACCACATTCATTTATTATTCATCGAGGAATTCCTGGAGATCATATCGTGGAGCTTACGAAGGATTTTCGGAAAATTATGGAACCATTTACAGCATCTTCTCTGAAAGAGCGCAAACGAAATACTATCAAAGATTTTGTATCTGTTGCTGGACTTCTTCATGTCAGTCATATGTGTATATTTAGTAGAACAGAACTTGGAATGTACCTTAAAATTTGCAGGTATTATTCATTAATATCAAATGACCTTATGTCAAAATTTATCTATTCTCACTCGGTTTATTTTCCAGATTGCCACGAGGACCAACATTAACTTTCAAAGTTAAAAATTTTTGTTTAGCAAGAGATGTTATATCTTCTTTAAAGAAACAGATGGTTTTCGAAGAAGCTTTCAAACATTCTCCTTTACTAGTAATGAATAATTTTAGTGGAGAAGGAATGCAAATGAAGCTTATGGCATCAACATTTCAAAATATGTTTCCAACAATAAATTTACTAAAGGTAAACAATAATTATTTGTTCATTACATTACAATCAAGATATCATGGTTTTTTATCCGGTTTTATTATTTCCAGATAAATTTAAGTACTGTGAGACGTTGCATATGTTTAAATTATAATCAGTCTGATAAATCTATAGATCTTCGTCATTATGCTATTAAAGTTGTACCAGTTGGTCTTTCAAGAGGAGTTAAAAAATTAGTGCAAGCAAAAATACCGAATTTATCAAAATGTGAAGACTTTTCAGACTTCCTATCGAAAGCTACATTATCAGAAAGTGAAGCTGAAGATGATCCTGACAGTCATGTTACGTTACCTCAAAAATTATCGTCTCGAGGAAACCACGAGAAAGGAACTAGTGCGATAAGACTTTATGAGCTTGGACCAAGAATAACAATGCAGGTAAAAATAAAGATTATTTTTTATTTAACCGAGGTAAAATTGTATTTTTCCATTAAAAAAATAATTATTGGCTATACTTTCATGTAAAATTTTCAGCTGATCAAAGTTGAAGAAGGCTTACTGGATGGCGATGTACTATACCATGAGTTAATCCATAAATCTGAAGAAGAAATACTTCTTATAAAGAAGCTGCGAGAGAAGAAGAAAAAATTAAAAGAGAAAAGAAAAGCTGTCCAAGAAGAAAATAAACGAAAGAAAGAAGAAAAAAAAGAAGAGCATAAAGAAAAATCTTTACAAGGAATAAAAAAGAAAAGAGAAAGCGATATGCTAATGCAAAAATTGGCGAAAGAATCTTACGAAGAAACAAAGGAAGAAGAAGATGACGATGAACAATACTATCGAGATGAAGTTGGAGAAGAACCTGACAAAGGTAATTTTAATATTACTTATTAGACATTAGTTATTATCATCTTTACTCATATTCTTAATCTCTTTTTTTCAGATCTTTTCCAAGGAAGTTCAACGAAAAAAAGAAAATCTTTTGAGCCACGCCATAAATCTAAAGTTAAAAAAGTTAAATTTAATAAAAATACAAAAAAATAAAAAAAATTGTCTTTAACGCTCAATGTAAATATAATTAATGTATTAAATAATTATGGTACAAAAATCATTTTATTGTCATTCATTTATAAAACCTCTTGTATAGTATATTTTCGTTAATTACTTACGATCGGAAAAATATTTAAAAAATATACTTAAAATTAATTATAGAAGTAATATATTATTATTGGATATCAAAATTAAAAAATAGGACGTCGAAGTTAATTATGCCAATATCGATGTGGAATCAATTGAGATTGTCCTAATACGTTGGAAGGTACGTTTTCCTTCATAGAGCTGTATTAAATTTAAAAAAGTATTATTATTGACTTATTCATAGCATATGTAGTTTTTCGTGTTTTGAAATTGTTTAAAAGATTATGGACGTGAGAAAAGAAGGAAAAGCTAGTAAAGGTGAAAAAAAGTATAAAAAGAATTGGGTTCATGCAATTTATTGATCACGAATCACTAAATATAATAAATAATCATTAAAAAATTGGTTATCGTGATCGTATTGATGATCGTTAATTAATTTACAAAAAATATTCAAAGAAATCGAGATACTTTTGCATTAACCCAATAAAGTATACATATATATTGAAAAATAACGGCGAAATCCAACATAATAAGAAAGAAGAATATGATTATAAATTTGTAAATAAATCTTTTAATAAATTAATTAATCATAATAAAGCACTTATTAATCAATAATTCATTTGTCTATCCCATGCAATTTTAGGACTATATTTTTAGCTTACAAGAAAATAACAAAGAATCAGAAAAACACCATGCATTATTGTCTTAAGTCAAGAATTAAAGTAGGAAATATAATCTCACTTGTCTTGATTTCTTAATAATCGATGTCCACTTGATGATGGCGTTTTCAATTCATTCATTTGTTCAAACTCGTTTATTTTCTTTTTAAGTTCACGTATTTGCTCCAGCCGACTTATGCTGAGTATTTTTAATACTTCTTTTTCTTTTTTTAACTTTTTGATGAGAGAATCTTTTTGTACGTCTTTAACATAATTCTAAAAAATGTAATATCGAATTTAAATAGCGAAAACAAAAAAGTAATTTTTATTACTAAGTTATTTTTGTACCTGAACTACTCCACTTGTACTTTCTCCATTCATCCAAATAGTTTTCTTCTCCTCATCAGTTTGAACTCCTTGATCAGATCGATTAGTATGCCATGATTTACATCTTTCACAGATTGATGACGTTGATTCAAGAACTAATATTCGATTTGCTAATTGACGGTTTTTAGTCTTATATGACTGTAAAGCCTCTTCTAGTTTTACACACTCTTTTTTATACGGAAAAGCATTGCCCTCTAATTCCAATTTCAAGGACTCTATTTTTGCATTTTTTAATACTAAATCTCTTTCTAAATTTACTATTGTTTTCCTTAGATTTTCACACTCACATGGTTGTCTATTGCTTTCAGTTTCGTTAATATAATCTAGATTTCGATTCTGATTAAAAAGGTCACTTCTATGTTGTTTTGATCGACTAGATGTATTAGGACTATCGTTTTTAGAAGTTTCACCAAGTTTTTCAAGCTTACTTTTATACAATTTTTCTCTATCTTCATGTTCGAAGACTTTTTTAAGGAGTTCACCATTTTCTTCGTCCATTTCTCGAATTTTTTTCACCATGTCATCCATTTCCTCATCCAGATCTTTATTTTTTTCTTTAAGTTCTTCATTTTCGACAGTTAATTGTTGAACTATATTATTCAGTTGATTGACCGTCAAACGTTTCTCTTCTAATTCTAGAGCAATTTTATTTTTTTCTAAAACTAGATAATCGTATTTCGAACGAAAATCAAGAGCTTCAGGACTAGTGAATTTGATTTGGTAATTTTCTATTATGCTTTTTAAATTTTTATTATCTTGACAGGATAAATGATATTGTCCTTGTAATTCTACAAATTCTTTTAATAAATCTGCTTTATTTTTTTGTAATTCAGTTATTCGATTACTTGCACCTTCCAGCTTCTTCGCAAGATCTCGATTTTCATCTTTTAGTTCTTCTATATTGCGTTCGACAGTCACTTTACTTGTACTATTTCTCATTTTTTTAACAAGCTTATCATTCTGTAGTTCCAATTCTTTGCATTTTTCTTTTAAAGCTTCCAAGTCCATCTGTATCATTGTATTTCTATTAGTTATATCATTTAATTGTTTAGTTAGGCCAGCCGACTTTATCTGTTCAGAACTTAATTCATCCTTTAAAGTAGATATTTGTTTCATATTTTCATCTTTTAAATTCTCAATTTCAGTCTTGTAACTTTCTAAACGTAATTGTCTCTCTTCAGTCTGTATTTTTAATGTCTCATACTCAGGAATGATAGTCTCTAATTTAGTCTTGTATTCCGACATTTTATCACACTTGACTTTAAGAAGACCAGTAATTTCCTCAATCTTACAACTCTTAGCTTGATTGTCTTCATTTGATTGATTAAACAATTCTTTAAGATTCTCAAGTTCTTTTTGTAATCGCTGAATTGTTCTATTTACTGTATTTAATTCACTAGTCTTTAAATCTATGATGGATTTCAATTGGTGTTCATTGGCCTCCAAGCCCTCTAAGTTATTTTTCAACTCTTTATTTTCTGTTTTTAACTGTCCAACAGTATTTACAAGCTCTTCTATCTTTCGTTTATACTCTTTAACAGCTTGATCCATTTTTATTTGGTATTCTGCTTTGAAATTTTCAATCGCATCTTGAACAAATTTTTCTTTTTCTTGTGATATAAATTGAGAATCTCTATGTTTTAAATTTTTCTCCAAGTCATTTTGTAAAAGATTAAAGTCGCTCTCCATTGTCACCATTTTATTTTTTAATAACTGTTTCTCATGATCAGCGTCCATTATAGAATTTTCTAAAGTTACTATTTGAGCTTTCAATAATGAATTTTTAGCTTCTTCTTTACTCAAATCACTTTGTAATTTTTCAATTTCAGCCTCTAACTCTTTAATCCAAGCATTCAATCGTTTTTCTGTATCAAGTAACTGTTTTTTTTCTTCGTCAATTTGATTCTTTTCTTTTTCGAAACGTCGATGAAGAGTTTTAACTACTTCTTGTTCTTTGGACAGCAACGTTTTTACAAAAAGACAAAAAACTTCACAAACAGATTGTTGTTCTAATTTTGAAGAATCTAAATTAGCTTCTAATGATTGAAGTTCTTTCATTATTCTAGCACGAAGAGCATTAAGCTCTTCTATAACTGGATTTTTTGATTCTGCCACGAAGCTTTCATCACAGACCTCCATTCTATAATCAGTTTCATTTAAGTCAACCTTACTTTGCATTTGGAGTTTTGTAATTTCATTAGAAAGATCGAGATTTTCTTTAGTATAATGAGTTAGTTGCTCTTTTAATGTTTCAACAGATGATTCTAAGTTCTCCACTTTTAATTTATACTGTTTAAGATTTTCAGTTAATAGAGAAACTTCTTCCGGATCAACAGTTAACTTTGATTTCATTATATCCAATTCTGATTTTAGAATATTCTTAGTGTCTTCAGAGTACTGGAGAGAATTTTTTAGTTCTTGAACTTGAGCTTCCAGGTTTGCTATTTCTTGTTTATATTCATGAAAATCAACCACTTCTTCTTTTTCATGAGATTTCAAATTTTTTAATTCGACTTCCAATGATTCATGACTCTCTTTAATTTTAATTAAGCTTTGAGTTAATTCGTTAACGGTTTCTTTGTACTTTTTATTTTCGTTTTTATGATTTTCAATTTGTTTTTCAAACACTTCTTTAAGTTCATAAAGATCTCTGTTTTCTGCATTCACTTGATCTAATTGATCTTTTAACGTTCTTACTTGCTCTCGAAGAGATTCTACTTCTTTTTGGATTTCATTTGAACGAGCCTCTGTATTTTCAAGTTTCTCTTCTAATGATTTCTTCTCTGCTTTCAAACAATCTACTTCATTTTGTGAAACAGGTTTTTTATTCTTCATTTTTTGTAGATCCGCATCAATTCTATTGAGACTTTCATTAAAGTGCTGGTATTCGTCTCTGAATTTTTCTAGAGCTTTTTCAATTTTTTCTAACTTAGCATTTTTATTGGAAATATTGGCTCTTTCAGGAGTCATAGTCAGAAACGACTCCAATAAATTACTATCACGACATTCATTAAGCTCATTAAATTTGTCTTTGCAAGTTAGTGACAGACTCTGACATTTTTCTCGAAGGTTCTCTAAATCTGTTTGCATTTTCTGAACTTGCTGTTCAGCATCGACTTCTTCAACTCCTTCAAAGTAACTATTATTAAAGTATGATTGGTTAACAGTAACGTTCATATCTTCATCAGCTTTATTTTTTAATCTCTCGCCATTAGCACGTTCAAGCTCAAAGTTTTCTTTATAATTTTGTAATCTTTTATTGACCGATTTAATTTCACGTTTCAAAGTCAGACGTGTTTCGTTAAGTGCTGCTAAATGAATACACTGTTTACAGGAATTAAGATGTAAATTACTCAATTTTAAATTCAATGCCTTTAATTCATTAATTTCATCTTGTAACTTGCGAATTTTTTGATGGAGAATTTCATTTTCGTCGTACTGAGTAATAATATCATGAAGAGACTTTTCTAGAACTAAAGAAGAGTTGGAATTAATTTTAATATTTTTATCACCAATTAAAGACGTATTCGAGGTATTCATTTTCTCACGCATAGAATTTTCTAATGTTTTGGACTTTTCGAGCTCATTTTCAACCTCTTTTTGTATTTCATCGCTAACATTATTCTTCAAAGCTTTTGTTAAAATTTCTACTTCTTCAATCCTTTCGATTAAGTTCTGTGATAATGCATCATTTTCTCGTTCAAGTATGGTATTTTTCTCAATAAAATAATCAATTCTTTCACGGTATTTACATTCATGATCATATTGAAGAGATTTGCTTAATCTGATGTTTTCTAGCTCTTCAATTTTTTCCATTAAATTAGAAGACAAAGACTCATTTTCTTTGGTTAAATTTCGCAACTTTTCTTCATATTTTTTAATTATTTCTTCCATTTTATTTAATTTTTCTTCATCAAGATATGGCCTAACGTCTTTATTTTCCAGCTTTTCTTTCAATTCAAGGATATTATTTTCTTGACTTTGCTTTTCATTCTCAAGATTTCTTATCTGTATTTTCAAGTCTTCTTCTAATTTTTTAAATTTATTCTGAATTTCATCAGCATGTACTCTTTCCTCAGCTAATCTCTTCCCCATGTCTGCATTCTCATTCGTTAATGAAAGAACAGTTTTCTGCAACTCGTGTATTCCAGATTTTAAAGCACCAACATCATGACTAATTTCATCAGTTTCACGGATTTTCGATTGTAAATTACTTCTTAACTTGTCGTTTTCCTCTCTCAATGTTTTACTCATTTGATACAATTCATTGACAAGTATATTTAACTTTTTATAATCTTTAATCTCTGTTAGATTATTAATTATTTCAGCGTAAGTATAATTGAGAGGATTTTTCGTTTCTTCGAATTCAATTTTGACATCAGATACAAGAGTATTGTTAGCATTACTTTGATTTATTGTTATATCTTGAAGTAGCATTGAATCAGTTGTATCACCTGGAACTACGGATATATCTGTCATATTATCAAAATAACTGCCATTAGCAAAAATACTGCTAGTTTCAAGTTCTGTTGAATTTTGCTTTAAACACTGGTTAATTTCTTCATGACTATTGGCCACATGATTCGAAAGTTCGAGAATATTTAATGGTTTTACTTCTGAAATTCGAGAAGTGTATTTGGAATCACTCAATGTCAAAATTTGATTGTTATCAGCCTGTTTAATTTCCTGAGCACTTACTACATCTGAAATCTGCTGGTTTGAGGACTCGAAATCACTTGCCAGAAGCTCATTCTTAACTTCCGTGTTTTTCATCATCAGTAATTTATTCATTTCTTCTTTTTCATTTTTCAGATCTTTGTTTTCATCTTGAAGAGCTTTTACGATATTTTGCATTTCAGTTAGTTCTTCATTATTCTTTGAATCTATAAGCTGTTGTTTTAGTGTTTCAAGTTCATTAAGTAAAGATTTTTTTTCAGTTTCAATTGTTGTTAATGAAGCCGAAATTTTTTCCATCTCTTCTTTCAAATTATCATTTTCACTTGTTATTTTTTTCATAAAACATTCCATTTCTGCTATGTAAATATTAAGATTCTTTATCTCACCAGGATAATTATGAGACTGGAATTCTTCAAGTTCTAAAATTTTTTCATTGAGCTGCCTACGCAATTCGGTTATCGTATCTTCATGAGCTTCCTTTTCCGCTGCAACGTAAGATAAATGAGTTTCTAATTTGATCAATTTTTGGAGTTGATCATCTTTATCTTTAATTATCAATTGCAACGAAGTTTTTTCGCCCTCATATAAAGTTTTTTCACTCTGCATAGCAGCTAATTGGTCTCTTAATTTATCATTCAGTATCTGGAGCTCATTAATATTCTCTTGTAATGATGAAAATTCATGCGTCTTTTCTTCTAATAATTTTTCCAATCTTATGATCTCAATTTTTTGTTCTTCAACCATATTCTTTAATAAATCTGGTTGGTTTTGATCCGTAATTGACTTAGAATCTGCGTCTAACAAATCATTATGACTATTATTTCTTGAAATAGCAATGTCACTCAATGCTGGAAGAAATTCTTCACTATCAATTGTCGTGCTAACTTTATCCATAACACTATCGTTTTCATCTATACGCTTTTTCATTTCTAAAATTTCTCTTGTTCTCTCGTTTAACTCTAATTGAAGTTTTTCTGTACTAATTTTTAAATCTTCAACAAAATTTTCACTTATTGTAAGTTTTTTGGTTGTTTCTTCAAGTTTTTGAGTCAATTCAAGATTTCTGTTCACCTCTGCTTCATTTTCTGCTATCTTATTTACGATAACGTCTTCAAGTTCTTTTATTTGTTTCTCATATTTTTCTACTGATAGTGTATTATTTAAAGATGCTACTTTTTCTTCCAGTACACGAAGGGCTGACTGAAGATGAACTACATCAGTTAATTTTTTCTTTTCTTCAGGATCGATAAAATCATTCCATGCAAGATTTAATGACATTTCTAATTCTTTTTCTCGATTCTTGTGTTTTTCTTTTAGACATTCCACTTCGTATTCATGAGAAGCTGCTTCATCTTGAAGATTTTTTAATTTTTTCAACGCTTCGTTCATTTTATTTTTATAATCATTTTTTTCAGATTCTAATGACTCGAATTTATCACGAATAACAATCAAAGATTGATTTTCTTCTAATAATTTTGCACGTTCATTTTGTATTTCTTCATACTTGGACTGAAGAATTGTGTGCTCACTTTGAAGTTGAGCATATTTTTTACAGGCATCTAAGCACATTAATTCACTATCCTCCAAAGATTTTTTTATGTATTCTATATCATCTAGATTTTGGGATGACTGTAAAATTGAAAAAATATTACAATAAATCTCCTTATAAATAATCTTTTTAATATTACTAAATCATTTGTCATTATAGAAATTAGTAATATATGATTTTTCACTTACATTAGTAGTTGATAAATTATTCTGATATGTTTGTTTTTCTAAAAGAGTGAATTCACGAAGAGCATTATATTCAGACTGTAAGTTTTCTAATTTTTCACGTAATATAACCTTTGGAGTACCAGGAGATCTATAACAATAAAAACAGTCTGTATAAATATTAATTTAACACATTTTAAAAGTGGAAGGGGACAAAGTCAACTCATAATTTTCAAGGTTGCTTTATCAGTTCGAGATAATCAAAATAAAAGTTAAAAAATTATTAATTAAATTTATGTAATTACCTTGCACACCGACACTTCTCTTGAGGTATTTGTAAATTTTTTTCTGGAGTTACCTCGAGATCAAATGAATCATCAACGGGAGATAGTAATTCATTACGATTTTCTCGAACTGTTAATGATGGAGGCAAAAATCCGTCATCACTAAGTGAAGATAAACGATTTTTTTCCTGTTGATCTTTTATTAACTGCAACTCGAAATCTGGTAATTCTGTTTTAAAAACTTAAGAAATATATTTTTATTAGCTTACATGATGATGAAGATGAAATATTTATTCACAAAATTTGTAATAAAATATTATAAGAAGTAATCATACCATCATTTAGTTCTAAATCCATAAGAGATTGTTCATGTTTTGTGTTTAAATTTAATTTCTCTACATGTTCATCTATAGTTGGAAGAATAAAATTGTGTGATTTATTTAAAGAAATTTTATCAGATTGTCCACCAGCCCATGTACGTCTTCGACGAGTTTCTTTTAAACATGGAGCTGAAGCCATAGATGACCATAAATTATTAATACGCATTCTTAGAATTTCTTCCCTATACTGATCTTCTCTTTTTTTTGCTCCTTCAATTTGTGAATTTTTGGAGTTCAATTCATTTTGAAGTTTAAGAACTTGACGCATTACTTTTTTCAATAATGCCTTGTCTGAAATTACTTCGTTAACTTGAGGCTTATTCTTTACTCCTTTGGCTCTCACAGCAAAGTCTAGAGTACATTGTGTTTCATCAAGAGCGGCAGGTGTTACTGTACAAATAATAGTAGTCAAAGCATTTCCACCAAGTGATGGTTGTAAAATTCTAGTAAGTTTACTGTCACGATAATTTATAAATTTAGAACAACTACTAGTCTCACTAAGTTGTTTAATAACTAAAGATAGCGTTGATAGAGATAAGTTTATATGTCGTCCTTCATTAAAACGTTCTCCTGTAGCTCCTGTTAATCGAGCTCTCTCAGAACCAGCAAGATCTATTAGATTAAGTTGAGCTTCCATTTGTGCTTTGTCTGCATCATTTTTGTCACAACTTTCAATAATAATACGGAATATTGTGTGACTTCTACTGCTGCGTTCATTCATATTCGTTTCTCCTATTCTTTTAACTTTTTCACCTCTTTTCATAGCAAGATAAATACTCTCAGGAGAATTTGCTACTTCTTCCTTACAATCTACAGTGATATGTCCCTGAAAATCTTCTTTAACTTTTAAGTCAGTTCTATTTCTGTCAAGTAAATCATTAATTTTTTCATTATATATTTCTATGTACGAAACTCGTAATAAGTAATTTCTTGTCAAATCGGTTCGAATAAAATTAAAAATATAGTCAACAGTCAATCTGATAACTCCTTTTTCATCATTAGATCCTAACATTGTATAAGTTTTGCCAGATCCGGTTTGACCATAAGTAAAGATAGTCCCATTGATTCCATTCATTGCAGCTTCAACAATAGGTTTTGCAGTTGCATTAAATACTTCTTCATTCGTGTTATGCATGCCAAATATGTAATCTGTAAATGTATTAATTAGTGGTAGTCTTTAAAATAAAAACATACAATCTTAACCTAAAGATGGTTTTTAATTTAAAAATGTATTCATAAATTTAAATTAAACTGAGATGTAATAAAAGATAACCTACCAAAATGAAATTGTGTTTCACTGCGTTTCTGTGTTTCGGGGTCTATTTGGGAAATAGAGTTACCCTCCACTGTCCATTGAATTGGAAGCCGTTCATCTTCTTCTCTTTTAATCAAAGGACGAACTTTAATAGCAACTTTGATGTTGTCCGACATGATGAATTATTCTTGTGATATCAGCTTCAATATGTATATTTTAACTTTATGTTAAATTGATATATATAAATTAAATATGTAAAAAAAATTATAAATATAAATTTAACAAGAATCTTTATAAAAACATCTCAAATTCACATCACTTTTATTTGTCCACAATTAACCAAGCCGGCCTAACCGCCCAAACCAACTGACTGTTGACAAATGACGCGATTACATTTTACGTTTGAATTCAAATTTCTTTTATTTGATTGGTCAATCGACACGTTGTTTTCGAGTGACCTCTACAGTTTTTTGTATTGACTACATTCTACCAAAGAGTTGATTGGTCGGTTTGCTGCACTACATTATCAACACCCACAATTTTTTAGAGTAAATATACACTTTTTTCAGGTTAAGTCTAAGTTTAAATGGTTTAAATCAGTAAACATTACAGGAATTCATCAATTTATTTATAGATAATTATCTTAACAGTAGTTCTAATATACATTTTTATCAATAAATCATGTAAGTATCGCCACTATTTTTTTTTATATAAAATCATTTTATATATTTGGAGCATATATTTCTATTATGTATGCAGCATCAACTTCAACTGGTTTCAAAATTGATTAAAAATGAAGTTCAGATAAATATAATACGATAAAAATTTTAAAAACTGATGGCGAAATTTTATTTAAATGGTATTGCTCAAAAAGCGTTCTTCTGTGTTAAAAATGTAAAAAAAATCCATTCACGCTCCAATTGTACTTTACCTAAATCAAAAGGTTTAGAATGCCTAAAAAATAGAAGTTTGCTCCAGATAAAAGGCAACGAAACATCCGAGTTCCTTCAGGGTTTAATTACTAATGATATGAGACATTTTAATGATGGTATAGCTGATATTTATGCTTTATTTTTGAATACCAAGGGTAGAGTATTGTACGATACTATTATATACAAAGGATATGACCATGAAACCTATTATATTGAATGTGATTCTGAAATAATTAATGCATTGCAAAAACACCTGACAATTTACAAAATACGTCGAAAAATAGAAATTCAGTCAATGGTTGATAAAATGAAAATCTGGGCTGTATTCGACAATAATTTAACAACTAATGAAATCGCATCTAAAAGTAAACACAGAAAAACAAGATTAGAAGGTCAAATATTTCCTTGTGGTTCACTCAATCAAAATTCTAGTGTGTCTATTGATGATGTTGTAATTTATGAAGATCCAAGAATTCCTGAGCACAGTTTCAGAGTTTTAAGCAATATTAATATAACTGAAGATGAAATATTGCAAAAACTGGAGCCTAGAATTCTTTTAGATAAACAAGATTTAAGTTATCGACAATTTCGATATCAACTAGGTATAGGTGAAGGAATACAAGACTTACCTCCAGGAAAATCATTTCCTTTAGAAATAAATAGTGATTATTTACATGGTGTTAGTTTTCATAAAGGATGTTATATTGGTCAGGAATTAACTGCTCGTACTTATCACACTGGAGTAGTAAGGAAACGGCTCATGCCTCTGATATTCGAGGAGGTTCAGAATAATTTCAATTATGATGAAAATATTGTTGACAATAATGGTAAAACTGTCGGGAAATTCCGGGGAGTTGAAGGAAAATATGGACTAGGTTTGATGAGAGTGTCAGAAACTATTAATGCTCAAAGTTTAAAGATATTAAATAAATCTTTACAAGTCATAAAACCATGCTGGTGGCCAGTTGAAAGTCAAAAAGAAAAAATAAAAGTCGATGATGTAAAATAGTAAAACATAATTTTAAGAATAAAAAAGTTGTATTTAACTTGAATTATTAAAATAAATGTGAATAAGATAAATTATACATTAACATGTTGATTTTGAAATTATTATTAGTTTATAATTTTTTTCCTTATCTTTAGGAGCGAAGATGTTGCCAGCTCATCAACGAATATCACTAATAACGAAATGGATGGAGCTGTTGTTACAGATAGTATTGAAACAAAACGTGAACAAAAAAGCACTTTTCAATGTTCTTTTTGTTCATTAACAGAAAAATATGATTATAAAGGATCTAAACCGCCCTTTGGAAAAGACGTTTCTTACGAAGAAGATTGTTATATTATGAAAGATCCTTTTAGTATTCCTAAAAAGGGTGAAGTTCTAGTAATTGGCGGCGATTGTTCAAGTTGTAATAAACCTGTTTGTTTAAGCTGCAGTATTTTTTATACTAAAAGGTTCTGTCGAAAATGCGCTACTGACAATATAATAAATTTTCCACGTCAACTACATTTAAAAATAAAGAATTTCGCAAAAGATCCAAAAGAGTCATAATTCATTGGATCGAAGTTCGAACATTGATCTTAATTCAAAAATGTAAAGAATTAGTTAATAGTAATGAATAATGAACTTATATACATTCACTAATATTTTTTTAAGTTATTTTTGTGAAAATGACAGTAATAAAAACAAGATTAACGTCAATATGACATTGAACATGAGATAACGTTTTTAAAATTTACAATCAACTATCTTACATGTCTACTGTGGTTTTTTAGGCTTTGATAATAATTTTCCTGCCATAACTTTCTTCTTCTTTTCAAATTTATTACCTCTCTTTACTTTTATCTTTGTACTTGCTGTTTGACCTTGGAATGAATCGTCACTTCTGTTCAATTGTTGACTAGGACTTTTAGGTTTTTTCTCCTTTTTCTTGGATTTCATTGCGTTGCCATTATTCTCAGCCTTCAATAAATAAAAAATTAAGTCAATATGTTACATAATTTTAAATAAAAAACAAATAAATAAATACTTACATTAGATTGATTGTCCATTTTAGGCTTCTTGGATCCAGAATTTTGATATTGTTTGAAAGGGCGTTTTTGACCACTATTCTGATTTTTCTTCGGTGAGGGCTGATTATAACGCGTTACGCGTATCTCACGCTTGTTTAATTTAAAACCATTAAGATCTAAAGCTAAAGTTGCTGCATCTTCATGTTTGAAATTTATATAACCAGAACCTCTACATGCACCAGTTGCACGATCTCTATTTGTTTTTACGGATTCAATTTCTCCACATTTTTTAAAAGTATTCCATAAATCGTTATCTTCAGTATCTGAAAATAAATGTATAATAATTAATATTTTCAACATAAAATGCAAATTATTTTTGAAATTATAAAACTTACCAAAAGGTAAATTGCCTAGAAATACTGCTTTTTTTGGATCGATATCTTTGTGCCGATTTACTCGATCTACTCTCAAGTAATTACCATCAAACTGTTTACCATTCATTTCTAAAGCTTTCAAAACTGAGTCTTCAGATTCATATACAATAAAGACGCAAACAGTTTTAGATTTAGGATGAAATTTCTTCGTAATAGCTGCTTCTCGATATGTCATGTTTGGTGATTCAGGTACAACTCCTCTTATGCGAAGACTTTCAATGGGACCGAACTTTACGAATTCTGCTTTAAGGCGAGATTCTTTGACATCTTTCGGAACATTACCAATGAAAATTGATCTATCATCCAATTTCTTTTTTTCAGCAGGACTTAACATGATTCTTTCTTGTTTTGATGGAGATGATGGAGTCGATGAGTTATTGCTCTGCATACTACTATTGAGCGAGTTGTTTTCTTCTTCATCACTATCATCAAGATCCTCGTCGTCATCATCATCTTCATCTTCTTCACCTTCAAAGTCCTCATCATCATCATCGTCATCTAAACTTTGACCAATAAGAACTTTTAATCCTGGGCCATCATCATCATCATCGTCGTCATCATCATCATCATCGTCGTCTTCGTCATCATCTTCATCTGAATCAGTTTCCACTTTACTTGAATTTGCACGTATATCAAAATCTTCATCTTCCTCATCTTCATCATCGTCGTCGTCGTCATCATCATCATCATCATCATCGTCGTCGTCATCATCATCATCATCACTTGCTTTTGTTTTTTGTTTTTTATCTGATTTTATTCCTTTGAACATTTTTACGCCTTTCTTTTCCCCTGGAGTTTCATCTTCACTTTCAACATCAAAGTCATCATCATCTTCATCAGTATCATCGGCTAAACTTTCTCCAAAAATATTGGGAGTTGAATCATCTTGAGATGAGACTTCACTGTCGTCGTCGTCGTCGTCATCATCATCATCATCTTCAACCATACTCGCAGTCATAGCTATTCCTTCATTAATATCATCGTCTGATTCTTCTTCGTTTTCCTCTTCTACTTTTTTAGCTGTTTTATTTTTTTTCTTTAAAGCTTTTTTCTGATTAGGTGACTGTGATTTTGGACTGTTGTTTTTTGATTTATTAGCAAAGTTGAGTTGCTTTTTTTTAGATTGTTGTTGTGGAGATTGTTGACTAACATTTTTTTTAGCATTTGCATTACCATTTTTTTTATTATGAACAAGTGGTACTTTTCCTTGAGGAGTTTGCTTGAATTTTGCATCTTTACTTTTTTTTTTGATTTGTCCTTCTTGAATAGCTTTAGCTTTCTTGGGCTTACCCGCCTTTATTGAGCCTTTGGGTATCGCCATGATGGATAAATTTCAGTTTAACTGCCATTTTAAAAAAGAAAAAAAAGTTATTTAAATTAGTTCTTTCTTAAACTAATATAACTTGATCAATCAAACTTTTAACATTAACTTTTTTTGTTAAATAATTCAGATAAAATTTCAAATTTGTTAACGTATTTTTGGAAGGGCCACGTGTAGAACACTGTTTATTTTCTATATATTGTATTACTTACTCAATAATTACACAAATTAACAATATAAAATATTACCAAAAAGTTTAACAAACAAAATATTATACATTTATCTCTTACCTGTATTGTCCAGAAAATAAAATCAATTACGTTTTCTGAATGTCGCGTCTACTTGACTGATATCTTTGAACAGTTTGCTGTATATAATGTGTAGTGGTTTATGCCGCACTTCTCTTTCAGCACAACAACCGGAAAATGTGTAACGACTATGCGACTACTTTAGTTTTTGTAGATGATATTTATGTTTTTTTTCTTGAAATCTTATTAAAATATTTGTTTTCATATTTAAAAAAAATGTTTATTCAAAATAAAATTCATCGTTTTTAATTGTATCTATATAATTATGTAAATTATTGTAAAATATTTATAATTTGATTCAATTTTTTACACGATACAACGTGCCGGAAACAGATTACCGGGTGACATTTTAAAATTATTTCCGACAGATGACTCTAGTAGTTATTTCGCAATTGCGACGCAATTTATCGTATTGAAATAAAGTAAATTTCGTTTTTACCTAAAACATAAATTGAGACAAATTTATTTACGCGTTCCGCTGTCAGTGAGTGATTGTAAAAGGATAATTATCAAATCAAGGATAATTTTATAATGAATTTTATGTAATAAGTTAGTTTTATTGTCGAAGAATTCTATGATAGTAAAAATTTTTTATGTCATGCAATAAATCAAGTAAAATCATTCAAAGACGACTATCTGTTTACGTATAATAGCTTTCAACAGTGCAATTTTTTTCGGATTTTACTTTCATTTGATTTGAAAGTAGACACATGCCTACACATCCGCCTTTTTTCATAATAATGAACAAATCAAGCTACTGGTTAGTGTTAGTATCTTAAGCAACATGACGAGTGATGGTCAACCAACTAATAATAATTACAGTACTTTTAAATAGCTCATTATATCTGCTTTTTATATAATTTTTTTATTCAGTGATTTTTACAATTTAAAAAATATTCACGCACCGAAAATACTGCAATTTAACTTTTTAATTATTATTACTGTATTGTGGACAATCTATTGTTTTTAAGTGAGTTAAATCTCAAAAGTTAAGTGTTTGAATAGTTTTCTCATTACTCTACAGCAACAGGCAAGAAATTAACTGGAAAAGTTTTATGGATTATCAATTGAACGATACTTGACATCTTAAGTACTGTTTAGAACAGTTATGTTGCACGGTCAGTACATTTTAATTTTTATTTTTATTGACTCACAGATTTATGTAAGAATTTATTGTACAACTAAGAAAATTATATCAATATGTAGGTTTGCTGGAAAGATTGTCAAGCACGTTCCACTAACCAAGAGATTACACGTACCAAGTAAGTATCTTCCTCAGTACTTTACCATGATCGTAAATGCTAGTATGTCATTCGTGTTCTCATAGCTATGTAAAATCCAGAAGTGCTCTTGATCATCAATTTTCTTAGTAGAACGATCTAAAATGTTCACTCCATGTAGATATATGTACAGGTATGTCTTTAAATTATTATATAATATCGAGACAACTACACTCAGGCTTTAGAACGACCTGATATTATGATGATCTGCTATAATATGTAATATATTGCTTGTACCTAGAAGGTATTCAAGCTATTCACTAAATTACATGGTGAGTGATGCATGACTGAGCATAATTACCCGTGAAATATTTTGTTAATATTATTATCAATTACAATGATGGAAAGGTTGATTGTTTATGATGAACAAACTTGAAAGAAGATAAAAATAATCAAAATAAGACTGTAATGAGTGTATATACATAGAAAACTGTCAGTATAAAAATCGCGTGCATGTCTATCATTCTTTTCTTCTAAGTTCTTTGGGATGTTCATCACTGGTAAAGCTTTTCACACCCGTCGAAGCGAACAACCCATTTCAACCAAGCCAACATGAGGCTTAATCCTGACGTCCAGCCAAGCTCAAAAAACATTGCTAACGCCTCGTGGTATTCATCAACGACAAAAAAGAACTGCATTGTTGTAAGCTGGCGGCCGTCTTAGTGCCCTTCTCACCTGTTGCTAGAAAATTCTTGGAGGCTGTCATCTTTGTCATGAACATGATGTCATGTTAAATAGCTGGACTCTAACACAGACATTTTCAGATAAGAAAAAAGATTCTCAAGTGTTGAAATAATTTAGAATCCAATTTTACAGGTTAAATAGGGTTTTTGAACCTTTCACCTCGAAGAAAATAGACTTATTGATTTTCTATATATATATTTGAAGATTACACTCATACGATTTCACAACTAATATTCTACACTTCTATAATCATTAATTTTTAAGAAAATATTGATTTTATAATTTCTTTTTTTTGAAAATCGTTGTTTCTTTTAAAATAAAATTATTACTTAATCATTGATTTTTAGTGCTATAATTAATGTTCTGAGGTAAAAGCTACTTTTTTATTATAATTACCAGAATAATGATGTTAATAATTAGATGATCAGGAGTTGATGAGAATTTTATTGTAAATTTATCAATTAATTTATTTATTTTTTGGCTTTCGATTATTTGCTTGATGTATTATTTAAAAAAACAATTAAAAATTTAAATATTCAAATATTACACATAATTATTTCATCATGAATTCTATGCAAGCTTCTGATATTAGAATCTTGTCAAAGGAAATTGGCCACGTATTGAACAGTGTTTGCAGAAGGGTAGTAAAAAGCTTCTCTTAGAGTAGAAATGACATCATGTGTAGGCAGGTTTTCTGAAAATTCATCAAGTGGACAAAGCTTTGATTACTTTAATATCGTTTGAAAGTTAAATTTTTTTCAATTATTCTATCCAACAGACGTATCTAAATTTTCGAATAAATTCCAAAAATATAAATAAACTAATTGTTCAACTGACCTTTAACAATTTATTAAATGAATTTCAAGTATTCTTTATATGAACTAAATAAACAAAAGATGTTTTAGTAGGTGATCACAATAGCTCTTACCAGAGTGCTTTTATTCTGTTAGAGTTACTTCTCGTAGAAAAATATCTGAAGAAGATAAAGTCCAAAGAAATAGGACTAGCCTTATGCTATCTAGCTTTAGAAAGAAATCTCTGAGCTTTGAGCTTTAAACTAGAAGATCCTTAATCACATCTTCAAACTATAAACTAACATAACAGATATTCCTTAATTCAGTCTTTTTGTTTTATTTTTATTTCGTATTATATTAAAATTATTCAACTATTTAAATTTACAAAGTATTCATCATAACTAATGAATATTAAAGTTTATATTCAATGCTGTAATAAAGAGACAGCCATTTTGCCCATTGAAGAGACTAAACAAGTACATAAAAACTAAATTGCGGAAGTCTTTTTTACGAACTTTACTGTACTAAAGAAAGTAGAGTATTAATTACAAATAGTCTCAAAAAAATTAGCTGAAAAACTTTACAACTTTTTTTTGTGTCCATTAATTTCCAAATTATCTTATTGATGATTGCCATGAACATACAAATTAGTAAATTTATTATAAAAACAATCATTAATGATATTTTTTTATTCATTACGATCATTTTTATTTTACTGATACTTTCTAAATAAGCTAAAATCTTTCTTAAGAAGTGAAACATGATAAAATTCTTCATAATTTGTATACTTACAAAGTATTTATTACCGTCATAAGTTGGACGTTATAAGAATATGAATGACGACGAAGTAATCAAGATAACTATCCACCTATTATTCAAACTTGAAAAAGTCTATAAAAAGCTAATGAGTAATCTCATAGTTTTGCATTTAAATAAGATGTTATTTAAAATGCATTATTATCTCGTAATAGAATTAACGTAATATTAACAGTTAATTATTGTTCAGCAATATTTTTTTTCTCCAACTGTTTTGATCACCATTAGAAATATTATTCTAAAGTAATATCAGAATAAGTGGAAATCACGTGAAATTGATATTTCAGACACTTCATATTTTTTTCTATCCAATATTTTAGTTTTAGCAGGTGTTATTTTCTGAAATAAGATGGCATGGTAGAGAAAAAAAAATATATTTACCACGATTTAATGGAGTTTCGCTCAATAGCAAATATTGATAAGATGTTCATGGCAGAATAAGTTCAGAATGACTAAAAAAAAAAGGAGCAATTTATTTTCAAATTTATTATTTTTATTATTAACTACATTTTTCGTTTATAGAAATTCATTTTTTCATTTCTTTTATTTGAATAAGATTATTTCCAATCATAATTTACTTCATAATAACTAGGAAACCTACATGACTTGGATTTCAATTATTCTGAATAATTATGAAGACAATGATAGTGTAGACATGGAGTTTATTATGCTAAATTACTTCATCAGATAGAAAAGTGAGATAGAGAAGGGATTATTAAAAAAAGGATTAGATTTAAATGCAATAACTCTTTTTATAATAGCTTGTTAAATAAATTTTTAGAATTTTTATTACAAGCTCAGAGTTACAATGATTTTATAAATAAACTATACATAAAATAAGCTTTTAGATGAAATAAAATTCAATTTTTAATTATCTAACTATTACACTCTTCTACCTAGGATATTTTATTCACTTTTTTATTAATAATTAGTCGTATTATCAGTTCAAGAAAATTCTGTAATTAGTTTTGAATTCATATTGAAGATGAGAAGAATAATATTTTCAATGAAATTGAAATAGATTGACATATGATATGATAAACTAGCATTTAATCGAATAATATGTAATGTAGATCATGTAGTTGTAGTTGAGCAGCCTATTGAAAACAGTCATGCAGCAAAAGCAGATCGTCTTCCTGAAATGGTACATGAACAATAGACATGGGTATCCAGGGCAAATATGGATTCCAAATTTGTTGGCCAGTTGGTGAGAATAATCCGATGAGAACAAGTTGTAAGGATATCTCTGATCTAGATGGTTTGATGAATAGGCAGAGATCAAGCTTGGTATGTCGTATATGAACCTGAAGAATCATCATTTATTCCTCTTTCATTTCAGCAGTTTTCCAATAGTATAAGTAGGTTCGTTCAGAGTATTTCTCTTCAGATTGATAAATTTATAAAATAACTTAACGAACCGGATTGGCGAGTTAATTTTTTAATATTAAGTATTCGAGTTATAAATTATTAAAGAGTTGTTGGTTGAGGTAATTATGAAAGGATTCAATGATTGAATAGTTTACATACAACCTATTAAATAGATCTTTTTTGTTTTGCTAATTAATTACTGCAATTACTATAATTTTATAAAAAATTAAATGTTAACAATTATTTATTGGATTTGTGGGTATAAAAATTAATTAGCTATTTTTTGTAGGAAAATATCAGTGTTTTACACTGCACTAAGAGTAACTCTGATGCTATGCTTTTTCAACTGTTGAGAAGTCTAGTTAAAGTAAGCTTAGCTTGAATTAAATCTTTTTATAAAACCATTATACTTTATAATTTTTTGTAATAGAATTAGATTTAATTTAAGAAATATTGTAATTAAGTTAAATCCTTTTTTTCAAGATGCTTCATTCTCTCATCTTATTTTTAAATAATTGTATATTTTTTAAAAAAATTGTCAGTTATATTTTTCATTTTGCTTTAGACTTACTTGAAATAAAATATTCAATTATAGAATACCTAAAAATAATTTATAGTTTAAAGTTTCGTACTGCTTTTTTATGATATAAATCTTAAATTAAATTTATTTTTAGACTTTATTGGAAGAATGCTTGGAATTTATATAATAAAAAGTGAATCAATTAGGAGAAATATTTCATTTTCGATATTTATATGTGATACCATTTGAAAGTTGGAAAAAATTAATATTTGAAGAGGATAGTTAAATTTAAAAATATCCAACTATCGAGATGTTCTACAGAAAAAAAAGAAAAAAATTATATCATGAGGATGGCCTGGTTGATTTTATTTCAGGATATTTCGTATGAGATATTTTGTCAGGGCTATTTCGACAAGGTATGGAGATTATCAGATTGAAAAACCAACAAAATATTTTGAGGTACAAATTCTCGCATCCTCGGATTTCAATTCAATTGTTAAAATTACTTATCACCACATAGTAATCTGTTTGAAAAATACAACAAAAAAATTGACCACATTTTTTAAATGATGGCTTTCACAAAATACTAATGAAAATTGAATTAGTATTTATTTTAAAGTATTGGAAATAAAAATTCCTCTCATTTCCACTTCTTACATCGTACGTGAGAAGTATGAAAAATATTGAAATACCAAAATTTATAATCTTGAAGTACAAGTGAAACCATTATCAGAACAATAAGACAACAAAAATGAACACAGAAGATAAAAGATTGATGGATTTAGTCACTCGCGAAGATG